CAACACACCTGGTTTCAACTTTTCTCGCATCTTATCTAGCATGGCCATGGCCAATGTACATAATAACCGTAGATAGGGGGAAGAATTGTGTTAAGACCGATGGACGCTAACACGCCCGGTTTCAACTTCTTCGGGTGAAATGACTAATGAACGCAGGAGATCAATCTATCAAACATGGTCTATCAAACATTTGTATCCATTTTACTTTTATTTATTATTTACTTGTTCCAGTTTTCCGTTACTTATGGTATATATGTTCCGTGTCTATTTTATAGTCACGCGTTTAAATAGTGGGAATTCCCCACCAAGTGTGGATTAGCAATGCTTAACCATTCTTTATTGTTAATATCAACACTTGATATATGAACATGGAATATCATACTGTTTTTGGCTGTTTTATTTCAGACTTGGGGTATAAACAGGAAAATATCCATAACCTTTCAACACGACGATCTTGTGAAATTTAACGAAGAGCTTTCGCGACGAATTGGAACGAAATAGGCGAAAAGAGCGATTGATTACTCGCGCCAATACCTCGCCGTGATAATTAATGTCGCGCTTATCAAATAGCAATATGACGACAAAAGAGAGATTGCGTAATGAACCAACGCAACTTCGTCTTCTCGGCATCGGTAAAGCGATTGAGACGGCAGAGAAACAACAAAACGACGGATTCCTTGCGGACCGCTAAAAATTTAACTGCTATCAAATATGAGCCAGTGTGTTTATTCTGTGCGAGATCCATTTTCTATTACAAAATCTTGATGTTCTGTTAGCGGTTTTATCGTTATATCGTTTTTCACAATTCCTCTCAATATTTCGGCCATATATGATTAACTGTCTTACCAAATGCGGCAACTTATTTTGATTTATCGTCGACTTGAATACCACCGGCACTCGACCGAATTTGTGTCAATCTTGGCCGATAGAATCGCCGACTTGAGTTAGCAAATAAATGTCGTGAGTGTAAAATAAATGTCACAAAATGCATTGTTTTGCGATATAACTTTGTATTTTCGGAGAAGGCATATCATATAAGTTCGGTATTTAAATTATACGCAAATAAATAATATTTGATCTAAATTTATCGCAAATAATGTTATAAACATTCAGTCCGCGAAATGATTAAATGTAAAATGAAGCATGGTAATCGGAATATCGTCAATAAGTCGACATCAATATTATTATTATAAAATGCTAACAAGGCAGTAATGTCGGATAATGCAGAAGACGCTGCAAAAACAAGTCTTCGTCGCGAGGAAATCGCAAGTATAATCAAACGAGAGAATACGCTCGTCGCTGGTTAATGAATTAGAAACCCGTAATTTTTATTCAGTACTAAGGTGGTTTTAAAAAACTATCGTTTTCATAAATATCCGTATACCAGTGTCGGTAATGATAAAATAAAATTGATCGCATAAAAATGGGACGGTTAATTTGCGAAGGTGATAAAGGAAAACCAAAGCTAACACAAAAGATGAAAATCAGAATAAAATTAATTTGAATTCACTCCTTGATATTTGTATTTAACATCTGCCGCCGGCGTGTAGTACTGCCAAGAATATGAAAACCCAACTTCAATGTCCCATTCGGAAAAGAAGTGGATTCAATTGGTTGTTATGATAGGTTTAAATGCGTGGAAAAATATCGCAATTACGGGGTCATTACGTAATTGATTTTGCCGTAATTACGGAATTGATTTTTGTCAATTACGTGCAAGCCTACTCTGTTACATAAGGTCAATAGCGGTACAGCTTAACTTCACTAACTAAAATAGGTCTTTCATTGAATGCCAAACGACGGCATGCCAATATGTTGCGGTTCCGGTGTTATTGCTAAATAATAAACACGAGCAGTTGGCGCGCAAATTTCACAGATCACAACGCGTTGGCAGAATGTCATGGTATATAGCAGGGGTGGCCAACACGTTGATCGCGATCGACCGACACGTCTCGAGCAGTCGATCACGTGTGATGTTGAAGGATTTTTTATGCCCCCGAAAATTGCCCCCAGCCAGTTGTGTGTTTTGCAACAGGAAGAATACAGTAGTTAACATGCGCAAAATACAATATACACATACGTACAGTATAAAGCATATTATCACGTAACAAATACAAGTTTTTCCGCTGCCAAGGTTTAAAAATGAAGTGCTGAATATCGCGTGTCTAGACTGACAAACGATCCTACAATTCCTTCCCCAGTATGCGAAAGTTATTGTCTCACTCCAAGAGTAGTGTGATAAATTTTATTCGCAATGGTAGCAGTGGCATCAAAATGCCCAATTTGTTCTAATTCTAAGCGAAGAATCGCGGCTGGAGGAAATTGTAAATTAGATACTGAAGTTTGAGCAGTCACGTAACATTCATGGCTTGAGAATATTTATTTTTCGCTGTTTTGATGATACTTGGCAAGGTTTCTTGAAGAATTTTCAACACTAACGACTAAAAATTAGGCACGTCCTCTATTTAAATTATATGATTTGAATAAATAATGAAACATTTACTCCCGGTACAATTGAATAATCAAATCAACAACTTAAATGTAACATAAAAAAATACAAATTTTGTGTCGATTTTAATGATATTGTGCCCACAAAGCCTTCTTCTCGGCAGCGGTGGAATTTTTTGTATGCGTGTGTGCAGTTATCTGCACATTCAGTGTACATTCATTTTTGTGTAGGACCTTGTTAACGATCAGTCGATCTATTTTGAATATTTTAGTCGATCGCGGTCGAAAGGTTGGCCACCCCTGGTATATAAGAAGAGAGAAGCCAGCGGAAACACCACACCCATTAAAATTTCAATGAACGATTATCAAAAAATGTTGACCATGTTTATCATGATAAAAATATATAAAAAATATTCTATCATTGAAAATGCACACGTCCCCAATGAAAGATAATTGGAAAATTACAAAAAATTCTAATTTCTGCTCTGACGATCACATTCCCGATAAGAGCTATGCCTTATGCCACTTTATTTTTTGCGCGTGTTTTGAATGACTAAGCTAAGGTCTATTGCACATATCATTCAAACGCCTTTCGCAATAACTTGTATGTATCGGCCATATCAATTTAAAACATATTTTTGATATTTTTCACAGGAAGCAACAATTCGTCCAAAGAGCATTGTCAACTTTCAGGAAGAGTCGTTCGCCAGAAAAGTTCAAAACTAGAATTAGAGTCTTGTACATTAAAGCATTCAATTATGTATACATGGTAAACTTATTTTTCAGCAATGTAGTTGATAAACTACGCATGAATATCTTTCCATTAACACAAAATATATTCTATAATGTACAAGAAATTACTATTTTTCAACTATTTTCAAACGCCTGATCAGTTTCGAGGTCAGCCAGGCCAAGCTTATTTTTCCAACCAGAAAAAAATCTGCTCTCTATAAAAAATTGCGAGTAAAAAAGTGAACAAAGTTTTACTGTTGAACAGAAACCGCAGTGAAAAGATAGTTCTCGAGAATATGACAGAGAATGGAAAATAAGCAGCATACATCCCAATATTGTTCATATACATCAACCCTGTCTTAGGCGTTTTCTTTATGCATAATTTCGAATAGGTGTCACAGTTTCGAAAGATGTTACTACTGTGGTTGTAATGTAGATGAATCAGAAGACTCAAGGATTCCGGATTGGTTGTTTATTGTATGGCAACTCCAATCTCAAACTTAAAACAGCATAACAGATTATATCACTAATGAACTAGAAACACGACCGACCTCCAGCCCGACGGCCGGAGAAAAGAGAGCGAACTACACAGTTATACTCTCTCGTGTAGCGAGTGGTCGGAGTCCAGATCCGACAAAGCAGCATTAAATAAGGGTGAACGTAACTGTTTATAAATATATATATATCTATACACACAATATAAACACGGACACTTTAGTCCGCGTCACAGGCACAAAGTAATTACAATGCGAAAAAAATGAAGTGAAGTGATTTTATTCAATAGTTAGAAGAAAGAATTTGTAACTAAATTACCACAACTATAAGTCCACTTAGCTAACACGAATGGGCGGTAGCATTCATGTCACTGGCAGCTAACACAGATAATCGTAGTTATATTTTAGAACCATACTACTGTGGAGCAACAGTTTACAAAGTACCAACAGTAGCTAATGGCCAAACTGATTTTTTAATTTCAACTTTAGTAAAGGGTAGAAGCGGAGTAATATCTTCGCAGTCCAACGGATTTCGGGGATCATGCTATCTTGTGCGGTGCTTGAATGAAGTTGCTCTTGCGTCTATAACGGGTATTGTACCGGTAACAACTACAGTCAATAATGTGCGTGTCCTGGCGTGAAATATTTATTTGTGTAAATACTGAGTCCCGGAGTTTCAGGGAAGGCACTGTTTACCATGTAAAATTATTCGACGCAAAAATTTCCTGCATACATCGGTTCCATTATCTTTGCACCCAAGGAACTGTACACCCATGAGTATTTGAACCCACAGTCATTTACACCCATGAACATTTGCACCCGCGAACATTTGCAGTTTGCATCCGCCTATATTTGACATCATTATGACGCAATATTATAAATAGTAGGAACGTGCTGTAAATGTAAACTCTCTCTCTCTGACGGGATGGTCATCACTGACCAGCCGTGGCACTCTTCACGAATCGCCGCCATTGTTTCCGGTTTTGTGCCATTCTGAGTAACTCAAGCATGCTTATGTCTGCGATGTCCTTCACGTTGTCTGACATTCTTGTTTTTGGTCTCCCACGTCTTCTTTTGCCAGGGGTTTTACCAAAGAGCAAATCTTTTGTTAGGCCTTCTGTTCTGGCGACATGCCCCAAAAATCGCAATTTCCTGTCATTGATGTTGTCCAGCAGTGTCAATGTAAACAGCTTGTTTTAAATAAATCCGGCTTTCGCCAAGTCGAGGTCGTTTCTCGCTCTCTTATCTGTTCTTTTTTTCAAAGAACCTCTTTCTTGTCTTAAACAATGGGTTTAACACTGACTTGATTACTGCGTATTTCTTTTGTTCCACCACGCCCCGACCAGTATCTACGCTACTTGTTTACTTGGAGATAATCTGAGATTTGACAAGTATCTGGTCTGGAATAAATCAAGAAGTAAAATATGGATATAATAGCGCATATAATGCGATTAAATATATTATTGATAAGGTATCTATTTAAAATATACAATGAAAATTATGCTAAATTGGGTTAACGTTATTGAAACGCATCTGGCTAACGAAAGTACCAAGTTTTTGAGTATGTGTTCTTGCAGGGCACCTTCGCACAGTATCTGTAATGTATCCAGCGATTGCAATGAAGCACTGTATGATTGTGTTCAAGAAGTAGAAATATTCGATTGGAAATATTTTAACATAATTTCCCACACCAATAATATAACGTTAAACTTAAAATGTAAGTGATAATTCTAATAGAACTTTTCCATTACATTTGAACCCATGACAATTGCATCTGCATACTATTACATCTTGTTTTGTTTTACGGATATTTGAACCCATACTCACCCTAACCCATGGGTTTTACCACCCGCATATAGATTGAACCCGTGGATATACGCATGGGTTCAAATGTACATGGGTTCAAATGTACGGTAGAACATCTTATCGGTAAATATAATGAGCAACCAATAAAAATTAATGCTATACGTGTAAATAGGACAAAACCTTTGAAAAAGGTGTGTTATAAAATACTTACATATTTATTTGTGGCAAAAACTTTGAGCCTATGTATATACCTCATATGAATGATTATTTATGCCCTTCACTGAAACAGTGTGCCAAAGAGTGTCAAGCAAGGACAAATATAAATGCATTCAGCCATGTCATCTATTCAATTTGGTGGTCATAAACTAAACATCTTCAAACTTTCGGTTCTCAACTTCCTTGACATTGTGCATTTAAGTGTGGAACAATGATAACAGAACTAACTTTTGGGAAATAAACTATGACATGCATAATAAAAATAATTGTTAGATCTAACAAGAGAGCAATGCTCAAATATATGGACACGCAGAACAATTCCCCAAAAATCATATGCGGTGACCAACGACTAACATACCGGCGGTGACTTACCAGTACCTGTATCGGGGTACCGTGACGGTACAGGGACTGTCATAGATATTTTAGGTCCTGTGACAATTGAAACATCAGTTGAAATATCTCGTGATATGAGTCAATTATGTACCGTATTATCGGATCAGGTACCGAACCACAGTCAAACATTTCAGATAAAAACGTTACTAAATAAAATGCGTCAACTTAACACCAGCCGAATCGGGGTACAATTTTTGGTACAGTGACTGTCATAGCCGTTTAGGGCTGATGGACAATTCGACTACACGGACAACTCACCAGGTTAGGGTGGTGTAGCCAGTCTGCGGACAATTTCATTCAAACCGCTATAAAACAAAAACCAATATATCTAACCCGTTAATTTTTTCACCGTGGGTGCATTGGCGGCATTTATTCTACACGCTAAACCTCGTATTAACTTTCTACGACAAAGGGTTGAAGCTATACAAATCCCCAAAGTACGGCACTCGAAAGACGTATTTGCGACCGAACGACCAGTGTGCGACCACGGATTTCAAGCCTTGATCATCGTTTATGCTGCGTCGAGACTATCGCATACGCAGCCATACAGCAATCAAACAGACAAAACACGGTGGTCGCAAATTGGTTGACAATTGTTGGTCTTGTGACAGCGTGAAAACATTGGGCTTCTAATTGCATTTCTGACCGTCATATATTTCAAGAACACGGTTATTTCGAACAAAACTCGTTAAATTATAAACAAAGCACCACATCAATCAAACAGACGAAAACACGGTGGCCGTAAATTGGTTGACAAAGATATTATCGACGTATCGGAAATGCACACCCCCTATTCCCCCTCCTTCAAATGTAGAAACGCGAAACTTTCAAATATGGTTAAAAGAAACACAACTCTACCCACCTGCCAAGTTTCATCTTTTTATTTCTCATATTTGTATGGATTTTTAAGCTTTTGACAGCTACGATCAGTGTAGTTTTTCATGGCTTGGTTTTTCCTAAAGCTTTCATGGCTTCATGAGTATGACTATCGTCGCAAATTTATTACATTCCACTCCCCACATTATCTTTGCATGAGGTTGTAGGTATTGGTCATTATCAACGTAATTGTTGAAAGAGAGTACAACAGCCCGAAAGTTTATTACTATCGTGTATTTTGTTTGTTAAGTTTGGCCCAAGCCTCATTTAATTGGGATTGTGTTTTTGTGTGCGTGCTGGTGGGCAGGCACATGAGGTACTTCATGTTTTAAACTTTTTTGTAGGTTTTGCTTGCCCTCCAGAATTCTCCATTTTTAATTTAGGTTTGTTATGGAGTTTTCGAAATAAACTATCTATCTATCTATCTACGAGTTAGTCCAGTGTCACCGCGCTGTGTTACGGTACCAGAACTCCTGTCTTGTGACAGCGTGAATTGAAATTGCAAGATGGTCCGTTGGACACAAAATGGCGTCCGATAACCGCAGAACGTTTAGTGATGTCATAGCAAACAAAAACAAATCTTACAGAGCTAACAGAAATATTTGAAATAAATAAAAGTAATAGCCTTCTGGAGAAAAATTTCATCTTCAACCACTGAAAATTTCAAAGCAATTAGTCCAGTAATCAAAGAGAAAAGCGACTTTTTAAAAACGTGTCAAAGAACAAGAACAACAACAACAACATAATATTGAAACGATCGTTATGTCCACTACGTGTCCAATAATTAGACTGTTATATTATCAATTATTACATCTCGCAACAAAAATATCCCAAATTATTAGAGGTGTTACACTATAAATAAACAAATATTCTGAATGATGTGAGATGGGTTGTAATTGATGAGTGAATATATTTTTGATCAATCGAAAGCAAAATTTCATTCTTAGCAATTAGTTTTATAGTAGACTATCATCCATACGGACTTGTCTCACTTGGATGAACTGTACACATAGAAAAAGAACTAGATCGTTGTTTATCTAAACTTCAACCCACCAATATATATATATATATATATATATATATATGCCTTTTCTGATGAACACTACGTAATAAAATTGATAATATAGTTTATGGTCCAGAAATTCGAGTCACTAGTAGTATGGTGTGTCATTGCCAGTAGACTACACTCCATAAGTCGCGGTGATCTCGTTACTGTGAACTGAGCATATCAATACCACAGGCTACCATTAGCAAGCCGGTAATCTAACTATACGTCTGTACATTTGAATTATTTGAACAAAAGAGAGTAGACTGTAATTACATTAGTATATGTCAGTTAACCTTCAACGTCGGGCCAGGTTTCCTACCAATGAATAGCTGGGTGGAATTAAGAAATAAGTAAAATATCTTAATTGTTTATAAAGGAGAGAAACACAACTTTTAATCGCACTGTCTGAATACCTCTTGCTAACGCAGCGGTGACTGATCTTGAGATGTTCTGACACACCTGTAAAGATATACGGTAGCCTAATACCGTAATGTAAATAATAATTTCATCCATTTGAAACAAATACCTGGCTAACCAACACAGTGACGAGAGGTCGCGGTTCGCCATATGATTGAGCCTTCTCCTATTCTAATAATACCATGAGACTGTAGAAATTCGCAATACCGGTACCAGACTAGTGCGGTATTGCTAACTTTTCTCTTACCATTCTCCCAGAAGGACAATAAACGTTCAATTTCAATATCCTACTCATCGGGAAAACCTCGCATCAGGACGTCGATTGCCGACTGTCGCCTAAAATCAAATGGCGAACTTATGTGAAAGTCAAATTACGCACCAATTGTTTCGCATTCGTGTCGCGTTTCTCTGAAAACCAATCAAGGCCTTACGATAGTAAATGGTTTAAATCTGCGTACAACGTTGCCGGCGTATTGCAACCAGTGATTTCCCTACACCCCCCCCCCTATAGGGGGTGAACACCCCCCCCCCCCCTAAAATTTCAAACACCCCCCCCCCTAATTTTGAGGTGCGATTCCACACTGAGGGGTGAGGGGTTCTAAACCGCAGTCTGTGGGTCAATTACGGCCCGCGTGACGATTTAAAATGGCCCGCCGAACTTGAGTGAAATAGTTTAACACTTCATGTGGTACCTTTTGAGTTTTAGATACCGTCTATTATTACATCATTATCACAGTTTAAGCACGTTTACTTCGCAACAATTGAATTATTTATAGGTATGGGTATTATGATTACACACAGTATTTTAGATATCAGCCATATATTAAGAAAGCTTAAAGATGTCACAAAACGAAAACTAGGCACTGAAAACAGACGTTTTTTAGATGAATAGCGTTTTTATTTCTTTAATGAGAGAATCAAACTTCAGCGATTTGTCTTCTTACAAAATATTTCAGTTCTGAAGGAATACAACATTATGCGACATTATGATCAGTTGACGAGCGTATTTCAAAATTTAATTCATACAAAAGTCAAACAAACATGTTCAAAAAAAAATAGAAATGTGTAACAAAACAAGCCATAAGTAGCCATTCATACAATGCCAGATGAGCAAGTAACTTCATTAGTCACTATCAGTTGCAAATTACTTGTTAAAACGTAGTAGTATATATTTACGGTTGAAAGCCGTGCTTGTTATCTATTCCCCGAGAATTCTATCAGCTAAATATTATAATTATTGATTTTATTACATAACAAACTGCGATGCTAGGTGTATCTAAAATCAAGCTTAGAGCCTATTTTGGTGCCTATTTCTCAAAAACCAGTCGTGTAGTCCCGCACTTTTCCTCGCTCCCCTTTTCTGGCCCTACAATTTCATTCTGCTGTGGATTTTGGCTCGCCGTCAATCAACTTTGGGGGCCCCCCATGTACATCATTTCTTAAATACATACCATTTTTTTAAGAATACAAATAGCCTAGTTTTATCTCTAATAGCAAATTATTTACCACCCCCTAAATTTTGAAACACCCCCCCTAAAGAGAAAGGCTGGGGAACATACTGATTGCAACGCAGGCCCAACGTAGTTGTCACGGGTACAAATGTTCGTTGATGCAGGTATGCATGCTGGGTACAAATGCCCGTGGATGCAGATGTGTATGCTGGGTACAAATGTACAAGGGTGCAAAAATACGTAGGCGCAAATATCCATGTGCAAATGTTCGTGGGTGTAAATGCAGCCTACATGGCTGCAAATGCCTGGGTGTGCAAATGTCCGTGGGTGTAAATCTCGGTGGGTGCAAAACTATGCAGGTGCAAATGTCCTGGGTGCAGTTTACGGGTGCACATGTACGAGTGAATATGTGCGTGGGTGCAAATGTGCTGTCACCCGATAAAATTTTTAACACCACGTTCGAAGGAATTTAGACTTATAGTGGTAACACAGATGGTTACAAAAGTGTTTACCAATATTTCAACAGAACCTCAGGGTATCAGATACCATGGCTACATTACTTTATTGAACTGAATACCGCACCAATTCGATGCACAAAATTGCGACTCGTTTGCTGGGCGCTTCCTCTCATTGCACACGTTACAAAAAATCTTTATGTTGACAAGGGTTGCTGAGCACCACACGCCTCCGCGGCAGGGGACAGGGTTACTCAATCATCAAAATCCACGGGAGCAGTCAGCTTGTTAACTCTCTGCAATTTGTACGATTTACTTTCCCCCAATAGATTTTTCTTTCTGCTGGGCATATCTCATAATGGGTTCCATACCTTTGAACCCGTAATTTGAACCCACGACAATTGTACCTGTATACTATTGCACGTATGAATTTTTTTTCTTTTACGGATATTTGAACCCATACTAACCCTTTTAGCACCCGCATATAGATTGAACTAGAGATGTACCGATACCACTTTTGTCGCCGATACCGATCCGATACCAGCTAAAAACGCCGATACCGATGCGCCGATACTACAAAAAGGCCGATATTACCGATATTCCGATACCGATACTATGTAATTATTACTTAATTAGGTGTGCTGTGTAGGGCAGACGGGTTAAAACAATGGTCTTTGAGCGTTGTTCATGGTACACATTATTTCAGATCGAAAAAAAAGATATATCACATAATATGAAATTGATGTTTGCTTCAACTGATTAAGATACATTATACAGTAAGGCTAGTAATCTCGGTGTTCAATTGAAACTCATAAGCCGGGATGTCCAATTTGAACTTGATATGAATATAGTTATTCGAGTTTAAAAGAATATCGAATATCACCCACACATTCTAGCGCCGCCGTCCTACGTTCAAATTAAAATCATTTTACAAATATTTTTTTTCGTGGCTAATCGTAATCGTCGACGCAATAAGTCAAAGCCAAATTGAAAGAATATCAAACAGCACCGACAAAAAGAAGGCCTACCTATAACCGTCGAGGATGTTTTTTTACTTTACTATTTTATAATATAAAATATTTTACAATTGCTATAATAAATTTTGAATTTCGAAATTTTGTTTATCGATGTCGACGGACTAAATGACACTCGTACTTGACGACAAACAGTCAGCATTTATAGCCGAGCCAAAAGTCCTTGTGCCGTTAATAAGAACCCCAATTCCACTGTATGATTTAAAACTGGGCGCCTAGTTGCTTTTTGTTATGTGCTGTGTTGATATATTTCTTCATAATTACTATGTAATATTAAAAATGTCAATATAAAAAATTGACAGCGAAAATAGCCAAATTAGTTGAACTAGTTTGGCTGATAAATAGCTAAAAACATCCTATAGCATCCTGAATCCTATTCTCTCGCGGGGGTGGGGACATGTATGTCTCATAGCGCACGATCTCTCCAGACAAAAAATAAATTAAAAAGTAGTATTCCAACTTATCTTTTAAAACATTCTGGACCATATCAAAAAGATAAATATATCGGAAATATCGGCCTTAATTCAACCGATACCGATACATGGCCGATACCGAAAAAGTGGCCGATATTGCCGATACCGATACCCGATACCGATACATCGGTACATCTCTAGATTGAACCCGCGGTTACCTCATAATGATATCATGCGTATCACGACTGAGTTGCTTTGTCGCATTGTTCCGATGTTTCGCGCTCTTTTTAGAATTACCCGTTCTGTCTGTCCGACAGTGTCTGTAGACATAGACAGGAAATAGGAAAATCCTATTGGTATGATAGATATTCATATTTTCTGTCTAATCTTTATAAATTTTGTTTTTCCATGCTAATATAAAATATATCTGTTCGGTGAAAAAATAAATTACTGATATCTAATTATTTTCACCATGATGACATTTGGGACATCGATCAACTGAATTGTAACTACGATGAATTGCTGATATGGAACATGTGAAATATTATGTAATCTTTGTATGGGTATTGTATACTTATTTACTCCACCTAAACGGAATTCAAATAATGCAATTGTATTCCGAACTCGATATTCCACTTGACAAAAAAATATATATTCAAAATATAACGATTTGCTTCTAAATTCTCGATACAAAAATTCCGCTTTGGCATTGGAATTTATTTAGCAAAAAAAAAAGACAGTGTCTGTAGTTTGTTTTTGTCTGTTTGCTTTCTGTAGTTCTGTGCTGGCCTAATTTACGTTTTTAGGTACCTCCTTTTCGTCTGTATCTATTCAAAATGGTCTTATGGCAGTATGGGCTCATTAATATTTCCACTTTTTTTCAAATTTTCTCCCATCAAAATTTAAAGACTTGGTCGTTTTACTCTTATAATCTTCCTGGAGTCCTGTCCTGTCTGCCTGTAGTCAGTTCAGCTCTTCCTGACAAGAATGAGTTTAGGGCAATAAATAAACCAACCTACAGACCCAATGTGCAGCCAAACTTACATTCTTCTGGTTCTACTTTGATGTCATTTACAGATTTAATACTGTAATATTTGTAATCATTACTGGTACTGCATTATGACACAGTAAAATTGCATTGAATATAATGAACAGAATTGTTCTTTGCCTGCAACAAATAGTTTGAAAATGCCTCAAAAAAGTATTTTGTAAGTACAAATTGTTGATACATTTAAGCTGTTAGGTAAAGTAGTAAATTCCTGTATATTTTCCCCATTAATTGATTAATCTCTTAAAGTAATTGGATATTCCTGTATTCAGGTAGGCCTAATGGTAATGTTGAATCATAATATTTGAATATACGCTCAATTTGGATAGATAATATTCAATATACATCATGATGTTTCCGCCAAACTGCCAAACTCAAATATTTTCTGATTTTTTTTTCATGGCAGCATGGTATGAATGTTACATGAATAAAGATATCATTTCTTACTCTTTGCACTACAGCTCATTTTTTGGTGGTGCAAATAAAAAGCCTCCAGTCCAGAGTTCAAAAATATCATCTCCAAGGAAAACTTCTCCAGAAAAAAGTAATAAACATCTTGATAACGGTGCAGAAGATTCACCAATTAAAATCAAGAAACGGAAAGCCTGCACACTCTTTGAATCTTCAGATGAAGAAGATGATAAGGTTGGCATATTAATTTATTTGCTTTTATTTTGCAAAATTGTGATTGAATGGTATTTGCATGAGGGTTGCCAATAAAATCAAATTGGAAAACTGTATACAGGTTCTGATAAAGGTTTGCAGGACATTAAAGAATATTATATTACTGTATTACAGAATAATAATAGTATACATCAATGGTTGGCAAACTGCGGGCAAATTTTTTGTGGCCCTCGTACGTCCTCATTTTTAATGCTTAATAAAAAACAAAAATTGCATAATTTGGTTATTTTCTCTGCTCGGTCGTATTGTTTACTTGCGGAAGTGCCTAACATTAGTTGTTCATAGGCGAAAATTAATCTGACCCACACGCTACGCCCAATGTTGAATATTTGGCCCAGTAGTATATGAAGTTCACAGACCACTGGTATAACGCTTGATGATATAATATTATGATTCAAACTTTATAGAAGCTTGTTTTTACTTCCAGAAGTTAATTAAGCTATTTAAAACAAAAAATATTTAGGATTTGGGTATCACACTTAAATTATGCTCCGGTAGAATTCAAAATAAAAACAATTTGGGGTCTTAACGTTTGGAGAATTGAAAGGGAAATTTTTTTTATAAACATCGAATTTTCTCAATTTTATTAGATTGAACAGTCTGCTGAGAAAACCGCTGATCTTGGTGAAAAGCGATCTAATATTGAGAATGTCCAACCAAAGATTCTTGAACCTAAATCACCACAAAAGGATTCAGAAGTAAGTTTTGTCGCTGATTTGTTAGTTATTGCTTGTAGAGAATATATGATTGGTTCTGAGCAAACAAAATTTCTATGTCAAAAATTTTTGCCTGTGAACTTTTACTGTGTAAAAATTGCTTTTGACTTGAGTTTTTTTTTTTGTGGCAATTTGAATTTTGCATAGAGCAATATTTAATAATGTCCTTGTTGTAACAGCAGTTGCATAGTTTATTATATAGAAGTCAGTGGTAGTTTGCAATTTTTTTCCAATTATCTTTATCAAACTGACACTTTCCTCCCTTCATTACGAACTTCATTAAGTCCTACAATATTTTCAATAATGAATAGATAATGTTTTTTGTTTCAAGATTTTCGTGGTTATTATTTACTTTTACCTTATTGATGATTGATAATATCTTCTGCAGTTCCATGATTTCACCCATATGTTTATTTTCCACTTTCAGTCGGAATCGCAGAATCCACCAGCTGACGTCACTCGAACCCCGAAAGGGAGCATTAAAAGAAAAACAGGTATGTCACGTCACCATTGTATTACATTTACTTTTATGAAGCTATGTTGTAAACAAGTTGTACACCAAATCAAGCTATGGTATTACTCAGTAGTAGCCCAATCGGCGCTCCATTACTATATGTACCAATATTCACATGGCTAACACAGACAGTCCCGAACTCCTAATAGAACTAAATTAAGGAAAATCGGAATAAAATCATGGCCTAACCCTAACCTGGTACATACTCCTGGAGTACTGCCTAATCAATGCAGGATTAACTTTGTTTGCCGGTGTTGATATTTGCAAATACAAGTTTTTTCATCACAAATTTGAATAACGATTTAATTAACAACGTGACAAATTGCAAATCATTTCTCTCTCTGGTTTCAACGACTGCCTATATTTATTCTGCCTGAGATTATAAGGGACGCAGAACTAGATTATCTTATTCTCTACATTGCATCAATGTCTGGATGAAAATCTTGACAGAATTTGATTAGTATCATCAAATTGAATCTGGGGCAATAAAGGGTCCTGGCAAAATGGCCATTACTGGAGGAAGATTTTCTATTTGAAATTTACGAGAACACAAATTATAATGAAAATTTGGTGTTTTTAATCATCATCGCTCTTTATGTTTCCATAGTTGAGTAAATAGCTAAAGTTGCTTAATGCTAAACTGATGGTCGTAGTTTCACAATTTTGGAAAACCAGTTGTTCTTATTAAAAGATAACCGAATTCTCAAATATAATTGTTTCTTACAAAGTTAAATTTTACAGAGCCCAACTTTTTTAGTGTTGCATACTTTCAAACCCTTTTGTTAATTATTGTTCTAGTGGAAACCCATATTTTTTAGCATCTCGGATCCATGGCTAAAAGCCGAAGTGATTTGTTTTTAGCAAGAAAATCACTTCCAGACTCTAAGAAACCGAAAATGCAATTGACAACAAAAACAGAACAGACAACAGACAAAGTTACTTCTTCAGCCGCTGATTACAAAACTGTATGAATAATTTTCTGTTTAATCAATATAATATATTATGGCTATGTTTCTTGAATGATTTTCAAAAAAAAAAATATTTTTACTTATATAATTTTTCTTATTTGATGATCTTGTTTTATTTTGCCATTTTTGACGTGTCATTACTCATTAGTATAGAAATGTTGAAACTGTTGCTTTAATTATTTTGAAACGAGGGGTAAATATTTTATACAGTTCGGAATTTGACATTTTTCTAAATTTCTTGTTTATTCTACTTGTGATAAAGTAATTAATAAGCTCAAGGCCATATGTCTGTTGGATCTCTGCTCTGGGAGACCCTTATTTGCAGTCACCCTAGTATTATACATTTAACATAAGGTCCTAACCTAAAATATTGATGTTTCGTTTCCATGACAGCATAAAAAAAGTTTAATTATTGGTGACTTTCTTAGTTACTCATTTGTTGAAATTTTCTCGTCAACTAAGTCAAAAGTACAAATTTCACGAACGTTGCCCTCAGCAGAAGAAATTACTTTTTCTAACAAGGCATGTTTCATTCCGATAATCCATAACTGGGAAGCCCTTCGGAATTTTATTTTAGGGAACATGTTTTTATTCTTAGCCACTTATTGCAGTACTCGAATTGAACTGGCAGTTTCGATAACCCACTTTCTGCATTAGGCTGCTATTTCAAATCTGCAATTTTGCATGCATGCCAAGGTATTGCTGGAGATAAATCCGGCAGAGATTCAACATGGGCGCCAAACACCTTGTCTAAATTTTTATTACCTGTATAAGTGTATATTAATCTTCTTAGATGTCACCAGAAAAGGCGCCCAAATCACCTGCAAAGGAAAGTGAAGTAATAAAAGCAGAGGCTGCTGAGGTTTCCATCAATAATAAAGAAGATGACAAAAAATCTTTGTCCCCAAGTCACGATGGGGCAATGGATACAACCGAGTCGAAAGATACTTCTTTTGCAGAAAATCAGTCTTTGAAGAAAGGGCAAGATAATTCAGATTCTACAGATAATGATGATAAATCAAAAATTCAAAAGGACATGACAAAGAAAAAGAAGTGTTCTTCTAGTTTGTAAGATATTCCAGAGTGAGCGATCTATAAAAAGCGTCTTATAATAAAAACAAAATTATCGACAGTAATTAAGATAGATTTTACAGATAGGTATATGTTGTGGATATTGTTAGTATTAACTGGTTTTGTCTGCGTATAATTTTTCAATCGTTATATATTTCAGCAACACCTTTTTTCAACCTAAAAAGAAAGAAAATGTAAAAGAGGAACTTCAATCAACCAAAGTCAAGACAAAACCAAGTAACAACTCTGCTTCAGAATTCGATCCGACTGTTTCAAAATATCATCCCGTTGAAAGTGCATGTTGGAAACATGGTGAAAAGTGAGAATGAATTGTTTTGAAGTTAGTTTGCACAAAAACACTACTTTCAACACTAAAAACACTACCGTAAAAATGTAATAGTGCTGGTAAAAATGTAGCAAGTGACTGTAATGACAGTGGTTCATGATCTGTTATGGCTACACAAAAAATAATAGGAGAGACTCGTTAGTAAAGTACCTGCTTTCATGGCCAAGTTTGCATGAGCAATGTTATAAAGAAAGATACAATGTGGAACAAAATTATATTGAAGAATACATTTCTTTTTCACCAAAGGATAATTTCAAGTTGTCATTGAGCCTAATGCAACTGTTGTTCTTGAATAATATTATGATATGTCTTATGAGAAGGGGAGGCTGACATACTTCTGCTTTCAGCATTTTAATCTATCATAGAGATAGGATTAGGATTTACATATTTATCCCGGGGGAGAGGAAAGACGATAAGACGGCTTATCCATATGGCGAACCACGGCCTCTCGTCTGGTTACCATTCCAAGTCGGGTATGGGATTAGTTATATTGTCTGTTTTTTCGGAAGAATGGACTTGGTGGTGGAGGAAGCCGTAACCGACCAGCGGTTACGTGAACCACCCAACGACGGCGAGGAGTCCAGCAATCCTCTCGCACATAATCATCCCTGCATGGGATTCGAACCTGCGAACCCACACAGAGTAATCAGAGGTGCGGTGGCGAGCGTATTCCTAACGCTTAGCCCGTTGAGCCACACCGCCGCGCCGAATGATAAAAATGTTTTTCTGCAGTTCTTTCCAATGCTGCATTAATATCATCCATTTGTTTTCAGGGTTCCATATTTAGCACTTGCAAGAACATTTGCAGCTATTGAGGAGACATCTGGACGGTAAAATTTTTTTTTTCAGCTACATGATGAATACGTTGGGTTCTTTTTGATAATGTTAAAAAAATCTAATATGCAGGAATTCCTAATTTAATGAAATTCAATGTTAAATGCAAGATATTGTGATGACTTTTTTAGTTTGATATTTAGTTGTTTATGGAAAATAATATTAGCATTCAACAGGTGTTATTTTTATTTACTCAAATGTCACAAGTTTAAGTTTTTTTTTTTTAATATCAACTGAATATTAATAAAACTGTTTGTCATCTGACTCCCCTCAATTAATCTTGTGGTTGAATTATTACTCTTTGATCCTTGACTGTTCTTAATTTTTGCCAAATTTTGATCGGTATCCAATTTTGTATTCGACACCCCTAAAGTAGGTGGTTCTTGTCTATATTTCCAGGTTGAAAATGATCGAATATTTGTCAAATTTTTATCGAAGTGTAATCGCCCTAACTCCGGATGATTTACTTCCCTGTGTGTATTTGAGTTTGAACCAACTTGCTCCTGCTTATGAAGGAATTGAACTTGGTATTGGTAAGTTTTTCGAAATAGAATTTGGATACTATTATTATTAATAAGTAAATGTTTGATCATGATCAGTATAACAAATAGGTCTGTTGGAGTCTGGAAAAATTTTGGTTTGATTTTGAAACCAGTTTCTGATGCTGGTTTGGAATTTCAAATAATTTGGTTGTTCATTTTTTTATATCACGTTCCACTCCACACAAGGGCCACTAATATATAACAATCTGTGAGGAGCCACTATTCCTTTGGTATGCGGTAACCTATAAGGTTCGGCATTGTATTATTCCAAAGGTCGCCAGAATGGCCAAGTGCGCCATGGCGATTTGCTAAGTGTGCCTCGAAAATTAACAGGATTGTGTAATGTGTTAAACATAATCAATATATGATTGGATATTTTATATATTGTATTCATTATGAAATGTTTTTTTTTTTCATGCTGTTTATATAATGAATCAATAAATTCATTCTATCTTTCTATGTCGTATACTTTCTGGCAGAGATGAGGAAGAAGAGTTGACCGTTTGCCTTTATTCTTTAGGCCTACATGTATACAAACTTTAAAAGGCATAAAATACACGTTATTGATCACAAAATTGAGTTTATTTGTTTGCGCAAGTTTTTGATAATTTGGCGCCGCACAAATGAAGAGTTTGGTCTGGCCCAGAGGTCGGGAACCCATGGCTCGCGAGCCATATATGGCTCTTTTGGTGACGGCATATGGCTCCCAGAAAAATCTATTATTCTAAGATTAAGCTTACTATTGTTACTAGACTTCAAACTATTTCATGGCCAAATTTGGCAAAAAATTCCCAATACGTTTGACAACGCGGGCCTAGCGCATGTCTATGTTATGTAAGAGAATTACCAGACAGGCATTGTGACAAAACATGGGGATTCTGGAACATATATTGTGACATCACAAAGCGATAGAGTTTTAAAATACTACGGAGATGCCTAAACGAAAAAGGGTGATGACTATCGTAGATTTCAACTTGGGCTGCATGTGAGCAACCGTTCAAGGCCTGCAGCGACAACATGCAGCATCAGAAGTCTCATTAAATGTATATTGACATGGAATGTGTTGACTATTGAGTAAACGTTTCAGGCCTGATTAAGGGAAGAAATGTTATATGGCTCGCACGGAAATGCAATTGAAAATATGTATATTTTAGGGCTCTCTTGACCAAAAAGGTTCCCGACCCCTGGTCTGGCCTATTCAATGTTTTGTCTTATTACAAAACTTTTCTTAAGTAATAAAATTTGTTGTTGGTATCTCTTCTTTTCTGCTTATTATATCCTGATTTATTCCAAAATAAAATTTTCAGGTGATAGTCTTTTAATCAAAGCAGTCGCAGAAACTACAGGAAGATCAACTGAAAAAATAAAAAGTGATCAGAAAAAACTTGGCGATCTTGGTGCAGTTGCAGAGGTATTTCTTACTGCCGTCTTGTCCTTTTCGCTTAAAACAAGGATTTTTAGAAGCAGCCACGTGTTTGTAGAAAGTTCAAAAATTTTTGCGGTTAATCATGGCTTATCTATTTAATATATTGATTAGACTCTTTTTTGATAAGCTTACTTTTCTTATCTTTTCTTTGCAAGATAAATCTTATATTTGTTTATTTATTATTTTAGACGAGCAGGACAACACAGAAAATGATGTTTGCCCCTCCGCCTCTTCATGTCCGTGGTGTATTTGCTAAACTTAAACAGATTGCTTCTATTTCTGGTGGTTCCGTAAGTATTGCATGAAATATTGCGTGCTTGTCAGCCCTGGTAAAACACAGATATTTTATTATCTTCCAAGTATCCGACTTTTTCATTCGAATAATTTGTATGCCCAGAAATTCGATTTACAGCCAAATTCATAAATAAATTATGGAAAAATCTTCTCTTTCCTCAAGATTATATCTTGTTTGTTCCTATAATGAAATCTTACAATCTTTCTCAGTCCATGGGTCAAAAAGTCAACTTGGTGAAGAGCTTACTGGTTGCATGCAAGTCTAGTGAAGCTAGATACTTGATAAGGTTAGTTACCCATGTACAACATCCAGAATTCCAGCTATTTGGACGAAGGGGATCTTGTTTTGAACTGCACGTCCTTTCCCCTTGTTTGCTTTCTACTTCAGATCTATGCTTGGCCGTTGCCACAAGGATGCTTGATTGAGATATGCAAAGTGATAAATAAGAAAATCTTACTTAAACAGAGCTACCATTTTTTAAAAGTTAAGATAAAATTATGTTGGTAGGTTTTTGTAACCTTTTTGTAGAACAGGATCATATACTGTGTCAAATAACTGGAGTTAACTGATAAGAGATTATATTTTAAGGGAATAGTATGTGTTCATAACAGTCTTCAAAGCAGTTATCGTAGTTGTTGGTCTATTGTCATTCCATTTTACCAGGATATTCGTTTTGTAGTTTGTAAATGAAATGCTCTGTTTCATCGCAGGTCATTGAGTGGAAAACTTCGAATTGGGTTAGCTGAACAATCAGTTCTGACTGCTCTTGCTAACGCTGCAACATTAACACCACCCGGAAAAGGTAGGTCTTGTTCTAAAGTAATATATTATAAAAAACTTTCGAGTTCATTATTCTTTATTATATATTTAATATCTTGCAGTCCACAGACCGTCTAACCAAGTTCCAGATTTTTTTAAAATTCAGCAACTTTCATCAGCAACAATCATCAGCTGAAAAATCGAGCAAAAACCAACATATTAGAAACGAAATAACAAAATAAATTATACTTCTTTTTATTTCTGTTTGTTTTTGTCCCTTCAGAAATATTTAATTCTGGGAAAGGAATGTCTCCCGAAGTACTCAAGTCAATGTTAGAAGAAAAAGCTCTCATCGTAAAGACAACATATTGGTAACATTATTTTTATACAGCTAATTTGATTACATCAAAATGTACACATCAAAAGCAAAATAAACTTGTCTGAGTTTATGATTTCTTCTCAGCTGATATACTGATCTAATTTTTGAAAAGTTGATTATTGTTATAGTGAGCCCCGCTAAAACCAAAGTTGTGCAGTTTTAATAAATGTTGTGTGATCATGCTCTAAATAAGTTATAGATAACTACTGTCATCGATAAATAATAATTTTTATTATGCTATGCCAGCGTTCCCCAAACTTTTTGTTCGTGCGGCGCTAACTTATCAGGACACACTTACACAAACAAAACATAAATTTTGTGATCATTAATGTGTACTTTATGCCTTTTAAAGTTTTAAACATGTAGGTCTGAGGAATAAAGGCAAAAGGTCAACCCTTCTTTCTCATCTCTGCCTGATTTTCCGTTTAATCAGTCATTTGGAAATTATTCTCTATTCGCAGCAGGCAGTATTGGGGCGCACTTAGCAAATCGCCATGGCACACTTCGCAAATTTGCAATCGCAAATTTTTTTGTTAGTGAGGTACACTAAAGCAGTGTATTTTATTATGAATAATATAGTAGTATTTATTATTGATTACTAGAACAACCCTTTTAGTGATGAACAATTCTTGAATTGAGGCTTTTATATTTCTTCATGTTTCTATAATGCTGAACTTAAAATAAAGTGACAGGTAAATGTATGTTATCAGTAACTTTTTAAAATTGACTTAATGACTTCATTGTTTGTTATCTGCAGCGAATTGCCAAATTATGATGTCATAATAGAAAAACTACTGAAGAATGGAATTGATAAATTACCAGAACATTGTAAAATAACACCAGGTAAATTCTTCGCTAATCAAAGTCAGACTTTCTTAAACAAGCAGTTTAAAACAATAATATTAGAATTAGATCAAATAAAAAACTGCTTATTCTAAATCACTTCTGAGGGCAATTCTGACTTTGATTAGAACATTACATAAAAATATTTGTGGAAGTGTGATGCAAGACATTCAAACCACTCAATAAATCATTTTTTTTTTATTTTCAACCATATAAAATTGAAAAGAATTCATGTGAAAATTTCTTTCTGTTGAATTTTTTATTTTCAATCATGAAGCAATCTATCCACAGAAAAATAGAATACGGTAGTTATACAAATACCATCGTTTATTCTGGTATATTGTTATCAAGATATTTTTTGACATTCCGCTAATCTTTATTAGTATTAAAACGCACTCATCGCACACGAGTGTGAGTTCGTTAGTTTGTATCTTATTGAAGTCACAGGATAGTTCACATATTCTCTCCGTCGGTTACATCCTCTATTTATATGTGCTGATCACATATCCATACATGGCTGGAATTTGAGATATATTGATCGTCGCTTTATTAATTTTGCTTTCTTTGAAGATATATACAGATGACCCAGAAGTATGTTCAACAGTTTTGAGTGAGGTAAAAACTCTACTTTTTTTTATTCTCAGGAATACCCCTCAAGCCTATGCTTGCTCACCCGACCAAAGGAGTGACTGAGGTATTGAGTAGGTTTGATAAGAGTGCATTCACTTGCGAATATAAATATGATGGAGAAAGAGCGCAGATTCATGTTTTGGAAAATGGGAAGGTAAAGTAGATAGTTATATTTAAATACTGGTTGATACCTAAATACACTGATTTTGATCTAATTGCTTTGATAGCAAGCTTTCTGCCTTGATAGGATAAGATTTATATATTTATCCTGGGGGAGAGGAAAGGCGATAGGTTTTGTGAGTAATTTTTTAAAATAATATTCTTGTGTTTAGATTGAAATTTACAGCAGAAATCAAGAAAAAAATACATCAAAATACCCTGATATCATTGCAAGAATGCCACAGGTTGAAAGAAACTTTTTTATGTTATTCCCCCTGTTTGAAGATGCAAATTAATTCAACAAATTTTTTTCATTCGTTTTGTAGGTTTTAAAAGAAGGCATCAAGTCTTGCGTAATCGATTCTGAAGCCGTCGCCTGGGATAAAGTTAACAAACAGATTCTTCCGTTTCAAGTAAGTTGTGATTACTATCAATTTTGCATATTATCAACAACAAAAAAATTCTATCAATTTGTCTCAGCAGGTTTCTGTTTGTACAATATGATGATAAAACATGAGCAAATTTTAGTTTAGTTTTATTTCTGTCATATAATATGGGTATGCTATAATAATTTTCGCTGCGTTCAAAGAAAAATCTGGATTTGTCTTACAATTTTTACTTGAAAACATCATGATTTTTAAATTCAAAAATCAAAATATATGTTGAATTCAATATAATTGAATTTAGATCATTTTAAATTGAATTTGACTGTACAGCTTAAAAAATTATCTGAATGTAGAAGTATCTCTTGAAACAGTCTTGTATTGTTTCTGCGTCATTTTTTACGTTGCAGGTTCTCAGCACAAGAAAAAGAAAAGATGCAAATTTATCAGAGATAACTGTTCAAGTCTGTATTTATGCTTTCGATCTTCTATATATTAACGGACAGGTGAGGGGAAAATGACTTCTTGAAAGTTTTTATTATACACAGTGGAAAGATTCAGATTTCACGATAGACGATTACGTGTAAAAGGATTTCAGAAACCCCTGTCGTCAATTACACTTTTCTCCACCATCCGAAATGACTTATCGTACTTGAATCTGACTCATCATTATCATTATATGCTCCTATTATCTAGGTGTATGACAATGTTGATAAATTTCATAACAACATGCCAGTAATTTATAATTGTGGACTTGTGGTTTAGTATATATATTAGTCAATACTTTATATAATTTAGTCATTAGTTCGAGAACCATTGAGAAAGCGCAGAGAACGTTTGTTGAAAAGCTTCAATCAGATAGAAGGAGAATTTGTTTTTGCGACATCACAAGATTCTGTAAATACAGATGAAATCGCTGAATTTTTGGAAGAATCAATAAAAGGTCAGTCAATTTTAGCCTTTTTCAATCAGTTAATGTTGTAAATAGTCTCACGCGCAGATTTTTTTGATTTCAAGCCATTTTGTTTGGATGGCTCTTCAAAAAAGGTGACTTGAGTCTAGTTAATGATTCCAGTTCCAACAGCTTTAAACAAAATGTGATTGTAAATTGGACCATTAACATCGTAATAAATATAAATAAGCTTTGGTTTGTTCAAGCCCAATTCCATTAAGGTGTGAAATTTCTATCAATTCTTAAATCTTCTCTTTCATTTTTGACACCAACATTTTATACAAGATTTGTATTATTATCTATAGGTAATTGTGAAGGACTTATGGTAAAAACACTCGACGATAAAGCTACTTATGAGATCGCAAAAAGATCTCATAATTGGCTCAAATTGAAAAAGGTAAGAGTGTATTATATTTCTGTAATACTTTAAGTATAACCTGTAAAAACGAGTGAATTGTCATTGTGGCTGTTTTTTTTCAATTGGAATCACTATAGGTAACTATACATGTTTTAAGTTATATCAAAGCCCTCTTTTTGCTCAAAATGTACTTTTTCTAAAAGAAACATATTTGAATTTAAATTTCGAAATTATTTCTAAAATTGTGGCTTCTCATTTTCTGTTGACTTCTTATTTACGTATGTCTTTCCAAAATTTGTCATTATCTCACAATTCCATTTAAAAAAACTTTCATTTAATACAATAGGATTATTTGGAAGGAATGGGTGATACACTAGACTTGGTTGTCATTGGAGGTTATCATGGGAAAGGAAAAAGAACAGGAACATATGGTGGATTTTTATTAGCTTGTTATGACAACGAAAGTGAAGAATATCAAACCATATGCAAGGTAGTTAACTTTACATTGAAAAGCTGCCAACAAAAAATTTTTTTAAAAAAATTTGCTCGAATTAAGGTCATGTACACTCACTTAGTTAGAAGTAAAAAAGACTGATATCTGAGTGATGACCACTAAATTGTCAAGAGCTATTGATTAGACTACAGTGGCTCTCAAACTTTTTAAGGTGCGCCCCTTTTTGGGATTTGTCAAGTCTCGCGCCCAGCCTCAAAAAATGACTAGCCAACAATAAGCTACAAACTACAAATTGTAAGGCGGAAGTATATTTCATTCAAAAAACATGTTGAAAATACGTGGATGGAGTCGCAATCTCTAAACAATAAAGAAATGTAAATATCCGAAATAAGGCGGGCAAGATAAATTAATCAGCTTTGCGGCCTCTTGAAAAATTGTGGGGCGCATCCAACCATTTGAGAACCACTGGTTCAGAACAGAATTATAGCAAAGAATTATGCACTAGTAAATACCAATTAATGCGAGACTACTCAGACTAGGATCAGTTTATGTCAATACGATGAGAAATTTGTATTTTATACACTTGATTAACGTCATTATATTACAAATAATATCTAATTTCTAAAAAAGGGAGTTGATTATGAATAGTTTATAAATTGTGTTGAAAAATAATGACTTATCTACTCAACATTTGCTATTTACGGTTATCCAAATCTTCCTATATTGTGTATTTAGAAAGTTTTAAAAACGATCTTTTTCATTGTGGCAGATTGGCACCGGATTTAGTGATCAAGCTTTGTCAGACCATACAAATTACTTCAAAGATCATCTGTGTGATAAACCAAAGCCATATTATCGGTATGTTTTAAGATTGGAAGCCTTCTATGAGGAATTGTTGGATAAAGTTGCCCGTACCATTCTTGGTATGATACACCAGCTGCTTGTGAATTTTCTACTGGATGACCCGAAAAGAAAACAGAATCCACGAATTTCTTAATTATTTATACAAAAATTAAAATTTTTTAACACTTACACTTCTGTCGGCGCTCCAGAAGTATGTGTACCAATATGGAGGTAACTAATTTTGTTCGCCCATTTTAAATCAAGTTCCCTATGGGCATGGCGCAGGGATGACCAATACCGAATAGTTCACTATTTCGAATACATTCGAAATTATTTTTTTAGAATATGAAATTTCGAATACTTCGAAAATAAAATCCACTAATTGAATCTTATCTAAATGTATGTAGGAATTTCCATACAATAAGCAATGGAATAACTTCTATCTACAACCTAGCTATCTACAAGTTACAACCTAGCTATATTACCAGGCATTTCATATTTGCAGATTATTGCAGTATATATTTTGTATACCATGAGTCATGTTAACAGAATTAAATTAATACGGCAAGGCATTTTAAACAGTGGTATCGGTGATGGATTTGAATATTTTCGCAACACAAAATCATCCTAGTAAAATGCCCATACTTTTAGATATCAACCATTATCCAAATTATTTGCCAAAAAGCGGGATAAAGTATGAGTTATTTTTCCGACTCGTGACAATTTTTTTGCGAGTACAAAAATACGAATCAAAAATTAATTATATTCGGGAACTTTATCACACATTAGTCCGCAGATCGCCGTTGTATGTTTGAGTAATATTACTTTTATTATTTCATAAATATGAAAATAGGAATCAAAAGCTATTTATAATCGGGAGTTTGCCACACAATTTATGTCCACAGATTGCCGTGATATTGTGCCGAATATAATTAGTTTTTGATTCTTATTTTCGTACTCACGAAAAAATTGTCACAAGTCGGAAAAAGAAATTATACTTTATCCCGCTTTTTGGGAACTAATTTGGATAATGGTTGCCATTGGTTTGTATTTAAAAGTATGTACTTTTTTTAGGATGATTTTGTGCTGCGCAAAATATTCGAATCCATGACCGATACCACTATTTAAAATGCCTTACCGTGTTAATTTAATTCTATTATCATACCTCAAATGTTGGTAAATCGGGAAGTTTACCACACATTTTAAGGCCACAGATCGCCGTTGCATTTTAAAAACATAATAGTTTTATTATTTTGTAAATACGAATCCGAAATTAATTATAATTGGGCAGTTTACCACGTATTTCATGTCCACAAATACCCGTGGTATTTGGTATTAATACTTTCATTATTTTATCAATATGAAAATAGGAATCAATATCTAATAATATCTGTCAGTTTACCACACATTTTATGTCCACAGATTGTCGATACAACCATGAGTTACGTTGAACAGAATTAAATTAATACTGCATGACATTTTAAATGCTGGTACCAGTCATGGATTGGATTATTTTGCGCAACAAAAAATCATCCTGGTAAAGGATCGATACTTTTAACTATCGTTTCTAATAAATCGACTTGTTTTTCCAACTTTGACAATTTATTGGATATCGTAACCGTAAGCAAAGCACTCTTAGCACTCAAAAAAGGGGTTTTTGTTTTTCCATATAGGTTTCCAATAAGACGGGTAGAAAAATTGTGTCCCTGTTGTCCAGTTATGCTGATATGCGATAATAATTTTATATGTTTAGAACCAGATCATGTTAGTTTAGTAGAATCATACTCACAGAATTAACTATTTTTAACAATTGAGCGGTAAATTTAAGTTGTAAAGCGGCAATCATTTTGGACAAACTATTAACCCGAATGTTGAAATAATTTTTGAATGTGATAAGTACTACACCGTACGTGCACGGGTTATTTCGCAGCTGTGTTTTCCGGTACCTGTCAGGTTCTGCTGAATCGGCAAAACGAAAGGATCACAAATCACTTTATCTCTGTGGCCGTGTTTCTCTTTAATTAAAGTAACGATAACCGGCCTGCGATTAAATATCATGATTGGCAGACCCTAAGACCCAGCGACTTATTAGCTGGGAAATACGTAATTGTCACTTTTTCGACGTAATGGAAATGAATTTGTAAATTAAAAGCCTCGTAGACGAATGTCGGCAATGTCCACCCACGCAAACATGCAAATGTGTCGCAACACGCACGGTCGCACAGAATATAAACAATCAAAGTGCCGATTCTATTTCATCGTCATTACAATACCTGAGACAGCGTAAAAAGTCGTTTGAAGATTCCCGTAAAACGAAACACCACGTTTACGGCGAAAAGTGGCTACTATTCGGAATTATTCGAAAATCAGCCGAAAAGGTATTCGAATACTTTGATATTCGAATACATTCGAATATTCGATTCGTTTTGGACAACCCTGGGCATGGGGTATATTCACTTGGCTAACACAGACAGTCCCCGAACTCGTAATAGAACTAAAATGAGGAAAATCAGAATAAAATTATAGCCTGACCCTAACCTAGTACACATACTAAGGGAAGTAGTTTGTGTATAATTGTACCCAAAATCATCATCATTCTAGGTCGCATTGCACAAAAGTTATTTTCTCTCAAGAACAGGGATGCGAAGTGGGAACCCTTTTCAGTGAATAGGTTATATGTTATATTGTGGAAAACAAGGCTGTGCGGGTCATAGATATTCAATCAAAGATTACATCAATGAAAAACTTGCTGTTGCAACTTTTACACAAGGCTTAAATTCTTGGTGAACCGAATGTGAATTTGTTCGTTAAATACATTTTTTTGATATATGTTTCTTAGTTTGAATGGTTCAGAAGCAGACCAATGGTTTGAACCTGTGCAAGTATGGGAAGTAAAGGCAGCCGATCTATCCATATCACCTGTATATGCCGCAGGAGCTGGAATTGTAAGTCTCATATTTTTTATTCTTTCTTGAAGCAAATATTGTGTAACTCGTATTAATATTAACTTATTTGAATATGTGAATTTCACTGCGAGTCAGTAGTTTGAATAGGGTTACGCTGAAATTAAAACGCAGTGAGGCATCTTCATATTTAGAGCTGCTTTTCGTTAGTAGCAAAATACTCAGTTGATTAAATAAAAATTGTCTTCCTCGCTTCCTGTTGCTGGATGTCTTATTTTATGTGTCCAAATTTGAACATATAATAATAGCCGACTATTATTTTTAGTCTCTTTCGTTCTCGATTGTCGCATGAATGAGCTAGTTTTTGGGAAATGTGCTGAAGAAAAGCCGAATGGTGTATTACTATCAGGAATGTTGCAGGCCCAATACAAAAACATTCCCACTTGCCCGCTTTCATGCAGTGCCCAGCTATGCTATGTGTCATACTAATATGAATAGTGGAACAAATCAATTTTTTTTTTTGAAAAGCATTCACAATATGAAGTAGTGACAGTTTAGAAATGTAATCCTTATTCCTTATAAATGCTAAATGGAAATTGGTGCATTTTTGTGATATACAGAGTTTCAGCGTTACTTACAGAAACTGATTACAGCTTTTTGTCAATTGGTTAAAATTAATATTGTTTGTGAACACCATAGGTTGATCCAGAGAAAGGAATGTCACTCAGATTTCCAAGATTCATAAGGATTCGCGATGATAAGAAACCAGAGGATGCTACAACGAGTAGTCAGGTGTGTTAGACTATTTGTTACATACTCTTCAAAAAAGTTCAAATTGATTCATCATGATGAGCAACATATTGCCTATCCATTGCCATTGCCATTGTCTGGAGCCGACTCACCCTTCAGGCTGTTCTAACACAAACTTGCCTGCCAATCCATGCAACTATGACTAGGACTTGGCACTTCAAAACTAATTGCAGCCATTTTGTTGTCAATGCTTGTAATGACCTAGAACCCATGTAAAATTCTCTGCCCCAATTAAAAGTAGTTAGGGATATTAATAAAAATCAGTTTTCTATCATTGATTTGAAATATTTAGGTTGCTGACATGTACAACCAACAGGAGCAAGTCAAAAACCAGCAACAAGATGGCGGTGGGAAGAAGCATGATACAGATTTTTATTAACTTATGATTTGTGAATATTTCACAATTTTGAATACATTCTGGAAAAATAATTTTAAATATGAATTATTGAATACATTCTAAATCAGGGGCAAGTTCATGTGGAAAATTACTTAAATCACTACATCTTCATGTTGATCACATCCAAAAGACATTGTTTTTTTTTGTTGTTTGTCATCAATTGAGATATTGTATGTTTAGATCTGCTTGTCTGACGGCTGAAATCTCTGATTTTCGACGATTTTATATCGAATATAATGAATTTTGAGGGCATCCCTGTAAATATGTTACTAGGTTTCCCAAACCAAACAGTAAAACTATTTATTCGCTTGTCAAAATAATGAGCATTCAGACTTTTGAAACCAGTTATCATCAAGTATTTGACTTCAGAATGACTTATCATTACTATATAAGGGGATTTGTTATTTATTAACAGTTAAATGTATATTTGCGTATATTTAGTCGGTTTTCTAAATTGTTCTGCGATTGTAAGCACACATGATGTAATGTTTAAGGGGAGTTGTTATTTATTAACAGTTAAATGTATATTAAGTAAGTTTTCTGGATTGTGCTGCGATTGTAAGACCGTGTGATGTAATGTTTACTTAATCACATTTACTGCCTCCTTGAATAAATAATGTTTGTCACTGCCATATTCTTGGTTGCATTTTGAATAAATGTTTTTATTACAACATTCAAAGTGTTTTAACCATTTGGTTATCTTCTATACCAGTGTGTCAACTTTCTAATGCTTGTTATTGACTTATTAAACAAATAGGCACACAAAACTAGCAAGTGATGGAACTCAGATTTTTGAGAACGATGTTTCCTCACTTCAAGAATGGGTTTGTGTTTATGCCACGCAGGATATTTGAAATATGTCAAATAAAACTCTAGTTGCAGTGCATGGTGCCCATTGGCAACGTGTGTCTTGCATTTAAAACGACAGGTTCGCGTGAATCCCTACACTGGTTATATATACGACCTTGTCCCACACTCCCACTGTAAAATGAAGTACTATGCTATGAAATTGTGCGAATATTAGCACAGACCATTATGAAAATGACAAACCTTTTCAGAACAGATGTCAGATTATGAATCAGCGTTTCTCTCTCACACACTAAAGACTGGAAAACAATAAACGCATGGGTATATAATTATACAATTGCAGTTTTATATCAGAAAAATATAGATGGATATCACAGAGCAGCATATAAAAGGTAGTACGACAGGCAATGGGCGAATTAAGTAGTTTAAAACAGTTTTGCTGCACGAGTTTCTTACATGAGAAGAAATATCAGGACACAAAGTGTTAAAGTTACATTTGGGGTAGAATATATCATGATTTCATTGCATAAATTGGAAATTAATATGAAGACCGTTCCATATATAATTATAAAAAATAGGGATTACTACAAAAACACATTAAATTGCTGATAGGTGGCACCAATAATAATACAGTTTTTCCAATACTGTAAACTACTGACTACAATGGAGAATTCAATATTCTGTACTACAGTATTAAAATGATTGCGGGTCTGTTACTACAGCAAAGCACCCCTCATTATCGAGTTCATATGCTATACAAAGCTGCATAGTTGAAAGATGCTTTTATTCCATTGGAGGAATATTTGAATGTAACAGCGAAAACAATGATACTAAACAGCATTGTGATAGTACAATACCCATATAACATTATGGTAGCTCTACAAAGTGTCAGATACAATAGGGAATAATAGACTACATTTAAGCCCTGAGGAATTTCAGTTGAAAAAACTTCCATGCAGTAACATTCATTTGTAAAAAGTTGAGATAATGTTGACATATGGATTAGGAATGATACAGATCCCATGAAAGAAGTAAAAAATTCAATAAGTGATTCAGAAAGATCCTGTACCAGTTACTTGTCGAATTTTTTCAAGCGAAAGCCAAAACGTTAAAGACCAGGGTGCCATTCTCGACCATATTGGTATAAATCCTTTATACAAACTAAAAAATCCCTCTTTTCGAACAGTTTTCATTAAGCATTCTATGGAAGATCTATAATAAAGTCCGACATTATTTTTGTCTCTTGGTTGATTCATAATTCTAGTTTTCACAACATCCGCTGGAGTTCCAAGAGTGGCCGCAGTGAATCCACTTAAAATACTTGATATTCCGTGACACATCCAATCATCTTTTAAATTGGTGTTGCGTAAAATAGCATGCTTGGCAGTGTCGTATGTCGCTAGATCACCCATATTTACTAAGGCAGCTCTTTGAACATTAGGTACCCATCCAACCCATAAACCTCTAATGCCCCCTGTCCTTAATGCCACAGATAAGGCATGCCACACACCCCGAACCCTTGGAGGGTGACCTTCCATACGTCGACGACCTTCCATCTGCATCTGAACTTTAACAAGATCCATAGGACTTGCGACGAATTGTCCGATCGAGCCAGCGCACAACCCTCCAATAACGGCTTTGTAAACAGGAAATGAACCGTCACTGTTTCTTCCCAAAATTTCACGGATTTGTTCATACGCACCCATTCGAACTCCAGTGTATATTAAATGGCGGTAAACAGCAGGTGGTAGTCCCTGCCACAGTTTAGTAATACCTTCTTCTTGGACAATACCAACAGCGGTTCTAACCATTCCACGGTTTCGCACAGAAACTGTGCCATTTGCAGCAGTGTTAGCATGTTCACCCTGTATTTGAAGTCTAGTTTTGGTCAGATCCAAAGGAAAAGTTACTGTTTCCGCTATGGTTGAAGCAGCGGCAGACAAGGCATATTTCCACCCCACAATCTTAATTTCTTTTTTCCACTTTGATGTTGTGGGCAATTCACTTCGCTCGGAAGACATAATTTCAGAGCTGTATGTTTCAAGTTTCAAGACAGTACCGTATGTGTCAGAAAATAACGGCAATGGAGACAAAACTTTCAGCGATGGAGAACATACTTCAGTACTTACTGATCAAATCAATAAAGGAAACTAGAAAGGCAACCCCGTCACATCCGATTTCAGGAAATACTCTTCACGACAAAAAATAAATACCGTCGACGCACTTAACACACAGATCTACGGGTAGAACAGTTCCAACCCATCACCGTATCTGTACTTTCTGACTTTCAACACAACACACGTAAAGCTGCAAAGTATACAATACAGCAATGAGTTGCCTAAAACGCTAGTCAGCTGAGTTAACGCCCCCCTTTGAACCACCAATCACTGGAGGAGTGGATAGTTTCAGCGTGATAACAAAAACATAGACAAGACGTGGTTCAAAGTCCCTCTAGCTGAATGTGTTTTACATGGTGCACATAATTACCGATTTTTCCATTTTAGTACAATCTTCCCTCTATTCAATTCAAGAAAAGTGGCTCCAATAGTGTTTTTTTCAAGGGGGGGGGGGGGGGGGGATCCTGTGGGGAATCATTATGTGTGAGAGTGTCCTTTATGTGTCCATTATGTGTTCTTCCCTCAGTAAAAATATGTAAATCCTATCCGACGCGGCGGTGTGGCTTATCGTAAATCTTATCCGCCGTAGGGTGGGTTGTAAATCCTATCCCATGGAGGAGGCGAGTGGGGTTGCAGCTCGGGCCATATTGTCGTGTTTATGCCGTATGAAAATTTTTATGTTTTTCACACTGTTATGGATAACTACTACTATTCGATGTCAATTATGCCCGACCTAACTGTTGTCATCCAAATTATAATTTGCATAGTAAGTCTCCGATCAATCGCAAATCGTTTATTAATGGTTATTATCAGATTTTGTTCTCTTGCATGAAAAAACATCAACTGCTTCCAACTTGTTCAACCTTCAGGCAGTATCGAATCTGGGTATCGTGAAAAAATATAATACCCATAATGCACTTAAATTGGAGAATATTACATAGTTTTATTACGAAATGAATATTATTCCATCAGAATAATAACTTATCTCTACCATGTTTTATTAGTTTTTTCAGGTCCACAAGCCTTATCCATATTATTTCAAATTTTCTTCTGAGATTTGCCTTGATGGCCAGTGGTCATTACATTAATACCCGTCATCGTCGTCAGTTCGGAAACGCTATATTATACCCCATGATCGCACATATTTGCAGGGTCCACATGTTGACGTTGTCGTCTTAACGCATAGTGTAGGCAAAATTATTTTTGCCACTGTCGTTAAATCTTGCTTGCGGCAATTTAAGTTGTTTTGAACGCAAACTATTATCATGCGGAGGTGGTCTGTATAATCCTATTAGTAGAAAAATTCGCGATTACGCTTTTAAATTTAGAATAAATTGAACGAGTCATTAAAGATTTATTGCTGTGATCCAAATCCTTTTGTACAAAGTTCCCGCCACTAATGCGAAAATGTGAGATTTGCAAAAAACCCTCCCCCCCTCCTAAAATAATAAATTAGTAATTATTCAGTTAGGGTTAGGAATGATTTGAAACTTCTCTCTCTGCCTTCACCAGGGGCGGATTAAGCCCCTTTGGTGCCCCCTCATGTGTAATTTAAATCTAAAAACAATAAACCACATAAGTGTATTATCCATTAAAAATAATAACAACCAACAGTAAACAAAACAACTTTTAAGAACATTTTTAGGTTTTTTAACTGTTATATATAGCCGATATATAGGCCTATATATATATATCGGCAAACACGCAATATCGGGCCGATATATCGGTTGAGATCTAATCCTGAGGGAGTGTGACAATAAAGATTCATGCCTCCAGTCTCAACGTGAATCGAAATACCAAAGGATACAAGTCACAACTGTCGTTTGAAATTTTACCGGTACCTAGTAGTCTACCTCGGTGGTTCAAGGTTGCCACAAAAACTTTTGAGGAGGTCTCGCGGGCCGCAAGTCGGAGAAAACCCAAAAGTGATCGAAATATCGCGAGTTTACTTACTTCAAATTTAATAAACAACGACTGTTTACCGTTTTAATCAGACTATTATTATGTTGCATGGGTGGCGTTCTTTTAACTTATCCTATCTTATGTATATAAATCCTTCAGTTATTTTAAATTTAATTCCCGGGAATTACCGTTGTGTTTTGAGCATCTCGCGTTTAATGTCGCTTCAAATTATATTCTTTCCAGACAGGTATATTACTTGAAATCAAACCAGACACTGTGTGATGGGCAGGGAAATACGTTTCTGCCGTGTTTTTCCTTATGTCACCTTTCTTGCGACACTCATTTCATTACGAATTGTTATATTGAGTAATTTAAAAACTTGCAGCGTGAGCAAGCTTAGTGCCATCGTCAAATACCAACCAAGTCCGTCTAAGTTGGTATTTCGGGACCTAGCTAAAAATCAAACTGGATTGCGCGGCGTTAAGTCGGCTCTGCGTTTCGTCACTACTGTCACATGGCCGACGCTTAAAAACAGAGGAGTGTTTTTACTAAAATAAAGGCACAAAGCGTAGAAAAAGAGTTTGAATCTCGGGATCCCAACCCCAGTTGGATTAGCTAAAAAAAAACGCAAAACGGTCCTCCATTAGATACAAATATACGCTAAAATGTATCAGCATGACAGGGTTTGGACCACCCTGGTCTACCTTATCGAAAAACTCCCGACTCCGCTGACCACTAGCTAGATCGTTGAAATGCGATCGTGGAACCGCCACATATATACTGTAAAGTAAATAGTTCATTGGACCAATTGTTGAAGAGAAAAGAAATTTTTTTAAAACAAAAATGCAGCAGCAGGGAGAATATACTAGAATAAAATAACAACAACAGTTTAAGTAAACGACCCATAGGCCCATTTCGTGTCCAAAAAAAAGTTTCAGTGTTTATTTTTAATAAGGAAGGTTAATATGATACTTGAAGACAAAAAATAAGCGAACATTTTGAAGTTTGAGTCGTCTGGTGAACTCGTAATATTTTAATAAACACCGATAAACTATATAAAATTCTGCTCTACAATTTCTGTGATGCCCACGGTTTTATAGTGGCCGGGGCTTTTCTTCTTCCCCCTAAAATATTGGTGTTGAATAAAAATACGTTACTCGTTATTATGATATTCTGATGTTCACAAAAACACTCGAACTACTTTATATAATATAATATATATATTATCGAAGCTTTTCATACGATCTTGTTCTGAGCGGATACAGTGTATACAAAGTAGTAAGAACGTAAACACAACTGCAATCGAAGTAGGCTTGTTTAGTTGTCAAACAAAAGTTTCGAGCAACCGAATGTGCATTTAAGCGTGAACGCGTGCGTTGAAAGAATCAGAGGAGTCATTCGACAAGTCCTCGCAGGGAAATAAGCAGTATTAATAAGAAGTATTATTGCTGACAAAATGGAAGGGTACAACAGACTGGTAGAATATGTCCCACCAGAATGGTGTAGAAAACTAAAAGTGCTGCCAAAGTTCAGGATTCCGGTAAGCGTTAGATCATATATATATATACACTAAATTTCTGTACTCGACTTTAGAAAAGTTGACCAGATATTGCGACCAGCCTTCCGTATGATTAGGCGCCTAAATCGAATGCTTTTCCCAACATAACGATTCACGTTCGCTCCGCACAAAGTCCTTTAATTCCTTGTTTTGCGTTTAGAAAAATGTGAATGAGTGTTTGACTCTAAGGGCTTTAACTGAATTATTTCATTGAGATTTATCTGGAAATGCATCTTAAAAATGGATCTAATCAGAAATATTACAAAAGATTGATCAGATTAGTAATATTTAATCATTTGAAAGTTGAATGTAAAAATTCGCATTTTTTATGAAATTTACAAGTTACGCCATACTTACCTACAAATGGGAATTTGCAGCTATAAAATCTAGTTTTATTAATTCGTCATGTTATTAATCCAATATTAGTAGTAGTAGCACAACTCGAAAAGATTTATTAAAGTTGTGTTTTAGATCAGTCACGAACCGCATAACATTGGCATAGAAGTTTCGACTGTAACGGATGTGTACCGCATCTAAGATTTACCTTGTCAATCAATCCTTTGTATTAATAGAGTGAAATCATTAAATTGGGCATTTGCCATATATCGTGATTATGATTTGTCTCGACAAGCGACAAGTCTTAGCAATGCTTCTTTGTATCAACCGAACTTTGACGCGTTTCCGTCTCCATACGAGAGTTTAGAATATTGTGCTTATGGATTAGTGTTGGTGTCCTCATTCCAACTCTGTATGAACGTCTAATGATAGTACGGGGGTAAGGACACGCAGATAGGGACATTCGTCCCTACCAGTGATTTCCCTACACACCCCTGGAAATTTCAACACCCCGCCCCCTTCCCCCCCCCACTAATTTTTAGGTGTGACACCATACTTTAATTCTTAACGTAAATAAAAATGTATTCGAATATTCAGAAAGTGGCTTATAGTCATATGCCGGTGAAGATGATCAGTCCAATACATAACACATTTTTATAAGTTACAAATAGTTTTATTACTATTAACAACTATATCTACCACTCCCTAAATTTGGAAACACCCCCGCTAAAATAAAAAAGCTGAGGAACATACGGGTCCCTACAGACTCTGCTAAATTGACCGATAGTAAGTAATTCGAAGATGCGATTTTCGAAGATAATTTTTAGCCTTCTTTCCCCGACAGCTTGCAATGACACCAACTCCTATTCACGAATGGAAAATCGAAGATATTCCGGAAGCTTTCCAATTGTTCGTTAAACGAGACGATTTGACGGGATGTTTACTAAGTGGAAACAAGGTATTGCCATTCGCTGTTCAAAAATGGCATATTCAGTTGACCTTCCTTCTGTAGTAACTTTTACTATTATCTAGGTTAGAAAATTGGAATTTCTGTTAGCTGATGCCAAAGCAAAAGGTTGTACAAGCGTGGTTACGAGCGGATCTACGCAATCAAACCACGCAAGAAGTACCTTAATCGCTGCCAAACAAGTCGGGATGGATTGTCACTTGATACTGAGGGATATAAACGAGGTTCAACTATATTTCATGAGATTAAGAATGTTTATATATTTTTAAAAACTACATTAACTCAACAAAAAATAGTTATATCACATATTTGCTGTGATTATTTTATTATTAAATTCGGGGCTCCCGAAGTATGCGAACCAAGATGGCGGACATCGGAATGTAATATGTGTACTAGGTTAGGGTTAGGCCATAATTTTAGGTATAAATACTACGGGAGGCTTTTGGCTAGTCTTCGAACTGATAATAGGACTAAAATAAGCAAAATTGGGAAAAAATTATCGCCTAACCCTAACCTGTTACCCATGTTACGTTCCGATGTCCGCCATCTTGGTTCGCATACTTCGGGAGCACCTTAAATTCTGTATACGAATTTTGGTCTTGCTCCCAACATAAATAGATTTGGTGAAAGAATTTGCATTCAAATGCCTTAATATCTATTGATATTCGATTTAAAATTTGATACCCAAAGATTTTTCAAATTGTAAAATTGCTACGTCGAAAGATTGTTTACAGGTACATCCCACTGTTTTATTTAATTAGTGCATCCGTTTCACCAAACCTTGCAAATCATTGTAGAACTGCACAACAACAGTTCCGAGTGGCAACTTTCTGCTAATGGAATCTGCCAACCCGAATATATATCTTTTGCCATGGACATCTTTCAAAGATGAACAAGTTTCTGAGAAACGAAACGTACTTGTAAATCATATTCGGTAAGTATAATCTTTTAATATTATATGGTATTATCATTATTCGATTTTAAGTCTTGTAACTTTTTTATCAGAAAAACTACCGGCAAAGCACCTTATAGTATACCACCTGGTGGAGACAACGAACTAGGAGTATACGGGTATATACGAGCGTGGGAAGAAATGATGGAGCAAAACATTGACAAAAATTTCGATGATGTCGTAGTTGCAACCGGAACTTCCGGTACAACCTGTGGCCTTGCGATTGGAAATTATTTGACCGGTAGTAAATTGAAGTAATCCATTAATATTGTTGTAAAATTCTTGATCTATGATAAAATACACCCAAATTTTCATCGTATCTTTTTGACAGATTGCACGGAATTGTTATATCGCGAACAAAAGAAATGGTGCATAATTTGATTGATGAAAAATTAAAAAATTTCGGATTGAACGCACAAGCTCAAGATATTGTCGATATTATTGAAGGACATGTTGGAGGAGGATATAGCGTTTTCACAAAAGAGGAAATTGGTTTGTTCAAATTTTTATTATGTATCTTTCGGCTGCGTTTTAAATATATATATGTGTATGAAATACTAAGCGACATGGCTACTTATTATGGCTTCTTTTCAGCCTACTATCTGAAAATTGCCAAAACAACGGGTATATATTGTGACCCTGTATATGTTGGAAAAGCAATTAAAGGTCTAATGGACGAATTGAAGAACACTCCGAAACGATTCAAAGGAAAGCGGATTCTTTTTATTCATACCGGTAAGCGGAATTTTATTTGCACATGCAAAATTTTCTTTATGCATTTAAAATAAATTACCTTTCGTCTTTTTTATCACTTTCACTAGCCTAAAATTTATTTTTCGAGCATGTTGGCTCTTTTTCAGGAGGCATATTCGGAATGATGGATACTAACAGTGCCCAATTTATTAGAGACCAGGAAAAATCAAGTCGAATCAAACAATGGAGCGAAGCATTTCCCGAAGACGTTTAAACAATCTTTTTTATTATATCTAGTTTTTAGTACAGAAAAGTTAAAGATTACATAAATGTTAATTGTCTAAAAATAAATGATATCAATATGTGATTTCGGTAACACTAAAGTTTGTAGTTATTTGATGCCTCCGGAAATGCACGGCCATGACGCGTCTGCAATTAACAAGTGTGTGCGGACTGTTAACATATTTGTACAATTTTTTTAATAAACATTTAATAAAAAAAAAACTTCGTGCTGAAGATTGGCCTTACAGCTGTACATTTTAGTAACTCGTTCGCTACACAATTTCCCACCTGACAAAACTGTGTCATTTCTAAAGGTGGTCGAGCAAAAAGCCTCTGCTTGGTAGACTACAGACTAGTCAAAAGTATGGGGATTACAAAAAAATATGTTAGAACGGTAAACGTTTGAATTACCCACTGACAGTTGCAAAATTACTCCATTTGAAGGTAATTACTCTCAGTTTGGGAACCACTGATCTAATTAAACTTAACGCCAATAAGATGATATAATTTAGCAAATATGGTGAAATGTGCAGAAAGAGAATTGACCTAATAATCGTAAGCTAATTCTGGTTTAATAATCGTTCAATTCAACTCTATCAACGATTTTCTTTTACAAAATAACACTGCCGCACCGGCTAGTCGAGCCTATTTGGTAATTCTTAACTCTGGTATGCTTATGTATCTGGAATATTTCGATTACCGTGTCATGGTTTCAAAACAGTAGCTAGCAGAATAGAGAATTCCAGATAAAGATGATATAATTCATGAAGTGGAGGCTAGACTTTTTGTATTAAACCGGAAAGATTCGTTGCGAGGGTTTATAATCAGTAGTATATACATAAAGTTAAAAAATATTTTATCATTAATATTTAAATATCATGTATAAATATATTTATATCATTTAACATTTTTATTTCATTTTACCAATTTTAGTTTCGGTTTTTCACTACTATTGTCAATTTAATAAATCCAATCCGGATATTCAAATATATTATCATACCACCACATTCGCATACTTTACTGGAAATAATGTCATGGAGAAGTGACGCCCGTTGGTAAGACCGCTGTTTAGTTTGAGAATCACCAAGCTGAAGTTATTTTTCTTGTTGGCTTTACTTTCGGGAGTAATATAAGAAATCAAAATGGTAAGTTTTATTTCATTTATTTTTTGTCGTGAGTTGGAACATCATACAGCCATATTTGTATTCCAGCCGTTTCATATTTATTTCATTGAATTTCGAGACCAAAGACAAGTTTTGAAATCTTGCAAAAAATTTGAAAAAATGACAAAGAAATAACACTTTTTTTAACTGGTTTTTCAATAAAAGTTTAAAGCTAACTTATATTCAATAAAGTATTTGATCAGAAGTAAGAAGAGTTTGCATGTTGTTTGTCCGTTTGTTGTTGTTTTGTTTCTTTCAGAGTGACCGAAATAAAATTGATTGATTGACAATCGAAATCACCTCATTAGTTTCTTCTTTTTGTCATAATCTGTGAGCTTGTTATCATCATAATTTTGTAATTTTTTTTCAGCTTCTCTCAAGACAAAAACCTGCAGTCGGACCTCAGGGTTCTACTCCAGAAAAAGAGAAAAATAAAAGACAAATGCCCAAAGTTGAAGATTTGCTTGAGAAGAGAGATTATACGGGAGCTATAACATTGCTAGAGGTGGTTTATTCTTTCATGTTACAAATGTAAAACTAACAGGCTTAGGTTCCATGCAAAATATCCATATTTCAGTGCGGCACTATTCTTCAATTCCATGAATAAACCCCACATTAAAAGACATCAATTATAACAGTGAATGCAAACCCCTCCTTATCGAGACTTCATATCGGCAATAATGGGAAAACCGGCGCTGTGCAATAAACTAAGAGGAGAAGCAATCTAAAAGTTTCATCATTGGAATCCCCTAAAAAAATAATCCGTTTTAATGAAGGAAAAAATTTTACTGTAACATTTGTAGTCACATATCAACGCGAGTTGCCACCCTATATAGTTAACCAGTGAACCACTCTGCAACAGCAATGAGTCTATCAAGCTTTTCTCACATAATAATCCTCTACAGGATTTGAACTCACGCAGGGTAATCAGAGTTACAATGGCGTAATCCTAACACTAAGCACAATGTGTCAACCACGAAGTCAGTGAAATTTGAATAAAAAATCTTTTTGCAGTAGTAAAAGATTTAAAAAAAAAACATTTTGATTAATTATTTAACTTTATAATATGTTATTAAATGATGTATTTTGAATCCAATTAACGCACTAATCTAAAGTGTCTCTTATCTCCATTTCTTATTTTATTTCCAAATTTAGTTTAACAAGCATGCTGGAAAAGCAACAGGTGACACAGACCTGATGATTGGATATTGTTTCTTTCACTTGGGGGAATACAAAAAGGCATATGAAGTAGGAAAATTGTTTTTGTACTATTGTTTTTGTACACTATTGTACTGGTTCAATTTACAATATATTTCAAGCATTTTTTATTGACTGTGGAGTTGGGAGTTTGTCATGTTATAATTGACGTAGGTTTTAAAGCTGGTAGCGTATTTTCAAACTAAAACTTGGATTGCTTTCAGGGATTATATTTTTTAAAACTACATATTCAACATTATTGGAATATAGTTAATTTTTATTTCTATTAATGTCAATCAATTTTTTTAAGGGATAAATTTTACGCTAGATTATTATTTCTCCACTAAAACATTTACTCAAACACAATAATTTCAATAAATTGAATTCCTAAATATTACAATTAGAATTTGAAATTTTTTCGATCAATATTGGCTTACAACAGCCATCCATAGGATTGGATTTACATATTCACCCTGAGGAAAAGAAGAGCCGGCCTAATAATATGGCAAACCACGGCCTCTGTTCTGGTTACCAGTCCATGTCAGGTATGGGATTGCCAGTTATTACTTTCAGATGCATGGACTTGATGGTGGAGGATGCTGTAACCGACCAGCGATTACGTGAACCACCCTACAGCGGTGAGGAGTTCAGCAATCTTTTCGCACATAATTATTCCCTACAGCATAGGTTTCGAACCTGCGAACGGTCGCTGGGTAATCAGAAGTACGATGGCGAGCGTGTTCCTAACGCTTAGCACGGCGCGTCCCACTGCCGACCCAAGATGAAATACAGAGGTTGAGGGACAGAATTTATTCATATTTCCATCTATATTCATCAACTTATCAATTTTCAGTATTTATTCATCATTCCTGTGTTTAGATATATCTAGCTTTGTCTCAACGACCAGCTGCTGATTCAACAACTTTTCTGAATCTTGGATGTTGTTGTTTTTATCTTGGAATGTATAAAGAAGCACATGAAAACTGTAAAAAAGGTCGATCTTTTTTATATTAATAAAACATATAATTTTATACTCTTATTTTCTATAAAAATTCACTCAGAATGAAGTCGAATAAACTCACTCCTGGCAAATTGATAAAGCATACAATTTTTGAATCCAATGCTAAGCAAGAGGTTTGTGAATGATAAAAAGTAACCATCAATTTTCATTTTTTTTCAGCTGACAAAAGTCCATTACAAAACAGACTGTTATTTCATCTTTCACATAAGGTAATATAGTTCTCTTTCTTCGTGTTTTTTGTAATTCTGATTCTTCCAAAACGAAGAGTTCATTACTTTTCAGTGACTGTGTATTTTAGGCCTTGTTTGGTGCAAATGTGTGAAACACATTTAAGGGCTATTCCAAGTGACTCTACGGGACGATTCCAGAAATTTTGCATGTCGTTGGATGTAATATATTTTTGCATTTCTGGCTACACGTTTTGTGTCATTGTCCAATCAATTGCTCCAATCCATGCCAATAATGTGCATATTGTATGTGACACTACAGCCGTGACACTATGGGACATTTTTTCACTTTGGAACGGCCTCTATTATCTTTCATAATTCTGGTAATAATAGGTAATAGGTGAACCCATGTCCCGCAGCACTGCAAAAATAACTGTACCAGGAAATCAAACACTTCTGTTAGTCAATTATATCAAAATTTCTACATTCCAGGCCACTTAGTGTAAATCATCAAAAACCTGGGTGAAATTTTACCTTTTTCGGTGAAATGAATGCAGTCCATTAAAATTCAGTTTTTTTTATATAAAAAATACAAAACAATTACTTTCACTGCACTTTTAAAAAAAATTGATGGAATTCAACATTTGCTTGGAATGACCCATAAACATATAAAAAATGAAATTGACCTTTGATCACATTTGAAATGCCAATGTTGAAATTTAATAAAATTTTTGATATATGAAGAAATTTTCAGTTTTTGATAACCAGTGGGATTATTCCTTAAGTATTCAATTATTTATTAAAAATTTGTTTCTGAAAAATATCTTTTACTTCCCGTTCTTAGAATCAGAATTTTTTGCATTCATAAATATTTTTATCACTGAAAACTGTTATTTTTAGTTTAATGATGAAAAACAATTGATGTCTTTTCATAAACAATTGCAAGATCATGTAGAAGACCAACTGAGTCTTGCATCCATTCACTACATGCGCTCGCACTACCAGGAAGCGATCGAAATTTACAAACGTCTTCTGTTAGAAAATAGGTTTGATTTTGAGCTCTGGATTTTTTTCGTAGTAATATCAAGTAATATCAGGAAATTCATTGTGAATGATAAAATATGCATTACATGTATGAATGAATCTTAATTTTGCATCGTATATTAACAGAATCTATGTACACTATCAAAATAATTATTAACAAACATTTCCCTATTTCTAGTTCAAATGAATCTATTATCAGATTTTAGGTTATATATTGGTCTGAGTGAGTCGTAGATCATAGAACAAGATAAAGTTGTATCCAGTTGAGATCAGTATATTTGTTTATGTGCTATTGTAGTTCAATTAGTAATGGTTTGGAATCTAGAGTCTAAACGATAAATGATAGATATAAAGTTTTCAATAGAAAAGTTTGGTAGTGCCAGTGCATGTGATGGAAGTAGAGTATAAGAATTATGTTATAAAATATAAAATTTTGCAATATATTTGATTTCAGTAGATTTTTACAGCGTTATATGAATCTTAATTAACATTTGGTAGCTTTAATCAGTAGGCATATGGCCATGCCCTACATACATGTTGGTAGATGGTGCAGATTTTATAAACCAGTCTAGCTAACTGAAAAAGGAAAGTAAAAACAGGGCAACAAAAGTATGAGTCAGTGAGGAAAATGAGTCCCCAGAAAAATCAAAAAGTAGCTAAATCTTTTTGGCTTATTATATTCAGGGCTCTCTAGTACCCAGCAGGAAAATTTTGACTCTAGCTCTGAACTAGAACCGAGAAAAAAACTTGATAACAGATATATAAAACTTGAAAATTTTGATAACAGATATTGCTTAATTTGCTTGCTTTCTCAATTTTTTGGTTGGAAAGTTTAACTTTGAACATCGCTATAAATATTTGAAACTCTTCAAAGAATTCAAAATGTTTTCTGGGAGTTTGAAATGACGACTCCAATATTAATAGAAAAATTTAGAACTTCAGATTCCACCTCCACATTCAGATTGTAATGAAAAAATAGACTGATTGAAAGAAAGTACGAGTTTTAACATTCTTGAAAATTACAAGAAAAAAGTTTTTATTGCAGAATTTTGATTGTAATCAGCTTTAGAATAATGATTTAAAAATTAGCGTAAGATAATTTTGAATTTTAGTTTTAGTTTCTATCTGATCTTTAGTTTGGAGATGAGTTCGAGTTATTGACACGTCATTCTAAATTTGAAGATTGTTTATTGGATCAATTATGCCTTGCCAGTTTACATTATATGAGAGGACATTATCACGAGGCAGTTAGAATATATAAGGAATCTATTGCAGAAGATAGCAAGAGGTAGGAATAGGACACATGATAACTATATACTATATGGCACTATATTTCTATTATATTTTGATTATTATATTTTCATGATGACGGTTAAATTTGAAAGTTGGTTTCATATTATTTATTGTATGAGACATTGTTGGTACCAAATCACACAAAAATTGAAATCATTAAAAGAATATTGGTACTGCCAGTAAATCTTAAATCGAAATAACTCTTTCACTTATGAAAAGATTTTTTCCCTGGCCTGGTGTTCCGGTAGATTTGAGTCAAGATGACAATTTTGTTCAAGTTTTTTCTTCCTATAGTGTAGTGTAGTAATTTAATATTCTTCTTATCCAGGGAATTTCTGGCATTGAATGTGTATGTTGCTCTGTGTTATTACAAACTGGACTACTATGACGTGTCACAGGTAATTTTTTTTTTTTCTTGAATTTTCTGTGTAATTTTTGGGGGATAAAATTTAGGGTCTCATAATATCTAATAAATTTTCATTCTTTTTATTAAAAAAAATAGCAATTTTTTTTTAAATCATTTGTGATTTTTATCAAATTTTATGAAGCGGCTCAAGATAACATTTCATTACAGTGATTCCCAAATCCTGATCCACGGACCGATTTCGGCCCATGTAACAGTTTGATATGGCCCACGAACCATTTTTATGTCATTATCACAGTTGAGGCGCCTTAATATTATTAACAATTCAATTATACATGTATCTTAATAATACGTAAAGGTAATTTGATTACCGTACATACGGAATGCGCCCTTGTGGGCTGTCCTGCGAATATCCTTTCCGCTTCTAATTTTGGCCCCTGGTAAATAAACTTTGGGAATCACTGCTTTATAATATCCAAAATTGGAAGCAAAATATGCACGGAAGAATTAATTTATGTCAGTTCACCATAAACCAATTTCTCTTTATATTTACAATTACAATTATTTATAACTACCATTAATTTAACTTTTTTCAGGAAGTATTAGCTGTATATCTACAACATTTTCCAGACAGTGCCATTGCATTGAACTTGAAAGCTTGTAATCATTTTCGCTTATATAATGGTAAAGCAGCTGAGACCGAACTGAAAAATTTGCAAGAAATGGCATCATCTAGTTTTACTTTTGCTAGTGAACTGATCAAACATAACTTGGTGAGTTGTTACTCTTTCATAAGAATATACATTATTTATATGAGATAGAATAGGCATTTTATATTTAGCGTGGTAAAAGAAAAGCCATTAGGATAAATTTATCATAAGGCATGCCACATACTCTCATGTCTGGTATGTGAATAATTAGTCAGTCAATACCTAATCATATGGTTTTATTATGATATATACCGTATACTATGCAGGTTGTATTCCGTGGTGGAGAAGGAGCACTTCAAACATTACCTCCACTTATTGATGTAATGACAGAAGCGAGGTTGAATCTTGTTATTTATTATTTAAAACAAGGTAAGTTATATAAAAATAAAATATATTTTCTAACCGGTAATTATTTGAAATATCACTATTATTTGACACAATTTCAGATGATATTCTTGAAGCTTTCAATCTCATCAAAGAAATTGATCCATCTACTCCGCAAGAATATATATTGAAAGGAGTCGTCAATGCTGCTTTGGGGCAGGAACAAGGATCTGTATGTCCGTTTGTTCATTTTGTATTAGTGTATGAATAGCATAAATTCAAGGCTTCAAGGTGTTATTAAACTGTTAAGTGATCTTGGATCTTCATCGTTGAAGACTGGAGTTATTTAGGATCTCAGAACTGATTGCATCATATATTACATTTTTAGAAGTTATAGATTTCGAATCCAATATGCGGATAATTATGTGTGAGAGGATTTCTGGACTCCTCGCCTTTGTAGGATGTCCATCCATCTGAAACAAATACCTGGCAAACTAATCCCATACCTGACATTAACTGGTTGCCGGATAGGAGAGCGTCCGTGGCTTGACTTATGATTAAGCCTTCTTATCACCTTTCTTCTCCTCGGGATAAATATGAAAATCGATCCCATCCTAGATAAGTTAGATAGATAGTTTATTTCGAAGTCCATGCTTCGAAAAGTTAGAACACACCAGATTAGAAATTAGGAAAGTCGCCAAAGCATACAATACAAGTAGAAAAACTTCAACCTTGTGAGCATTGTGTTAATTTATGCCTGTGTTATACATGCCATAGCACACAAACAATGAAGTGATACAGCTATCGGCTTCTATTAGTCAAGTAGCCTTCTTATTAACTCTTGGCTATTTTGTCACTCAGTATGAGGTTATTCTAGTGGAATATGTGGAATTGGGAATGGCTGGATTTTCAAACCACAGCGAAATACATTTGACAACTTACTTATTTATTGCACTGTCTCAGTATGAATGGAAATTAAATGTTCTATATGATTTAGCAGCCTATTAATCAGTAATTTTTTTTTCTAGCGAGAACATTTAAAAATTGCTCAGCAATATTTTCAACTTGTAGGAGGTTCAGCAAGTGAATGCGGTAAGTATTTCTTCATCATGGCATGTTTCTTGGAAATTATATGGGAGTTCAACTTTTGAACTAATTATTATCCAGACTTCAGCATCGGCCCCGGGACAACAAAATTTCACCTAGAAAAAATTCGATTCAGCGTTATCGCTGAATTATTCGCATATCGTAATTATAATAATAAATAAAATTTTTGTCTGGGCAGACGACATGATTCAATTTTGTTTTATTTCTGTTTCAGACACGATACCAGGAAGACAATGCATGGCTTCTTGTTTCTTCTTGTTGAAGCAGTTTGACGATGTTCTTATCTATCTTAACTCTGTCAAGGTAGATTTTTAAGATTCATTCTGAAATTTACTTAATTCACTGCACCATCCAGAACCTAGTTTATAAAAGGGAAAAAAACAAGACAACACATTCAGTTTAGAGAACAAACTACTTTGCAAGATGAGGAAAATACTTGTAATTTCTGTGACTTCTTAAAATTTTAAAACTTGGCAACTTGAAACTAGACTAGTCAAATGAAAAAGTGACTTCCACAATAAGTCTATTGAATATGTTTTTAATCACAATCATTCTAATTCTACTTTTTTGAGTATTTACAATTTTTAAATAATTTTCATCAAGTATAGTTAAAATTATTGTAATTTGAAATTTTCAGAGCTACTTCTATAGTGACGATTGCTTCAATTTCAACTATGCCCAAGCAAAAGCTGCTTCAGGCAATTACAAAGAAGCAGAAGAGGTATGTTCATTGTATCTAATTTTAAGGCATAATTTGTACTATAAAATCTTTCTGTGCTATTTGCTTAAGTTGCATTTCATATTACATGCTATAAATATTGTGTATAATTATATTTGATTGTTCATTTGTACATGTCTAATAATTTTACTACAGCCTGTTATACCTTGTACTGATTTTACTTTTGATTGCACACTTTATTATGCTTACCAGTTTTAATGAATGTTTCGATTGTTACTTTTCAGATCTTTCTTCTGATTCAAAATGAAAGAATACGAAATGATTACGTTTACCTCAGCTGGTTAGCCAGATGCTGTAAGTTTGAATTTATTTTGTAGAACTGTATAACAATGGATTTATACCTTACCATTATGAGATATTTGATTATCATTTTGGGAGTATCTTTGTTTACTGTTTTTTTTTCATATTAACTGGAACCTGGCGAAATTTCCATTTTCTTTCATGCTATTTGATGAATGCCTTCGAGAAATACAAAAACTAATTTGTTTGTGTTAGTTCTTCTAGCAAGGACGCTATATCTTAAATATAGATGACTGACTATTTTAACTTGAATGCGTTTTGCTGCACACTTAAGGAAAATTTTTTTTATAATTTTTCATTTGACCAGGTCAGGCAGAATGTGCGGCATAATGCCTGTCTGAAGGAATCAACAAAACAATACTGAAATTAGGGTAATGTGCAGTAAAACTCGTCAATCATGTATCTGCGGTGTGTCTATTGACGTAACTACAAATTTATGTCCTAAATACTAATCTAATTTCTACTTTTTCCTATACCAAATTCAGATATCATGAACAAGAAAGCAAGACTTGCTTGGGAGTTATATTTGAAGATGGATACTTCTGGAGAATCTTTCAGCATTTTGCAACTCATTGCTAATGATTGTTACAAGGTATAGTGAATGCATTTTGAAAATGGATAAAAAAGATCATAATGTTGGCCCAAGACAGTGACAAAGATTTGTGACTTTTATGATCACAATCAAAAACAAAGAAACCAAGATTTTCATATTTATCTCGGGAGAAAGCAAGCAAATTAGACGAATTGTTCATATTTCAAAATACGGCCTCTCGCTTGTTCGCGAGTTTGTGTCCAGGATACAAACCTGCCCATGCAGGGTAATCAGAAGTGTGATAACGAGCTTATTCCTACCCCTTGGCATGATGTGCCAACTGCCAAGCCCAACGAAAATTACATAAAATCTGAGCCTAACCCAAAAATTATGCTACTATGTTGAAATAATTTGCTTAAAGTTTCAAGTAATTTAGCATTATTTGATTGATAACTTCTCTGCTACTATTGGCACAATGTTCACTTACTTGCAAGTTGCAACCTTACTCTTGGGCAATTTTTGTCACTAATGAATGAGTCAGGTTAGGACTTTCATCTCGAGGGAGAGTAAAATTGATAAGACAGCGTCCAGTTACCAGTCACGAAAATATGGTTGTTAACCAGTTATTGGTTTCATGTGCATCGAATTTCTTTGAGCAAAACCGATAGATATGTTGTTAGGGACAACTGTTATTCATCTTTCATACAGATGGGACAATTCTATTATGCTGCAAAAGCTTTTGACGTCTTGGAGAGATTGGATCCTAACCCAGAGTATTGGGAAGGAAAACGTGGAGCTTGTGTTGGAATTTTTCAAATGATATTGGCTGGACATGAACCAAGGTTACTTTAATACTTTCGCTATTATTTAATTATTTCTAGATATTTAGTAGTTTCCTATTTCCCTTATATTACCGATGTGTCACAAAATTATTGAATGTCATGCCTGAAACCCTATATATGTTGCATTCTTGGTTCAAATAGCGCAAGTCTCCTTGTTGCAAATTATCTTTTATTCTTTGTAATGGAATCGAGTAATTTCATAATTCATGGTTTAAGTTTAATAGAGTTATTGCTCTCTCAAAACTTTTTGTGTTATGTAATTCAACAATCCAAATAAACCATATATGTCTGGTAAACTATTCTCAATATACACGTGGGACTGACTGACAACATCAAGTTATCTTGTGGCAACTAATTCTTTTATCCTCCAAAAGTATACAATATCTTTTTAACTTCAGAGAAACACTTCGTGAAATCCTCATGCTTCTTCGTAACACAACAAACCCTCAAGTGGAGTACATTGTGAGAACGATTAAAAAGTGGGGGAAAGAACAACGACTCAACATGCAATAAATTCGTCTGAGTGTATATATCGGATCATCGGCATTTCCAATAAAAAACTGTAGTAGTAGTCTCCCTTCCGCAGGATGTACTATTTTTCAATTGACTGAGCACAGTTCAAAAATATTAATAGCCGGTGCTGTTAATTTTGTGTCATTGTATGTAGTATATTTGTTTAGTTCTTTTTTCTTGTGTATTATATTTTTCTACTCAATAAAATATAAAGCTATTTGTTTTATTATATTAGCATATGGAGAATGTTGGAAGTAATATCAGGAGTTGGTAACGTTTTAAGTTTGTGAACATCAATAAAAGAAATCTTCCTCTGGAATATACTATTATAAGTATAATAAGTATAAGTTTATTTCGACTCCATAATCAGCAATAGACGATAAAAAAATAGATAAAAACAAAAGTAAAAGTAACTGATTATAGAATCGGAAAAGCGAACAAAACCTAGAGTAAGGTTTGAAACGTACAGATTTTAGATGGAAAGGTATTGATAAAAGAAGTAGTACGTGTTCGCTCACCCAAAAGTAAAAAAAAAACTAATTAAGGCACGCACGCACACACACACACAATCATCGAGACATGATACTGTCCGAAGCGAAAAAAGCGAGACTTGAAAGTAAAAAGGAAGGAAAATATACAAACAAATATAAAAAAAAATGAATAAATTCTTTTGCCACACCAAATTAATAATTTTATGAGGATTGCCAAATTGGATATCGAATTAGTCAACAAGAGTAATGTATTGTGGATAGAAAAGTATTCCTCAAAAGATATCGTCAAGCTGATTATAATTGGAGTCACCTAATGCCAATAGGTGCAATACTGTGAAAACGAGGAGTCCTATCACGCAAAACATGCAAATCTATATGATTTAACTATCTCCCAATACTGGAACTGTTTGACTGACACCTCTCCAGCCTATTAGATAAACTGTTTGTTGTTGAGCGACAGTACGACCTACTTTTTAGTGAAGCTTAGGATAGGCTTCACATATTTATCACGGGGAGAGGAAAACCGAGGAGACGGCTTATTACATAGCGAAATGTCAAACGAGCTGCGCTTAGGAAATTGTCAATGTTTGGGTCAACATACGTCTGCGAATCTGTGATTTCTACCCTAAACACGTGAAATCAAAGCATTGATCTTTCCTGGCTGACACCCATGTGTAAGAACTGCTCCGATTAGCCACAACGACATACAAGCCAAATTTAAAGAGGATTGTTTAATCCAAGGAATGCCAGAAGTCCCACTAAGTCCCGTAGCATGCATAACAATGAATGGCTTGTAAATTTTTGTCATAATCATGTTGGTTAGTGACATTCACAAAAATTAGCATTAAAACAGAGCTGAATACAGTTTATATCTGTTGTTCTTGCGTGTTCTTGTTTATAATGTTGCTCTTCTCGTGAATAAAGTACGAAATGCGGCTCTTGGTCTCTGACCGTTTGGCCACCCCTGCTCTCGCACCTAACTATCCCCGCATGGGATCCGAACCTGCGAACTCACGCAGAGTAATCAGAGGTGCGGTGGCGAACGTATTCCTAACGCTTAGCACGATGCGCCGAGGCCCAATATTCCGCGAATATTTTAACGCTTCTATCTGAATCATGTCGCGTAATATCAACATGAGCAAAGCCCATCCACTGGAATTAAAGAAGTTTATGGATAAAAGATTGGATTTAAAGTTAAATGGTGGACGATCTGTTACGGGTACATTGCGAGGTTTTGATCCTTCTATGAATCTAGACGTGGATGACGGAACACAGCGTCGAAAAGATGGGACCATTGCGGTGACAGCACATTTGAACCTACGTACATTTGAACCCGTACATCTGAACCCGTAATTTGAACCCAGGACAATTGCACCTGTATACTATTGCACCTATGGACATTTGCACCTACGGACATTTGAACCCATACATTTCCACCCATGGATTTTAGCACCCGCATATAGATTGAACCCGCGTACATTTGAACCCGTGTACGTTTGCACTCGCGTACATTTGAACCCATGTACATTTGCACCCGCGGACATTTGAACCCGTGTACGTTTGCACCCGCGTACATTTGAACCCCGGACATTTGCACCCGCGGACATTTGAACCCATGTACATTTGAACCCACGAACATTTGCACCCGCGAACATTTGAACCCATGTACATTTGCACCCGCGGACATTTGCACCCGTGTACGTTTGCACCCGCGTACATTTGAATCCATGTACATTTGCACCCGCGGACATTTGAACCCATGTACATTTGAACCCACGAACATTTGCACCCGCGGACATTTGAACCCATGTACATTTGCACCCGCGGACATTTGAACCTACATACATTTACACCCGCGTACTTTTACACCCGCGTACAATTGTACCCACAGACATTTGCACCCATGAACATCTACACCCATGGGCATTTGCATTTACGGATATTAGCGTCTTTACATATACACCCTTATCCTTCCATGCTATATACTATAGTATATAGGATTGGAAGGTACACTTAGGATTCTTTCTCCAAATGCATACGTTGCGAAAACAATCAATATTACCATGGAATTCTCGATTATATACTCGAAGGCTTTATTACAGCTATTTTCTATATATTTAAATTATATTATATATTTATATTATCCTTCGTCTGTCATTGTCATCGCAATTGTCGATATCATAAGACTCAATGGACAAAATGTTCCGCTGTAGAATGCGAGCCAAAATTGGGGAGTACGATTTGCGCTTTGAACGGTCGACGACTCTTGAAGAGCGCGAGCAAGGATTTTAATTGACGTGTTAGTTCGATCCCGCGCAAAGTTTTTCCTCGCATCAATGCCCTTTTTCCCTCGCAGATAGTTCGATCCCGCGCAAAGTTTTTCCTCGCACCAATGCCCTTTTTCCCTCGCAGACAATTCCAAACTGTTTCTTCAGGACGTTGCAGCAGCGAATATGGCAAGTCCCTTTGCGAAAATAAGTTGGAAACATGGCGCCTACATTTTCCAAGACCACAAGAGGAAGAGGAAACGACTTACTGATTTACAAAGGCCACGAATATTGTAAGCGAAATGATCGGGTTTCAGATGCTACGCATTGGCGCTGCCGTCAGTTTAGGAAATTTCGATGTAAATCGACTGTTGTTACGATCGGTGCAAATGTAATAAAAGAACTAGGATATCACAGTCATTCTGGCGACAGCATTAAGACTGAAGTTGGGATCATCCGTGCAACATTAAAAGAAGCAGCGTCAACACCATCAAATACATCGACAAGATATATTTTAGGTGAAGTATTGAATAATAGATCAACAGATGTACTAATGCGCTTGCCAGGCATGTCGACTCTGGAGGCCAATATACGCAGAGTAAGGCGATAGGCGACAGAAAAATTGTTCACGTACGAATCCTACAAGTGCAAGCTTTGATATTCCGAGCGAATATTTAGATATCATTTTGCATGACACTGGCCCGGAGGATCGTCATCGGATAATGGCCATTGGAGATCGATCACTACTTGCACATCTAGATAGTGACACATATCTGGGCGACGGTACATTTGATGTGGTGCCCGATATTTTCTTCCAGTTGTATACAATTCACTGTAAAGTGGGCGCATCCTATCCACCGTGCGTATATTTCCTATTACGAGACAAGCGACAAGAAACATACGTTCAGATGTGGGAAGTGTTGAAAATCATTTTCCCAAATGCTAACCCCACCAAAATCATTGTTGATTTTGAAATAGCAGCTATCAATGCATTCCATGCACAATTTCCTCTGGCCGATATTAAAGGATGTTATTTTCACCTGTCACAAGCTATAATTCGAAAAGTTGGTTCTATCGGATTAAAAGAGAAGTTTGAATGTTTACCCTCTTTCAATCTGAAAATTAGAAGTTTGGCAGCTCTGGCTTTTGTTCCCATTAACGAGGTTGCCGAAGTCTTCACCTTGCTTTGCGACACCTTCGAAAATTCGCCCGAATGCAATCAACTTTTGCAATATTTTGAATCTACCTACATTCGTGAACCTCAAGTGGGTTCACGTCCAAGAGAAGCAAGATTTCCCCCTCGATTGTGGAACTATGCCAAAGAGATTGAAATGATGCCTTCGGCCCCAAGAACAACAAACGCTGTAGAAGGATTTCACAACGCCTTACAAGGAATGTTCCGATGCAAACATCCGAGTATATGGGGTTTGCTGAATGGCCTACGAAAAGACATTGCGGTCCACAAACTGACTGCGGCAAATGCTCATGTAGGAGTTACGACCCACCAAAGATCAAAGTATGTACAACTTGCTGTTAGGTTGTCAGTTGAAGTTTTTTCATATGGAACTGAAACCGACAAGCTGAGGTATCTCCACTCAATAGATCAAATGCAGTCTATTTGATTTTGACTTTGATCGTGATATCGTAAAATTTCGTTTATCTCATTATTTTGATTTGTTGTTTAACTATTGTATCATAATTGATAAATTCCTATTTTGTAAAACGTCCATAGCTACTCTATCTCAAAATTGATCGCCCATTCGACACAAATTTGTGAGTGATAACTTTATTGAGATATTAAAATAAATGTAATCCGTAACCTATGACGTCGTTTGTAAATTGCAATATCATATTTAACAGACCCTATATGCTGAATATGTTCGATTTACTCTAAATAGTGTAAACAGCAAAAACCATTTTTGGCCACGATAATGATTTTAAAACTTCTTCACTTTCGAATATTCAACATATTTACATGACTTACGATTTCTATGTATAGTTTTGTTCTGACATTCTAATGAAACAATACTTCAATAAAACTGGCATTTGGCTATGAACATGTTGTTACAAAAATGGCATAGTTTCATTATCTTAATTTCATATTTTCTTAGAAACGAAGAATCTGTGCGTTTATTTATTTATATACAGACAATAGTATTCAATTTATAGATTGATTTTAGGAAAAATGGCAAAATCTGATTTGAGACAACACTCATTTTCAACAGTAAAGCGTGGTCGTGTATGCATATATATAACAATTTTGTAAACATGCTAGCAAGAAAACATGAAGAGGCCACAGAGCTCCCAAATCTCATGCTGGGCGGGATATCATAGTGGGCGTTTTCGGTGCAATAATTTCAGAACAAATTTATAGGAGTTGACCACTAAAAATATTACTGTAAAGCTAGTTTTAGTAAGACCCTCATTTAAGACTTCATTGGTCTGTGAGATATTTGTTCCGTATTAGCCCTGGTTTCAGGTATTTCAACGAAATACCGCTTTCTAGGTCATCGTCTGTTTTGGAGATCTCGGCTAACGAATGAGATAAGGATTTACAAATGTCAATGTAAAAAAAACAGCAAAAGAAAAGACCTTGGCAGAACAATGTTGTTTATATCGTTAAGAGACGTTTATCCCTCGGACTACAATGACAAATGTATGGGTTCAAATGTACATGGGTTCAAATGTCCGCAGGTGCAAATGTACATGGGTTCAAATGTACGCGGGTTCAAATGTCTGTGGGTGGAAATATACATGGGTTCAAATGTCCGCGGGTGCAAATGTTCGTGGGTTCAAATGTACATGGGTTCAAATGTCCGCGGGTGCAAATGTCCAGGGTTCAAATGTACGCGGGTGCAAACGTACACGGGTTCAAATGTCCGCGGGTGCAAATGTACATGGGTTCAAATGTACGCGGGTGCAAACCTACACGGGTTCAAATGTCCGCGGGTTCAATCTATATGCGGGTGCTAAAATCCATGGGTGGAAATGTATGGGTTCAAATGTCCGTAGGTGCAAATGTTCATAGGTGCAATAGTATACAGGTGCAATTGTTCTGGGTTCAAATTACGGGTTCAGATGTACGGGTTCAAATGTACGCGGGTTCAAAGATAATGGAACCGACCATTGCACCTGTTGGAATGGCTGAATGGTGGTCGTTCGTGGAAATTCGATAATAATGTTGGAAGCATTGGAACGGATACAATGATTTTAAACTGAACTAACCGAAAACGACAAAGAAACCCAATACCCTAATCCATGATTTGTGCATAGACTGCTATGGAACATCCAATCTATTTACCAAGCTTGTTTTTTAGTAAAAAAAATTTGTCACTGTGTTATTTTTGCAACGTAATTGAACTAGGCCTACAGCATCACCATTTTTCGTCAGCGAATGTTCTTTAATCCATATATCTGTTGGAAAAGCTCATACACGTCTCACATTTTAATTTATAAGATATTGCCCGATGTCACATCGTGTTTTGTTTTATTGTGTTTCGCCTGTTTTGGGGGGATGGGCACGTACTTGTACGTATTTAACTCTTTTATTAAATTATGCCCGTCCTCCAGGTCCTCTGTATTTTTTTTTGTACCTTTGTTGTTGTTTTGTGTTTTGTTTTTATCAGAGTGACCAAATAAAATTGATTGATTGAGATGCAGGCTCGGCGATTAGCACGTCATGTTAGTGTCAAGAACACGGCTGCCTTCGCGCCTTTGATTACCCTTCTCAGATTTGAATTCCGCTGGAAAAAATTTTGTGCGCGAATATTGAACTTCTCATCGTCGTAGGGACCCGACATGCAATGGCGTGCCTAGAGGGAGGGCGAAGGGGGCAATCGCTCCGGGCAGCACATTGTAGGGAGGCAGCAGAACCAAGCTGTAAGGTTTGCGTTATTACACGTGCTCTTCTAGATGTGTTCTTATTTAATTAGAAGCTAACATTATGTGTTCTGTGGTGATGGTTATTCAACAAGGGTTGTTTCCCCGACCCTGGACCCCAGAAAAATTTTCCTATATTTTACAATTGCAACATTTTTGATGCTCATTTTGATAAAAAAAAACGTTTCTTTTTTATTTCGACCTTTATTGAATTTATTCTCGTGTATAACGACATCTATATTCTGTTTATCACCCAAATCATTTTAGAAGTTAGATATGAGGGGCAGCATTATCAAAAACTCGCCCCGGGCAGCAGACTAGTTTGGCCCTGCCGACATGGACTGGGTACCGAACAACATGCCGTGGTACGCCATATAATTAAGCTGTATTGTCGTTTTTTTTCCCCCAAGACTATCTTGCCACTGCTTTGACAGTTAATCCTTGTTGAATTGCGTCAAATTCCCCCGCGGCCCGCCATCTTCTCGATAATTCCGGCGCTCAGCTTCCGCCCTACCACGTGAGTTGGAAATGTGAATTAATTGCCATTTTTATTAGAATGATCACATATTTCTGGGAATGGTGCATAGCTTATTGCTGTAGTACGTAAGTCATTAGTCAAGGTATATATTTCAGAATAGCTGTCTTGTTCAGTGTAATACCAGTATTTAGCGGTAGTATCCTTGTTTACTCTTAGTTTCATAATATGAAAATTTCAGGTTTATTGCATGAACTGAATTGAAAACAACACACAAATTACGTTAGAGGACTACACTATAACTTGTCAATCGCAATCAGCTACGGCTTTATGGATTACTTCTGTATAAACCCATGACGTTAGAAAGTTTGCAACGTCTTTATGAGATGGACAAAATCAAAGAAGTCGAGATAAGGTACGTATGGAGGAAGTAAAAGTAATCCTGAAAAAAGGTCTTAAAGATATAGTTGTGTCAGTAACGTGAGGAAGATCAACTATTACCTCTCAGCCATGTCCTTCGCTTGGGTATCGAGTAAATTTGTGTACAGTATGATGTAGTTTCAACACGTACGGTACAGACAGCACAGTGTACAATTAGTACAACAGTGAATTAAAGGTCCTGCAAATCATATTATAGAATAAATAATTACATAGTTAAACATGCCTAGTTTTCTGGTGGTTTAAAATCAAACGTTTATCTCGAATTACGACGTTACGTGTTCACAGAAAATGTTTGGGACGCCGGTGCTACTGGAGGCAGTGTGTCATTGTTGACTGTGACTGTTGCCAGCCCTGGCTGAGCAGGATATGCAACTGAAAAGAAATGTATAAGATTGGCAAAAACTCACGAAAAAGGGTTAAAGCTGTTTAATAGATCAAAAAGTACACACACTGTAACGATTCACGCGTTTTTGCCACCTGGCACTTTTAAGGAACAGTTGTGTTTTTGAAGTTACCGGGGGAGGGGGGATTATCGCTTTTTGGATGTGTCAATCTGCCGTTAACTGCGAGCCTTACTTTGTCTACTGCGAGTATGCATGGGCAGGGGTAAATGATTTTTAGAACATTTAAAATGTAAAAAATAACAGTTTTCATGCACATATTTGAGATTCTCAGTTAATAACAATAAAAAAATATAGATGTTTTATTTAGCCCTATTAGAGTCAATTAGATTTGGGAGCAATTTGTTTCAAAGTTATATTCATTCACGGTTACTATTTCAATATAAATATAATATTATGAGTTACTTATCACTATGTAACGAGGTACGATTTTTAAACTCGTTTTTGCGGGCTTGCGTATTATATGATTGCAAGAAATCAAATTTTAAAATAATTTCCAGTTTTCTAAATAAATCGAATATTAAAATAATATATTTATACCTGCTCCTCCGGAGTAAGAAGTCACTGGAATTCCCTGGAAAAGAATAATGCTAATTAAATGAGTTGTTGACAGACCACCAAGTGATTCACAAAGGAACAATGTAAGGATGTACCGATATATTACTATTTATCACATTTATGTAAAAAAGGGAATCCAACAGATTGCTTAGTGCATTTAATTTTAGCCACATACCATGCTCTTTTTCAAAATGTATTATTTATTGATAGCCAAATTATAATATAAAAAACTCCAGCGAAATGGAGATGATGCCGAGCTAAGTTTTGTGCAAATCTGTCTCGTTCGTCAAATATTATGTGAGGTTGAAAGAGGTAGCATGAATAAAGTGACTGAGATTTGACTCTATAACTGTAAATTGTTTGTTTATTAATTTGTGTGATTTTCCTATGTAGACTTACTGAAGCACGTGGTTTAAGAGCACGTGATATATGCATAATTTAAAGGTTTTGTTTACTCTCCTATTCCTCTTGCAATTAAATATACTGGTTGCAAGTATGGAAAATATAATATCAGCAAACATGACTCGTAACATTTTTACATATAAGATATACAAATTCTTGTTTTTATTTTGTATTAAAGCCGCAATATTTATTGTTGTCGACAACTAATATATAAAAAATTTGTGTCTTTAGATAACACTTAAAAAGGGAGTGGGAAATACCCTAGTATATCTTCAATTAAAAGTGTTTGGTAGTGACAGCACAAAACTAGAAAATCGTCACTACTTTTTTCAATATATATGAACAGTCAGTAAAAGAGATTACTCTACATACAAATTACCTGTAAAGAAACAGGTCCTCTTCTACAGCAAACACAACAGCTCAAAGCAAGAGAGGCATAGATTGCAGCCATACTGAATAGCGTCATGAGAGCCATGTAAAATAGAAGAAAGACAACACCTATTCCAACGTAATCTCCTTCTGACAGAATGATGCATGCAACAACAAATCCGTAAAAACCGGCAATGGTGGAAAGAATCGACAGAACAAGATTTACAGCAGCCTGGAGTATACATAGAGAGAAACTTCAGAAGGTTTCGAACATTAATTCCAAATTTGATGTCAAAGACCACTTTTACAATGTATAAATAATAATAGTTCATTTCGCCAAATGCACGGACTAATGCCAAATGTAATTTTTGTTATTTATGCTTTTTTTTCAGAATGAAATGAATACTTACTAGCCATTTAGTTGGTCTAATAGCCATAGTTATCAAAAAAGCTCCAGAGACAATAGGCTGAAACAGTAAATAATATATAAGTTATATTTTGACTTATTCAAATTAAGTGTTCGTTTTACATTTTTCACTCCGAGTAAAGGTTTTGTTTGATAAACTATATTCACACGTCGGGTGGCTTTACTTAGCTACGTTTAATTGTAATGCTAACATAGTTGGGCTCGTGATGTGGTTCCGGAGTTTGAAAGGTTTACTGGAAGTTACAGTAGTCGAAATTCTTTGTTCGACGAAGTCGTAATTTAAAAATTTTAAGATTGGGATAAGAAGCCAGATTTTTTATATGTCGTGTCGGAGTCGATTGGGAATTTTCTCCCTGATTCACAGCCCTGGTTTGAGCTAAAGTGCTATTCACCACAATGTCATCCCTCATGACGTTATTCCATTTGTTAAGTAATTCGCAGTACAATGCCCAACAAAATAGATTGTCTTGGTAAAATTCGAACTGCTTTTGTGAAACCTTAAACGAATCCTAATAGTCCGTTCTTGCTCACCTCTGACGCCACAAAGACAAAGGCAGGGACAGCGATGGCAGATAGGATCACACCAATTCCACATATTACCACTTGTGCTATCTGGAAAGGAATAACATAAACGTGACGGCTTGAATTTTTCCACACTTTTGCTAAATTTATACGTTGATTTGATGCTGATAATCGATCTCGCTATTTATTTGTTTTGTTCAGTGTACCACAGTCACGTGAACATACTAAATTTAATATCCAAATATGATACCGGTATGTTGGTGTATCTGATTAGCAATGAAGGAACGTTTACTGAATATTCTGCTCCGAATTCCATTGCAAGTCCACTTAGAGCACAAGTATAGAATATATATAAAAAAGAAAAGAAATTCTAATATATTTTCAAAACTTTTGTGCAGAGTAATGATATTCCATATTGTGATCCATCTTACCCCATAAATTCTCGATATCATCAGTAGATTAACTCGCTTACCCCTAATCCAAGAAATATCGTCTTTCTCCCTTCCAGATAATTTACTACATAGACGTCTTCTTCAAGATTCGCTAGCATGCGAGGGGTTAAACGGGAGCTTTCTGCCATATTTATTTATTCCTAGGTGAAGTAATTAGATTATGAATTTATAAAACTATAGACAAAGATAATTAGAAACTGTGTCCAGTCATAAACTATGGACAACGATTTATACAGCAAAAATCTTCGTCATTTCTCATAGAAAAAGTAACGTTAACTAGATGCGTGCTATCTCGATTATAGAAAAAAAATTGCTCGATTGCGAACAAGAATCACTTTCAAAGAAATAATTGCGTTTCACGCATCATGTTATTTTCTTTCTTCTCATCTCAGCGTTTTAGATACAAAGATCTACAACTGTCATGCATAAAGCTAAATGGCCATAGCTGAAGCTTATTTCTTGTACGAGAAGAGTTGATGAATAACTAAGTTATTAACAAGAACCCCATCATATAGAATACTTAAATATTTACTTTGCGCGTCGTGTTCCATGCACAGAATAATTAAAAACCCGGTAACGAAGATTACTCAATCTATTAAATATTTACTCGCATTACAAGAATACATATCCCGAATTTTGATGAGATATGTACTGGTGGGTAAATAAGGCAATGCAACCGTCGTTCCGCGTCCTCCTTCTTTTCGGTCCGCCTAATATATTCCAATATTATACTTCAATTGCAAAATTTAAGACACTGATCGCCTGTACATATATTTTGCGAAATTTAATTGCTATTACTGACCCAAACTGGGTCAGAGTTACTACGCCCATTTCAAGCCTCGATCGGCTAGATGCCATTGCCACAGTTTTGGATAATTGCTCAAAAACAATATCCCGAGCTCGGTGACAAAGCCATTAAATTACTGCAGTTTTTTGCACAAAATCTTTTTATCATTATCTCTCATAAATGCCAAACAGAGAAATTGTGTGGAACTCAACACTCTGCTGCACCTTGCAAAAACTTCATTAGAGCCTTGCTATACTCGCATGATATCAAAAAGACCGCAGGAAGTTTTCTCATCATATTGAATCGTCTGTTTTCGAAATGCATACTTTTGTCGTGATTACATTCGTTTGATTATATTTTGGGTTCAAAAATTTCACCGATTTTAAAAATATTGAAGACAAATGCTACGGTTTTTATACCAGACCATTAAAAATTATATTGTTTACGGCCCGGCGGTGTGGCGCATCGTGCTAAGCGTTCGCTCACCACCGCATCTCTGATTACCCTTCGTGGGTTCGCAGGTTCGAATCCCATGCGGGGATGATAATGTGCTTTTCTAGACTCCTCGCCGCCGTAGGGTGGTTCACATAACCGCTTGTCGGTTGGTCCCATACCCGACCTGGACTGGTAAACGGACGAGAGGCCTTGGTTCGCCATATGATTGAGCCGTCTTATCGGCTTTCCTCTCCCCCGGGATAAATATATTAATCCTATCCTATTCATCATTTTCAATTTGTCGCGTCTAATACTTGTGGATATTTTCCTATATCATCGCTGTTGCTGTCAAGGCATATATTTCACCGGCGTTTGATGGATTAGGACGACTCTATACGATATGCGGTAAAAGTGAGTGACGTTGGTAACGCGATGTGCACATACAGCCAATATATACATATACAACCAACCCGTAAACATATACAGGCAATCACATAAACGCACAACGTCAGTGCCATATTAATATGCGCCAATTCAATATATATATAAATATACGACTATTCAAGTGATGTACATATACAGCAAATCGATTTTACATATACCAGTGGTAATATGTTTGAAATTAGAGTGCTATCCTCTATGTTCAATTGGCGAATTGGTTTCAGTGTGTGATTGGCTGATTGTACTCATTCGTTTGCCAAAAATTTCATATTTGTCGGTTGCGTCCTAAAGAGAATTCACATTGCATTAGAGCATCTTATAACTGGACTTCAGAATTTTAAAGCTAATCAATCTTAGTCATTTCAAATCGATCGGATTTTTAGCTCATGTGTGTAATAAGGTAAAAATTAATATATACGGTGGTGGGATTCAGCCGGTTTGCACCGGTTCTATAGAACCGTCTCGCGGAATTTTATGAGATCAGCGAACCGGTTATCATTACTGGTTTATTTGCTAAAAAATATGACTTTTTGTAACAGAACCGGCTGAAAAATATAACTTTTGTGATGGAACCGGCTGACAAAAAATTTGAATCCCATCACTGGATATATAATTATATAAATATATATATATCTGATTGGACATTTTAGCCATCAGATAAAGCTGAACGTGTATTTTTACGCCTGTATCTTTAATGCGATTCCCTTTTTATTTCATTACGATAAATGTAATACGAAAAACAGCACTTTATTCTGGCATTTTCTTCTATCGATTTCCATGCAAATCGTGTTTTAACGCCGCGGGCAATCATACATACATTACACCGCACCGTTGCCATATTGTGTCGTTATGGGCTTAATTTTTGTTTTATATAGAGCTTGAAATGGGAAAATGTTTCCATCATATTTAAACGCCCGAGAGGGAGTGAGTAATTTGTCAATTGTATTTCACTTTATTAGTCTTACACAAAAAAGCAATAGGTCGGCCAATATAAACCGAATACGGTTAAAATTCCGCTTTATATTTGTTCATGCTTGTGAAGAATGGACCTTTCCCCGAACATCGTCTTCCTTGTTTACTTCGTGACATTGGCCAATCAGCAAGATGCAGAAAGTGACGTAGCCCTTCTCGCATCCGCTCAGACACTTTTCTCACTCATACAGATTTTCAAGCGTGGTCGTAAACATTACCTCGTCTATTCGTTAGTTTTCTGTTGTGTTTCGGAAACTTAAATATGAATCAGATAATTCAATGGCCACTCTGTCTTCCTAGGCGTTTTAATTTAATTGCAGTGATAAGAAATTAGTGTGTGCTGTGATAAACTAGGCTAAAACTTTTTACCGGTACTTTTAAAAACAGATTGTTGTATGCGATGAATCATAATGATGGTTTGAAACACATACCCCATTTTACAGGCGCCCACTCGCAAAAGCACTCTAAAATTAGCCCCGAAAATTTTGCAATGGTAAAGTATGGGGAGAATTTTTTTAGGGTCAAAGGTCCATCGTATGTGTCGATTCTACAATAATGTATTAAAATATCAAACCTGTCATTTCCAGTGGCGCGCGTAGACTCGTCGTCTTCGTCGACCTAATCTGGAATGTAAGGGATTAGTTATGCCGTGTCGTTATACGATTTATTGCTTGTCACTGGGTATTATGGCCTTTTTTAATAATAATGTTCGAATATGAATCTCATTTGCAGCCCCTAACTACATGAGTATAACAAACTGCATGAGGCTACAAGAGAGTCGCCGTTGTCAAGTTATCTTGTAATTAGCCATAAAATATTCTCATTTTGCAAAATCGATCATCATTCTACTCAGAAAGCGTATAATTCATCACTATTAACTTTAAAAGGATTTTAAATATTCCAACGGTAAAAATATCCAGCAAGTGAAACTTTATATAAAAAAGAATTATGTACCATATAGGTGTTGCATTTTTTATTAGAGTTTGTCATAGTAACTTCGCCCCTTCAAATAATTCACGACGTGACTTTGGAAATTAATATATTTGCGTAAATTCGATGACAGCACGTTATGACTGAAGACTAACGCTCACGTGATAGTAAAAGCGTCATCAATACGCTGTTGATACAACATTTCGTTGAACGAGAAGCGCATTTCTCATTTTGAAATCTGTAATCGAGTTTGCCCTATTGAAGTGGCACAATACAGCATATAAAGCAATCTCAGCTGAGCAATCGTGTAGGCAGTTTAGTAAGACCGTGCGTGTTAAAATTACTGTAGGCGCCATAATTGCTAATTCGCTTCATTGCGCCCTCGTGAAGGAAGTTGTTTGAACATCGTTGATACAGTTTGTAAATTTCTAGTCAATATGAGAGCAATTCTGTGCTTTAGTAAGGTAGGTAGATATCGAAAACGCACTGCGCAAGAGATAATATATGTATTATTACAATCGTAATATTTCACGTTCGCTGAATGAGAAATATCCAAAATACATGCTGTTTATATCGTTCTAGTTGCATATTATGAAAACAATAAATTTGTGATGTGAAACGGACGTTCATTCCCTATGGAACGACCAACCAGGCATTCGAGCGGTTTTTGTACCGGTACCGTTCCGCGGATTCAGGAATGTCTGTTTTCCAGGCGCGATCGTCGGCAATGGAGTATATTAATGTACGAGCTACGTTAAACACACATTCTACGAAAGTGACTGTTGTAATATTGCTGCAAGGATGCGGATTACCAATAAGGGAAATGATGCGTTTTCCGCACAGGATATTTGACTCGCTTGGCCGGTTTGTGTTTATGTCATGGTGCTTTTGTTTTGACGATGAGCACCGCAGGTATCAGTTTGTTTGCATTCAAAATTTTCAATCTCTTCGTCACTTGGCCAAGCGAGAGATCACAGAGAAACACAAATACTCAGAGGAAACGTAGCGCAATTATCTTACCTGGCCCGGAATGGCCATAATCAGGGAAATTAAATAAGAAATTTGTAGGCGGGTAGTAATAGGACAAAACGCTGGTGTTTTGATGCGGAATCGAAAATTTTCAAGGTATATGCTAAATGTTTTTCCTGGGGAATTCGCGGGGAATTTTTTTGCTTGATATACCAAGCCAGTATTAAATTTAACGAAGGATTTTCGAAATCATGAAAATAATTAATGGAAGCAGGTAAGCTGTTGTGTTTCGACCAAATGGTTCAATACCAAATGACAAAAGCAGAAATCAAAGTCTGGACTTGCGGTAAGATCGTTCTGTGAAAAAGCTTGGCAGATTTAAAACTACTGTCGTTCTCCAGTCAAATACTGCGAAACGAATTGAAGGCTATAAAACGCCACTAGGCACAAACTAAAAATTAAAGGTTTATTTAGGTGATTGGCATTCTTCAGCATGTGGCAAGGTGTGGTATGGGCGTACATTGTAAATGAGTTTGTTTTTTGATAATAGCTAAGTGAACCCAAACTGATTTGCTTGTAATCGCGGAGAGACTTTATATAGGCAATAACAGTATAGATATCAACGACTGACTTCGAACAACGTAACCAAAACGTTATGCTCGACTGGGCAGTGATAAACAAAAAACATGTGGTACAAGAAACTTTAGAACATTCCATTTCAAGAATTCGATCGTCAAATGTTACGCAGCATTAATTGATATCAATAGTATAAGTTTTAGTCGATATGACTTAAGGTTGTAAAATAAAGATGGTTCGCGTTAAGTTAAGACCAATTAAATATTTGTTACGGAGCGCATCAGCTAACTTGTGTACGTGACAACGTGAACGCGGATGCCGTAAATTAGAAAATACGGCCAGAATTTGTTTCTTTTACTAAAATTTTAAGGTAGCAAGCTTTATTTTTGCTTCGGTCGTAGCCTATGCTTTGCTGTTTTTAGGATCGTTAGATTGTAAACATGTCAGCTGATACTACAGAATGACGACATCGGTATAATATCTTAACGAAGCGAAGTAAATATGTATGTTTTTCTCATATGGAATTACAATTTTATGAAAGCGTAGCCAGAGCTGATCTTCTCAACAATACGATGCAACTTTGTATGCGTAAATTAATACTTTGTTCGAAAATTTAGCTTGAGTTGGTATGACACTGTTTGAAATGGAAATTCTTTATAGGTGTAAACAAACTTTTGAAATGTAACATTGGCAAGTTGTGCATTGATTGAATACCAGCAGCTGAGGGCATTTCACAGGTAACCTGTTTGAGTCAAGTTTCGTACGTTTGATTTATTTAGACTTCTATTGTTCGATAAAAAGCTAAACAAAATTATTCGAAGCCAATTTAAACAAAAATTCCTAATACATAGTAGTTCCATACTTTTATAAATTCAAAGTCGCACCTTCACAGTCTGAAGCTGACGGCGAAAAGTAGTCCCTTGGCAACTTAATCTGAAAATTGAGAATAAAGTTCGTCAAACCAGCCCGAAGGACTATTTAAAAAGAGATTTGTAACAGCTTTGGTAACGTGATACCTCGACGATGCCTAAGTAACCAACAGTTTTGATTTTTTATGCCGGGCATGTCCATACATGGTATAATGATACAATACGCGCAATGCGCTAGTCAATCGAGCGTAAGTCTGAAATGTCGAAGGCTCAGTACAGCAGTGAAGCGTGTCAAAGTGCCTTCTCGCGTAGTGCTGAACAAAAGGCGATCGTGTACGGGAGGAGCTGTCGCTAACAGGTTAGAGAGCGAATCGACAACTGGGACATCGCCATGAGAAACTGAATCGTGGTTATACCAGAAAAGGGCTTATTGGGTTCAATCTGGCCAAGTAACAATTTTGAAGAAAGGATTAACAGAGCGAGGTTACGCTTACATTAACTGTGATATTGCTAAATGCTAAGTAATTAAACGGTATCAATTATCGTTATATAACGACAGGAAAAAGCCAACAAACTGGAAGTCATCTTATGATCAAGTCATTTGTTAAATTGCTGCGAAAACACATTTCCTATTTCCATCTAATTTCTTTTTTTTTTTTGGTCAAAAATATTTATATTGCTGAACTGTAATTGCTTCCGGCAGTACCAAACTGTAGTATACTTTCAGGATTTATAGTGCTTAGCAGCGATATCTCTCAAGCGTTTGTGGTCCGTCTTCGAACATTATCAAAATATTTGATATTGCTATTTTGCTTTGGTTTCATTAGCAAGTTATAGATTTTTAAACAACTATCCGTTGACGAGTATTTTGTTACATCTTTCGTCAATGTCATTAAATATGCTGGGCGTGTCACCAGCAACTGATTTACCAATGCTGGAGTATTAATTTCGGTCATTTTATTTTGTACACCAATTCTAGCTGGAATAATAGTAAAAAACGAACATAAATGTCATTTCCCAGATGATATGAAATTTTACCCAAAATCAATGCTAATGTTTAGTGATGATTTGCTTTCATCAAATCCTAGACCGGATTGCAAACTGTGAAATACAATCTCATAAATTACACAGCGAAATGCATAATTTCACTCAAAATAAAAAGAAGACTGAAACTGGTTTTCGAATCTGCCATTCTCATGTATTTTGTCAAATATTCAGCTCAGCCCGCTGAATTATTTAAAAGTGCAGATATCAAGTCTAGAATTTTGATGTACGACTTTGCCTATTGACCTTACATCAAAATGTTTTTAAAACTATAAAGTTGTACGTTTACATTTTGGTTATGTAAGAATTAGATTAGCTGTTTAATATAAAGCATTTGATATATTTGGGAGTGCAAATTACGTTCGAATTGAATAAGAATGGACGGACTGTATTTTAGATAGAAAGAGGTCGTTTTTGTTACTGACAGGTCAATTGCTGTGCCGGTTAAAACGGTGACCGTACATTTGAACCCATGTACATTCGAACCCATGCGTATATCCACGGGTTCAATCTATATGCGGGTGCTAAAACCCATGGGTTTAACTATCCGTGAAACAAAAAAAATTCCATAGGTGCAATAGCATACAGGTGCAATTGTCAGGAACCGGTTAAAACATCATAATGTTGTTTCATATCTGACTTTGATTTATTTGACATCGCTCAATGAGTTACAGAGTCATGCGTCAATCCAAAGACCAATCACAGCCCTGATTAATATTACATGTTTCAAATGTATGCCTTGTTCAAGAATATCCTTCATAAAAAGAAAATATTTGAACCGCATTCTAAATGTTTAACTGTCAAACTTGTCAACAGTCTAGACTCTGAATTCACACTTAGTGTCACACTAGTGCTGAGCGCGAGATATCGATAAGAACAAAAGCTTGGTATTGTGTTACAGTTGCATAAGTCCTTTGATCGCCTAACGTATTCATTACAACCAATTTTCGTTTCTGAAAGGCCTACAGACAAGACAATTCGTCTGCTATAAAGAAGATCGATGTTATGAAAACGACGCATATTAAAAGACCAGTCAAAAAACAACAAGTAACAGTGCTAGATCGTCCAGTAGTGAAAGGTTGAATTCGGAAGTTCTGGTAATACTCTGGCTTGAAAAGAGCTGGCTAATATCAGCTTACGGTATGTAAATATATTTTATCGCGGACAAGAAAAATCTGAGAGAGAAAAATGTTCGATTTCCGCTGGGCAACGTTCAGGATATACGATTTATTTCGTATAATGTTAGCACTGATCTGGTAGCGTGAATTCTAAAGTAAACGCAGGAAGTATGAATTTCACACGATAAGCTAACAAGCCAATTTTTCCTAACGAAAAAAGATTTGTCAACCGTGTTGCATTTAGGTTACTCAAACCATATTTCAAAGATAAAACGTTTCAACGTTTAAATTTTTCAACTCTTTATTTATCAGATTTTACAATATATTTAAAATATAAGACAAAAATGGTGGAAGCGGGACCTACACTTTTAAAAGTGGAATGCTCAGATTACGAAGTGGAATTGAACTGTTCCGACCGACTTTTAGAAAGTGGCGTTCAGACGACATGTTGCGAGGAATATTCAGAAGTAACAAAACATGCCTCTCCTCATGTATCATTGAGGGCATGGTATAAATGCTGTGATTCGTTGGTGAATAGCGGATTAGCGCCGTCAAAAACCCCAGACTGGGAAAATAGGTAGGTATTATAAATTCCTCATTGAATTCAATATTCGTCGTCTAACCAAATATTTTAATATGGGCAGTACTGGGAATTTGTGTATTGAACTGCATGTCTACTCTACTTGTAAACTCCCTACTTCGAATGCGCATGTGTCTGTTTCCACGATGGAGATAGTATTATAGTGATAAATAAGAATACACGAAAGTCAACAAATATACTTGCTATTTCGTGGAAATAAATTATGCTATTCAAATATTATAAATTTGACCTGCCGAACTTTTGATAATTTTTTTTGTGAATGGCTGAGTAGTTAATAGCCAAGTTGGGAGTAATCCAACTTTTTGAAGCTTCAATTTCGGGTTTAAATCTGCGAAAATGCGAGTTTTTGCTTAAAGTCGCGTTTTATTGAGTTCTAGCTCACTTCATCTTTTTCAGTATGAAAAATGAACTGAAGTTCATTGTATAGTCTTACTAAGTCTTTAGTGTACTGTCTATTATTGTATAAAAACAGATATTGTCTAACTTAAAGTAACTGGATTTTTGTTAAAAACTCACTGGTGAAAAAAGACGGAATTGTGATTCTGTTATCTTGGAACCTACTCCCCAAATTCTAGTCAACAATGTGTACCTTTTATTTTCAGCTACTTTAGATAAGATTGGTTATTAACAACTTTCTTTTTCTTCTCTGTTACCCTATGTCAGTTTCTGCTAAAATGCGACATTTCTTAGTTACGACCCCCAGTTTATGTGACCCCGGGTCCCATCGAACTCTTGTTCAAACACCTTGGTTACATAAGACTGTGCAAAAAAGTTTATTGATTTTTCAGAACGCTAATCTGGCAGGGTTTCTCATAGACATAGCCATAAAATCATTTCATTTGTCACGTTACTCCCACCAATCACCCGCATAATTTTTTTTTTCAGTTCATACCAAGCATATATAATGGGGGTAGCTGTATTCGGTATTTTAATTTGTCTTTTTGTGAGTGGTGCCAGATCTGTGCGACGACGAAGAACGCTGATGCGATTACAACAAAGACAAGAAGGTATCTTTTTTAATTCGACTTTTCAATTTGAACGAAAAACACTGATTAAATATTTTAAGGCGCCATTGTCAAAATTATCCAATGTTCGAATGGCTGGCAGGGGCTATAAGAAGTATAGAAGGATTATACAGTATATAGAATTTCACGAACTAGCCAACGAGCCTGATTATTAGTGAGTGCGAAGCAATTGCAAATGTAATGTAAAATATATCGCATTGGCAACGAAAAAGCTTTGCGGAACACTGTCTTGTCTCTTGCAAGTTTGGAACTAGATGTGATACACTGTTCCAAAGGCTAAAAACGAAGAACCAGCCAAAATCGCACTATCAATAATAAGTGAAATTGCTGTTAAATTTTCATGATTTAACAGTCATTTTAATCTATCTTAATCAATTAAATCGTGATATCGAGTTTGGTCCAAATATATCATCATAATTTCGACTAGAGTACGTTGTTACTTAACTAAAAATGCAAATTTTACGGATTCGTGCTTCGATAACTATGCGTGATTCTATTGTACATGGAAATTTATTGATAAAGGTTGTTTTGCAGCTTAGCGAGTTTCGATTACTTTCGAATGGCCTATTCTTGTCCTCGTTTTAATTTTAATACAGCAAAGTCACTGGAATTTCAAACATTAGTTAAATTGCACGAGTTATAGTATCATCTTGAAGTTATCACAAAAGACCGAATAAACCCGGTAGCTCACGTTTTAATTTTCATTTCCTTGGATTCTAAAATTTCGTTCACTCTTTTGAACAAAATCGTGACAGCTATTACAAAATGGAAATTTTGATCGTTTCCTAAAATATTTTTACATTCAATAAAAAAAACTAAACGGGACAATGATTTACCAGTTAGTCTAAATCCTATTCATTATGTATCAACGCGAAAAACGCATGTTATCAAGCAATTAAAACGTTATTGAGTATTTGCGGCTACCTGTTATTCACTGCGGAAACTAATATATTACAAAAACATACTCACAGTTATATATATTTATCCCCATCTCAGTGTTATATGTACAAAGTACAAAATCTTAGATTCAGATCATATTCCGACAACCTCATCCATGGCATAATAAATAATGCATAAAATATACCCATCTGAGAAGTATTCGTCCTTTTTTCATGGTATCTACGTATGCGTATCTGTCCGTGGCAATTTGTCATTTGGGGTGAATGAGTGAACAATTCTTGTAAATGTTACTAAATCTATATTTGCCAATGAGCATATCTTTATAGATGCACTGATGTTATTTTGTTTCAATAACAGACCTGTTGTTTTCAGCACAAGCTGCGGAAGCGGGAGCTCTGGGAAATCAAGGACCCGATTTTTGTACTCAAGTCAGTTTAGGGCCTCCCACGTATGGAGAACTGGAGTCTAAAGGTCTAACAAAAGACTATAAATTGGGAGCATTTGACCCACCACCGTATCCTGGAATCGAAGAAGAATCTTTACAATACGTCCCTTCGTCGAGGGAACCCTCCGAAAGTGAGGCCGCACCGCCTTTAGAAAACGAGAGTGACAAAAATAGCGAAAACAGTATTCAACGACCAGAACCCAACGAGATGACAGAAAACCATCAAGAATTATCGCATAATCTCGACGGTAGACATGGTGAACAAGGGCAACGTCCATGATCACCATAAACGTCCATTTGAAATACGATGATCGACGAAACGACTGGAGGCACGCGGCTCGGTGGCGCACTGTTTTCAGATGAACATAACTCTATAGGATGGAAATGCTTTTACTCCAGCTCTTCAAAACCATCATAGCCTTGAATGAAATGGACGCCTGTATCGAGACACATATCGAGCGAGGGCGTTAGCAAACAATCCATAAAAAAAATTCAGTGATTCGGGTTGCATGAACAACAGGAAATAATTACGACCGTAATATTAGCAGAAATATTACTAAACCTTACGAGAAATCCTAATTCCATGCTGACGCTGTTTGTCTGCTTCGGGATAATAGTCAACCGTTTTATTTTAATCGAAAATATTTAATGCTATCGCAAATTTACTATGTAGTATTAGCCACGCCGGTGGCTAATAAAAGCTAACACAGAGCAACATTGCTTCGTAATGTATGAGGTCGTTAGACTAGTCTTGTTTTGTTCAAGAAATTGATATTGCAGTTCATTTTAATGTGGATAATAAATAAGTCTTGTTAATTAATAATTTCAAGAAAATATTGCAAGCGTTTGGGTGTAGATGTACATATCGACATTATAAAAGTTATTTCTGCATATTATTAATACGAATACTGATAATTTTTATGTGTAATCTAATCGAAAGTAAATTATAATATTTAACTTTACTTAACGAAAATGTGTTTACTATTTTTGCACATAGTTCAACTCAAATAGATCGTCGAATGAGCTGAAATTTCAAAACGGTTGTTTCCTATGCTGGACTGTTACGAAATCTATTTCAATAAAGATGTCATCGGGGATAATTACTGTTGTATGATGATAACTATGAAGATTTGTTGCACTAACATTACCTATTATTTCATTATTGATGTAGGCTTTTTACCGCGTAGTGCCTTTTTATGTTAATTAGCTTGCCAGTAAAATTTGTCGTTGAAAATATAATAGCAAGCGTCGTTTTCTGTTAATATTTTGGAAATAGGGTGGCAGGAAACTGGGCAGAAAAGTAAAGGTCACCATAAGTCACGGAAAGAGGGCAATTAAGACAATAAAGCTGTGGAAAAAACGTTATATGAACAAATTGTCCATATACTGCCTATTTTTTTTACATTACCTTCTGAGCTAACTTCGGTAACGTCTAAAAATAATTATAGTAATGTGAACAAGCGTTAATTTGCAGAAGGGGAGTGTAGGTCAACTTGCTTCGATTTGTTTTTATCCCGACTCTATAACGCCTGTCTAAAGCGGTCTCCATTTACATACCGTAGGAGATACCTTACATCAGGAGTCTAGCTAGACCAGGGCTACTCAACTGACGGTCCGAGTCCGGACCTTTCGACGATACAATTTGGACCGCATCTTGCTTATTTATTTTAGCAGCAAAAGCATCGTTTTATAGTTTCAGATAATTTTAATAGTATTTACATACACAGGGTGAAAAGATTAATAGGATGTTTCCCCTACCTTTGACTACCCCAGAAAAAATTTTCCTAAACTTTACTATTGCAAAATTTTGGATGCGTATTTTGCGAGTGTTCCAGAAAGTTGACAATTACAAACTAATTTACATGCTCGAAACCATTATTTTAATTGAAATATACAACCACGTCACGCTCATTAAGCATAGTCTATCGCAGCTTTCTCGGGACTCATTTTTGATTATTGTAGCTTATCGGAAGACATAATGACAATAACAATACTCCATTTACAACTAATTTTCAGAAACAAAAACTAACAAATAACAAGCGAACCCGAAAAAACACGGCTTGTTTAGAGCCATGCCATGCTTGAATATATGTTTGAGCGAACGGTGTGTCTGAGTGATTTTAAAAAATTTAATTGTTACGCCATCGTTGACTTTTTGCTTAGAGGTCATTGTTACGGAAATAAACAAGGAAAACGATGCTAGGGGAAACATCCATACATTTGCCATACTGAGATTGATGTGCGACATGTGTATCCGTATTTGTAGGCCATTCAGTGCCTTTGTATTTAGTTAATAATGCATTTTAAATTTCATTTATTTAATGAAATAAATTTTCTGAAATGTCCGGACCCCAGTAATTTTAAAGTTTTGTAAACGGACCTTTGGTGAAAATAGTTGAGTAGCCCTGGTCTAGACGTCTAAGGGGACGTGCTGTAAAACGAATAAGGAGTGTGCGTCCATGATATCGCATACATAGAAAATAACAATGTCCCACGCTTTTGTGTTTTTATTGGAAATCAAAATATTTAAGAAAAGTAACGAGCAAACGGAACCAACAGGTAGGCAATGTAAATGTTGGAGGTTCAAATAGAAGTGTTTGATCGATCGATCGAGTTCCGATACTTCTTACACCGATAGTACAATCTCGATTCTAGAAATGTATTCCGACAAAACATCTTCCAGTAAATTCCTTCCTCCTTTTCATCGATTTCGGTTCATAATCACCACGAGTTGGCTACTACATTTTCCTAGTCGGTTTTCGTCCACCAAAACGCTTAAATCTTTGTGAATTTGATTCCAGCTCAACGCGAAAGAAATTATTTGTTAAATTTTATTATGATACATTTTGTGTAATGAAATCAGTGAATGGAAAAGTTCCGAATCTCGTCCTATGGGAATATCAACTCTGGATAAATTCTATACTCTACTTTACATTGTTTCATACTCGGGGTGTCAAACTCACAACCCCCTCCCCCAACATAACGTATACCAGGCGAATGATTTTGGCTTGTGACAAAACAGAGAAAACTTGGATGAAACGGCTTGAAAGCTGGGTGCGATCAATCGATAAATAAATCCGATTTGGGTTTCATTCATTACGCATCAACCCGCAACGAAAATTTGGTCATAAATTAATAAAAAATGCGAACGAATGGGAAATATGGTTGTCATATTATTCCATACAAGTATATACTATGTTTATGCAGTTCGAGAATAAGGCGGGAGATATTGTGTCAGTAGCGTCAGACTCACCATCACAAATAGACAGTATTTGCAATGTCTTTAGTTTTTTTTTTTTTAATCATTTTCATGCATGAAGCTTTGTTTCATTTAAACAGCAATGAAACTAAATATATATATATGTAATAAAATCACAATGCAAAAACATTTTTAATCTGGCAAGTACTGGAGCATGAATCAGCGCCCAAATAAAGATATCTCACAAAAAATACATTTATCATACAATATATGCTCAATCGAAGTAACAATGCAAGTCCAAAACATGAGTGGGCGAAATCAGACTTGCTGCATATTATATGCAATTTGTTATTTTAAGTTTAAATTGGTAAATTACGATATCCTGGTCAATAGACCAATCAAAATGGCACTTGCGTTCATGAGATCATATTGTCATTTGTTGTACTCCTGATTATGCAGAATAGCACCGGTGACACGGAGACATTTGTTTGCGGGTTGTAATTTGTTATGCATATTTCTATCTCAACCTTTTTTTTTTTTATCTCAACCACCCGTTAATTCAATTATCGTCGCTGAGTGACTTAGTAAATACGTTGTATATATATATATATTTATTCCAATTAACGCGGAAGGAATCTGTTGCCCATTAACTCTATCGATTAGTTATAGACCATTTCTTTCTTTGTTTTAATTTTGATTGGTCATTTCACAATATTTAGAATAAAAAAACAATACATGTATATATATCTGCAATTGACTAATGTAAAGCTCCAGGTTCACGAAAGTCTTATTATAGGCCTTAATGTATGCAAAATATGTGTGAAGTCTGCACCTGAAGGTCTTCACTGATAATCAATAATTCACAGATGTACTTGATGCTGTATTAAAATAAGTATTTGACACACCCATGAATTTATTGGATTTTTCCATCAGTTCGGTATGTATGGCCCAGCATTTTTCAGATCATAAGGGAAGCAGTACTTCCAAATAAAAGTTTTATGCAGAAACTGTTGAGTATAAGATACGCGTTGATGAACTGAATATGATGACTGATGATATATTTTAGAGTACGAGGTGTGAGTAAGCACTTTATGCATGTGGTTAGAGTATGCTTTGAAAGGCAGTTTTGTGAAAAACTAGTGGTTTACGTTTCATGATTTCTAACAAAAGATACCAATTGCATGCAAAAGGAGACCATCAGATGTGTGGCTGTGGAACCTGGGAAATTGAAGAATACAATCATATGTATCATTTAACAAATAATCACATTTACATAATAATCAACTCGAATGACAAATTCTGATAACGTGCTTAAAAAGTTGTCCGCCAACTATTTTGACGCGCGCGTGATGTTCTTAAGAACAGCGAAACAAATAGGACTTGTATCGCCTCGGGGAACAAACGTTTAATTTTCATCTACATCATAATTCCGTATTGGCTAAGTGAAGTCTTGTCGTTATTGGACTGTATATAGACTAAAGCCGCAACATATTATCGAGTATACGACTTGGTGAGAATAAATCAGGGATATGTTGAGGATCAAGAGAGTAAAATGGCAAAGTTGCAAAAAATGGTTGATTAATATAATATTCTGTCTTTTCTGGAAGATTTCTGTCATTATTGAGATTTCTTTCAGATTGGTGTTACTCGTGTATTTCTCTATAAAACTTCTATCAAAATAGATAATAAATGGGGAGATTATAGCGATATAACTCGTTATTGAAACGAGTTTCTGATTGGCCGCCACCAGTTTTTCCGACTACAGTGAGTCACTTTAGATAAGTTCTTTCGTCGGAAGATCGTTGAAACGTTCGAATTACGCAACATCTTAGTAAGATTTATAACGTTTTACAGTCAGAACTGCCTCTGGGCTCTCACAGCGTATTTCACTCCCCTACTTGATAGGTAATTATGAGCAATATCGTAAATTTTGTGAATGCTACAGTAGTTGTTCAGCTATGGGGATGAGATAATACGGATCTTAAATACACTATCATCACGTACAATGTTCTTTGTCAGACATAAATCGGTGATAACTATTTCAAGTTTACAATCCATTATCGCGAAAAATAATAGTTCGGCAATTCAAACACAAAAAACTTGAACTTGTTTTAGAAGTAAGGTTATTTTTGAAAGATATAAAATTAGGACAGCGCGCTGTAATGCAGTTAGCATACGACGTCGCAACTAGAGCTTTGGATATGAATATTAGCAGCATAGATATTTAAAAACTATTATTGGACACGAAATGGACATAACGATCGTTTCAATATTATGTTGTTGTTGTTCTTGTTCTTTGACACGTTTTTAAAAAGTCGCTTTCCTCTTCGAATACTGGACCAATTGCTTTGAAATTTTCAGTGGTTAAAGATTAATTTTTTCGCTAAAAGGCTATTACTTTTATTTATTTCAAAATTTTGCGTGAATTCTATGAAATTTGATATTTCGTCTAAAATTTTGCTGTATTATTTTTTATCCATGGGAACACGGATTTTAGTCAGTGTCATGACTGGCTGTACGTTTTGATTCTGCAAAATTCTTGCTACTGGAAATTCAGAACTTTTTTGAGGGTACCGGTAGCGTCAAAGGTACCGGTAAGGACTGATTCGCTCTGGTATAACGTGTCCATATATTTGTGCGTAGCTCTCTTGTATTACACTAACGATGAGTTATTGTTAGAGATTAGTTGTAACGCCAGATGTTTTGGAGACTTTCAAGAGGCATGTTAGTTAAACTAGGAAGGATGATGATAAAAAGAAATGTTACAGAAGTGACAATACTTCACACTATGGCAACTGAATTTTAGAACAGTTGGGTAGTTCTTCAGCAAATGCATTAAGCCCGTTTATACGAATGAAAATAACAAAATAATAGTTTTTACAGCTTAGGTTAGAATACCCCAAGCTAACGGTATAATATGTTCCAAATACTTCAATGAATTCCTATCGCTCATTCAACAAAGCAATACAGAATGGCAAAATATAAATGGGCTGTAACAACAGTGTTAACTCTGCATTTTCTTCATAACGCTGGATTTTCGTCAGGTAAGAAGATGTTTATACTCAGTAGTGTTAATTGTACAGTATAGCAGCCATCGGTCATTTTTAAGGCCGTGTAATAAAACGTGACTAAATCAGGCACTCATAAATCTGTTAATAAGTTAAATATTAAAATTCTAATTCTGTTTATCCGAATTGTTGTAATGTCTCGAGGCGCCAAATCCGCCTCTAGATTGAAGATTGTAACCCCATCAGTGGCTTTGTTAGTAAACCGCTTGGTGACTTTTTTCCTGACGTATAAGATGAGTTTCTTTCCTAATCGATTAACTGATGATTTAACTGTATACATGCTCAGGGAGCTTTTACGATGATGACTACTATTATGGATCCGGGGACATGCCATCTATAGATACAAAACAAACACACCCGTTTCGAGATTTTTGTTACGAAGATCACGATTGCACTGACATTTTCAAAAAATATTGTTGTCGTGAAACGCAAAGATGTTGCTATGTGAGGAATCAGGCTGGGATTTATGCAGGAGCTAAAAGAACGTGTACGAATTCGTATAAGCAATACACAGGAGTAACTTGTCCTCAATCGGATTTTTCTAAAATTTATTGCTGTTATGAAGGCTATAGATGCTGCAGTGCAACAGATATTATGAAAGTAGGCCAATTCGTTATATATATCATGTTATGTCATTTGTAAAGTTTTGAAATGAATCTAATGTAAAAAAATTATTAGCCTAATAGTTGGGCTTACCATACGTCCCGCTTTAGGCGGGACAGTCCCGCTTTTTAGCGTCTTGTCCCGCCGTCCCGACAAGTCAGCCAAAAGTCCCGCTTTTGCGTTCAGCCATCCAGCATAATACACGAACATGTTCTCGTTACTGATGTTGCTGTGTAGGGCAACGCTAGCGTACTTACTGAAGGTGAATGCGTTATTTCGTTGTTTCCCGCTAACATTGTTAGCAAACGTATCACATGTAAAATCAATTCTAATTGTTCTTGTTCGGACCTTGTTCGGACGTTCGCGTGAATGTAACATTGAACAACGTTTATTTAAAGGTGTTATCTACAGAAAAGCATGCTTGGGCGAATAAGTAAATTCTCAATGCTTCTACTATGCGGCAGACTATTTCATTAACATTTATTCCTTTTGCTGTACATGAAAACTCTAAAATTCGGATCATTTGTATCGTTAGCGTCTATGCCTTTCTAATTTTCGAACTGAACTCGATATTTAGACAGAGAATATGCGCATGAACTCTCGATGACAATATGGTTAATGAAGACAGCCGGGATGGCTTAAATGTAGGCCCATGTAGTAATATCGGAAACTGTAAAGTTACAGGAGGCGTCCCGCTTTGAAGTCAAAAAATATGGTAACCCTACTAATAGTTCACCAGTACTTTTGCAGCAAACAATACTTAATTACAGTTGGATGATATATATATGTATATTTGACTTAAGAGTATATCGCTCTCTTTGACAAAATGATATTGACTGGTACAAAATTATACCTCCATTTTTTATCGAGACCTATACTTGGACAGGTTTATTAAAATTATATATGTATATATATATCCCCTATTTAGTGTATTAGATATACTGATCGTGGTAAGTGTATAAAACCTAAAGATGACCAAGCACAACTGAATCATGTGTATGTGTCTAACAATAACAAAATATTACATAATGCTGAGTGAACTATATTATTATTATTTTTTTTAAATCTAGATGACATCATACCCCGACCCAGATCGAGACGCAATTGACAAATCGGGGTAAGTAATAAAAGTTAGGGATTCAGTGAGAATTTTGAAGACATGCGTACAAATTGTGCTGGCTTGTGATCTAATTATTATTTAATGAACAACAGCTCATCCCCTGGACTAATTGTAATTTTGAAAGAGCTCAAAACTTATATGTAATGGCACTTCTGTCGTTTCATATATATCTTTTAATTTTGACTAACCGGCACTCATTTTCTACTATAATTATTGAATTGATCAAAACATAGGATAGTTTGCGTCAGAAATTGAATCACTAATAATGCTTCTGGCGATACGACTGGTAAGTGTTAATACTCCCAAAAAACACGTATATTTTTGTTACAGTGTCACCAGCATGGGAGCGATCGCGGGGTTCGTTTTCTTAGCGGTTATCGTTGCCGGCACATTACTAACTATAGCAACAAGATATATTAAAGTTAAAGTTCGTAGACAACACGGACGAGCTGGAATTCAGTCACAAGCCTACATAGATGCTATGAATCGAAGATTAAATGGAGAAGGTACGACAATATTATACAACAGTATTTCATTTGTGATCATAAAGTCAAAGTAATAACTATTATAGATTGAATTAATTGAATATACGGTATCTTAATTTGATTGACTTGTTGTTTACTAATTTCTGAGAGACTTTAAAGCCAAAATATTCAAAAGTAATTAGAACATTCCGTTTGATAGTGCTTTTCCATTAAATGTAGCTCGCATTGGACAGTGTTACGCATTACCTGTTTAAATTTTTGTAACCAAAGCCAACCTCGTATCAATTGTTCATAAGGAAAAAACAGGCAATGCTCTCAATATTAATATACACAAGCCTAATTTTACCCGCATATAATTACAAAATGAAGAACCATACCATTTTGTTCGTAGGAAACTCTGGCAACAACAACTCTTCTGCTACCGGTACAAATGACAGCCAGCTCCCTCCTGATATATTCTATATCTCTCCATCACCGGGCGAATCACAAGACCTGGATGAGGTAAACGTGGGACCGCCACCTACATATGAAGAGGCGGTTGCAACGTGTCCGGTTGTAGCAGAGGAGAGTTCACGTCAAGAGCAAGCGCAAACACCAGAAATGGTCAGGCCACAGCAGCGAAACTTCAGATTCAGACCACCTACACGACCAAGTAGACTAGACTTTATAGAACTGTCTGTCTTTAAAAACAATTTGAGTTCTGTATCTGAAGATGATTTAACTCCAGATACCGTAACAACTATAACAATACCAAAGCAAGAAGCGTCGAATGCTTGAAAATTATTTGCCCCAATAGAGATTGGTATGGCGGCGTTTGTTCTCAAAATCTCGTCAAAACTTTCTGATATTCCAGTGAGTAAGGTGATAACACAACACAAATATACTATTCAGGTAATTACTCCAGACTACTAACAGAAAAAACTGAAGTAAAATTGAGGCAAGTCGTTAAATAAAAATATGTATTTTCTACAAAGAAGCGGTGATGTTTGACATTTTTTGAGATCAAAGTGTACTTCAAGTCATTGCTTTTGTTTACATGCTCGGTTCAACAAAATATCACGATTTGTTTTACCGTAATTATATACTACTACGATTTGACATCTTGACCTGGAGTTTTTACATCAAATAAAATATATTTCTTACTAACCTCGTTTTAAAAATATATAATATAACATTGCTTCATTTCACTGATCTCGTTAAAAAGTAGTAGTCAGCACCGGAATTCCTTCTACAAAGTGGAAATTGAAGCTTAGTTTTCCTGCTGTAATGTACAGCATAAAGAGCGCATTGCCGTTGCCATTCAGTCACGAAAGCCGATTTTTCTCATACGAAACCATTGAGGTGTCAATGTACGAAACAAGTGTTGGGAAATTTAAATCGGTATAGGCCAACCGAAAAACATTGATGCAGAAGCAACTGTTGCCAGATTGCGAGGGTATAATTGGCCAAACCCAGCTGACAATTTATTTTTGTATAGAATTTCCAACATATGAATCTCATTGGCATAGGATAGTTTGCACTTTTCAACTTCATCTTGTAAATTGATTATTAGAACCTGTTACAATCAGCACGAAATTTCATATATTTTCTTTCCCAGTACTGACAGCATTTTATTGGAAGATGGTCGGTATGAACTTGTGACCAAGCATAAAAAAATGTATAGTTTTGACCGCTATGCTCAGGCCTGCTTATAATTATCCGTGTACAATGCGCGAAAATGCTGCATCAAAGTAACATAGCAGAACATGGGCATTGTTTTTTGAACTGCGAGTTATTTTTTCCACCATAGAACGACCGATGCTTTTGATTTATATGTAAACGATATTTTTGATGTTGTTCTGGATCATGCATCTCACCATCTTCAATTCACGTCGATCAATCAAAAATGAGTAGAAAAAATCAGATCAGTCAGGCTATTACGTGATTAATTATATGGAATAAAATAATATGCTAATTAACTGATAAACTACCAACAAAAGCGCACAATGGTTAATGGTATATCTTGTATCAACTCCTAGGACTGTTCTTCGATGATGCGCTCATGATTTATTTTAGATAACTATCAGCAGGTCATTAACAAAGTCATGTACCAGATTTTAGTTTATATATCATGCGGAATTAAATTTAATTAAACCTGAAACCTAACCCCAAATCCATCAAAACTGTATCTATAATAAAATTGTTCCCACTCACCCAATATTTATCACCATCTGGGGTAGCCCTGTCAAATCATCTGACATGCCGTTGTTACGGCAGCAAAATTTTTTTTTACCTTCAATTTGCTGCCGTGGTAACGGCATCTCGCCATTGGTTTATGGCAGCTAAAAAGTCAGTCGCCATGGGTTTGGCCATAGCGGCCATGGTTTGGAAATCCCGATATGGTTTTGCGGCAGCTTCAGACGCCACAAAGTACTTGAAACTGCACTTGCAATTTAGAGTCTAATCTACCAACATGTACAATATGTGAGGTATTTGGAATTACAGTAATCTGCCCATTAACACGTCAAACAGAGTGAACTAAATAATCGTTTGGTATGATATCATGGAATTAAGAAATAAATTTTACAAATTAACTTCTCATTATAAATCGTTAGGGCAGCCACTGTTTAAAAACTTTCACCACGGTGAGTAAGTGACTGAACACATATAGATCATTGATTTTTTTGCGCGACTGTCGGTGATATATTAATACGTAGACTTTGTAATTTAACAGTAATCAACAACGCGTGAAAATATCTAGGCCTTTATTTAATTAACAAATGTGATTGACTTCACGAATATCTCATAGGCTATTATTTGATAAGCAAATATGGTCATTGTATCACGCCCGCTTCCTTTGTCTATAGAATCGCAGGATAACATTTTTGTAACGATGTCCCAGTAAAATCACCAGAATGGTATACATAGCATGTTACGACCTCATAAGTGACTAACCTGCGGTACGATTTCAGGCCGTTGACCTTTTAACAAAATGGCGGTTTGGTTATAGTTTTATACCTTGTCTGGGCACCAGTCAACGATAAACCAATCATAACCAGAAATTTATCAATAGAACGTTGCTTGATTATATGTAAACACTTGTGTACTCAAGGTAAAATGGAACAGGAAATTTTCTCGTCACAAATTCTCTTACGACGACCATGAAAACAATGTTGCTGTGACCAGTATTTACGGACTGATTATTACGACTGTCTAATAAAAGTTGAAGCTTTAACACCATGTATAAATTGCACGTTGTAACTGAAAATTACTCAAACGAATTGTGAAGGACTTGAGATTAATTCGCATATTTTCGCGTTTCGATGAGTTGTGATATTTCGAATAAGATGCTGCGATTTTATGTCACCGTATTCTTCAGCATTTCAGCAATGATACATCAGATTAAATGTGAGTCTTTTTATTTGAAATATTATAAGAATAATTCACGAAAAAAATGATTTTAAAGAGAAATCATGATGTCACAACGAGGTTACTTGTGCTGAATTTTGATTGTACATTATTCGTTGCAAGAATTGTGAACAACTTCGTTAGGAAGCTTTATGCTAAGAGGCCAAAAAATTGTTAGTCGGTTTTCTACTACATATATATAAGTGTGCGAAAATATTTTCATGGAACGAGTGCAATCAACAAATCCCGTAATCGTTTGTGGATCTGATGGAATGTTTCCCTACCAGTTTCCCTTATATCAATTTAGCAACAATTTGGTTTTTAATTTAATCTGAACTACAAAAATCTTTTCTTCTTAGTTAACGCATATTTCAGTTCCTATATAGAAAATTGAACTTTTGTTGATGAATTTTACATCAAATAACGTATGTTCAACAATAAATAATGGCACATTCTGATTGTAAATTAAAGTAAAATGAATTTTAATAAAAAGAGCACATAACATGAACAGTTAACGTTGGCACAGATAAAGTAAACTCTTTCGAATTTTAGGCGAAACAGAATGCAACTATACAAATCCAATCACCATCTTTATTGAAGAGTCTGAAATTACTGTTATTGAAAAACAAGAATCTTCAGTTCTGATGTCGGTCTTGGTAAATCGATCGCCTTCGCACGTGAGCGTTGAGGTCGAACATGAAAACCTTGTCAAAGAAGCAATTGCACCAAACCGTACATGTTGCGCATGCAACTATTTCTTCCAAGCGGAAGTGTCAAAAAAGGCGAAAGGTCCCTACATTTACACATTCACAGCAAGGGAATTGCTTTTGCCTTACGGTCAAGTCAGTTCTGAAATAAAGCTCGACGTTATAGGTAACTGTGTTTATATTTTGGTGTTTATGATAAAGTTTGGTTTGATGATAAGTTTTAAATTTTAAAGTATGTACGACACTGTAATGGAACCGAGAGAAGTTGTACAAATAACAGTGTACCGAAAACGGTCTGCGTTTTCATATATTTGTGCATTTAGTTTTTATGTTAATTAGACAATTTTACCAACGCCAAAATATTCATAAGCAAGTACAGAGGTTGCCATATGGCTTCACGAATTAAAACCCTCTTATATCCGTATCGGTATAATATTATTGAACATATATCTTCTTGTCCCAGATCAACCATTGGATCCGATTGGCCAAGGAGTTATACCAATCATCATTCTGTTCTTTGTTATATTGGTTATGTTCGTTTCTGTTGCAATAATATTATGCTGGTAAGTAGGCTTTTATAATTTTAAAGTTTTTGATCAAATACGGTAGAAGTTGTTGCTGCAGCAGTAATTTAATTAATAAATAATAACCGTTAATCTACTTTCGGGCGATCATGCATCCTATCGGCAAAGTAAAAAGTGACTTAAAGAGGCTTGCAAAAAGCATGTAGTTCGAATTAAATTGTTCTATAAGTTATATTGAACTAATTCAATTTCCTCCTTTATCGGATGTCATTTAAAATGCCACATAATAATTAAATTTGACTATCTCGATAATAATCTTATTTCTAACCTAATCACACTTTACACTACATCGCTATACGGTATCCGATAGCGCTCTAAAATTCAACTTCATTCTTCATTTTAGGAAATGCAGGTACGACTCTGATATTGAAGGCGCTGAATTCCATAATATAGAAGAAAGGAGATATCGTGGGAAGAGAGAAAGTACAAAAAGCAATTTGGAGCAAGAAGTGTATTCAATTTTTGATGATTGAACAATATTCTAACATTAATACTGTATAATAATGTGAGGAACATAGCATAATGATGCGTATACAGATTTTGCCAACGGTAAAATGATTCCTTATTGTTTATAGTGTTGTTCAATAGGGAGAATTATTTACTATATATATATATCACCTCATCAAAATTTACTGCCATGAATCAAACGCCAAGGACAATTTCATCTTTGTTATCCTAAATCTCTCACTATTTTAAATAAATATACGGGAATATGTGAAAATTTAATTACGCTTGTAACTGTGGCTATAAAACCTAGATAGTGTTTTCTTTTTCGATTTGTCATTTTTATTTCTACTACCTTATCGTGACATGTATTATTTCTCACTGTAAAATAAATTTATACGCAATAAATCCTGTTTAAACCAATACTATTTATTTAAATCAATATCAGTGACCTGTTAACGATCAGATTTTAACTGGGTCAATGCAAACAAACTGTATAGAGTGGAGTTTACCTTGGAAAAGTGAGTAGGTTTATAAAATTTAAAGTTGCTATTAGCATTGAAGAGAAATGTTTTTAAATAATTTATACTATAACAATAGAAGCCTGAGTTTCAGATAAAACTACAATACCGCCTCCCCTGGTGATTTAGTTAGAAGTCGTCGGAGTTTACTCTCCCAAATTGTAGCCAGTTTCAATCGTGAACTCGAAAAGTGGAACAAATCTTATTTTCCAGCTATATATTTCTCCATAATGAGCTCTAAAATTTTTCTCTTTGTCAAGTTACATTAACGTTTTACGGCCTTTACTTCTAGACCGCGTATAATATCCGAATTTTTACTTGAAAATGTGAAGAAATAACACAAAATAAATAGGTCCTACAGACATCAATCTCAATGACCAATAATACAATAATGATGCTCTTCATCATATATAAATCGCTATGCTGATCAAAACTAACTACATCTATTTACGGAAAATCAGAAAATTAATGTTCTTAAGCGATTAAAAGTTATTCATATATAAAATAGTTCGGACAGACGCGACCATATTATTCTATATTATCGATAACAACAATAACAAGTGTTCACGTTATATACAAAATATTTTTTTGACAATTACAAAATGGGAAAAATAGTATGGAATGAATAAGAAATAGGTTACTCAAAGCAATCTGCAGTACAACTGTAAGCGAACGCAAAACAACTTCAATATTCTGAATAGGAAGTCCATGCAAAATTAAAAATTTTTTTATTCGTACAGTTCCAATTCGTTTAATTGTGAACATTTAACATTTTGCTTATTGAAGAGAATTCCAATCAGTTCAGTACTAATTGAGCATAATTTAAATTATTTACAAGGCAATATTGATTTCTGCAACACTCATTGCTTAAAAATGTTTATTTACAAAGCTTTCTCATTCGTAGTACACTTCAAGTTCACCAATCACAAAATTCTTCCCATTTGGCAGCAATAGCGCCTCCACCTATTGCAGCTACCACTCCTCCTCCGAATAGACAACCAATTGCAATTTTGGCAACCACGAATCCAAAGATACCAAATGCTGCCAAACCTCCAGTTGCCACGCCCAGGACGACTGCGATGCCAATAAGAGCACCAACTTTCCACCAGTTCTGAAAAATAATGTAATTAATGTGTTTACCTGAAATTGAGATTTCGCCGCTTTATGTAAACATCAAAATACATCTTCCCATTGTGTAAATTCACCGCTAAGTACGTTATCGCAAATTGTCTAATTTTGTTTCTTTTCAGTTTCGAAATTTGTCCAAAATTATTCGTTAAATGTTGGGAACATTTTTGTTGACGCTGTTGCTGTAGTGCAGAAGAAGAGGCTCAACTTCATAATTTGCAATATAATCTTGGTTTCAATATTCTCCGTGAAGTAATAAAATAATTTACACACCGTCTTTTTTACACCACTTTCTTCCAATTTCTTTCGCATTTTCTCATTTTCTTTCAAAGCTTTGTCGTACTTCTTCTTCAATGCCTCATGTTCTCTAAGCAGGTTCTGAAAAAATTGAAGATTGTATTTATTTTGTTATGAATACCACGGTACAAAAAATATGTCGATCGTAAATCGTATTATGGATTGAGTTTACAGTTGCATAATTATGCGAAATCCGAGCCACGCCGTAATGCAGGGGTCGGCATCGTACGTCCCGCGGGCCAGCTCTCGCGACGCTTCGCTGAATTATAGGGACAAAACGGCCGTTTGGCGATGAATTGCTTTTATAATACATGCTTGAGGAGTTGATTTTATTCTTCACATAACAGAATTATTGCGAGACATGTGTAGATTATATTATAATCTAGCAATAAAGTGAACAGCTACTCGTTTAACAAACCTACAATTTAATTATAATTAGACAAATAGCAACACGCAGAAAAGTTGATGCTAAGTGCCGAGAGTTCAATGGCGCAGAAAATATTCGAATTGAGCTTCTTGAGATGAAATGCAATGAAGAAATAAAATTCATATTTCATTCGATAGATGTACCACTGCTTGATTTTATTTATAAAAAGTATCTTCCTGAAGAAAATCTCAAACCATTTACATCGATGTTTGGAAGTACATACGAGTGCGAACATCTTGGCTTCCTCTAGCGTGCCGCCTGATGTCGAGAAGCTATCAAGCGTGATGCAACAACAAGTATCACAGTCTTCTCGCGCTGTTCAAAATCTAAAATTTCAACTTCTGATCGGTGTGAAATAATTGTGATTAATCGGCCATCCGTTCGGTTTTTAACTTTCTTAAAATAAGTGCGACCCGCCAAGACTTGCAACCCTCAATTTTGGCCCGCGAGGCACAGTGGATGCCGACCCCTGAGGCGTAATGTATGTTTTTGTTTTTCTTTGCTGTGTTAAATTTTTTGCCGTTTAGCCCCTGACTTGCTCAGCGATATCCGCTTCTCTTCTTTTGTGTGGCTCTGATGAAGGTTTGAAGTTGGTTATATGGCCAACCAAAAAAAGCATGTTGCACACCTCTGTGCTGAACATACTTATTTTTACTGGAAGCACATCGTGGCAGCTGAATGAATGCTGAGTATGTATCACTGATGGCCCAGTCCCAAAATTTACTACAAGACATCGGTATCAATACTTCTGGAACTGTAGATCAAGAATTAGTTGATTTGACCTTACCTCCTTGAATGAATAACTCGCTTATTATCAATAAAACAAACCTCAAAAATTTCACCACCTGATTCACTTATTCCTTGAAATGAACATACATAAACTGGCTGAAGTCGTGACAAATACTGTATAAAGACAATTTGTTGTATTGAATATTTCAACATACATGTATTTTTTGCATGCAATAGGTTGGGCAAATCTTTAAAATAACGAACAGCGAATCGAGTATTGAAAAAACGAATGCCATTTATCTAACCGAATATTTGGAAGCGCGTGAGCTGCGGCACTTCACTGTGGCGCTTGAAAATATCACTGAAACGATAGAATAATACAAGGAGAAGGTCAACTATCGTCTTCGCAAAAATGACCCTCCCGGAATCAGTAATGATAATATTCGGAAGGTCACTTACAAACAGCGATAACGATGATCAAAGCCAACACGAATAGTACGAATTAGAATAAACCTAATTTAGAAATCTGGGTTTTGGAGTTACAGCTTTAATTATCTTCAAATTATGTCAACGCGTCGCTTACTTTGTTGTCCGCCGACGCAGCAACATTTAACTGGAAGAAGGACTGCTTGATCACGCTGACGAAAAGCAATTTACAAATTTATCGAGTAAAAATAGCGTATTGTAAACTATTTTTTTCGGTCTTCTTCTTCTAAACGGGACTATCGACCCCCGGCGTCATGGCGTCGATTCCGACTATAAATTATTCGATAGTATTTAGTATTCGCTGAAAATTTTCGAGTTACTCGATTCGAAAAATATATTCAACTTTTCCCCAGTAACTGAAAAAATAAAAATAAACCAAAAAAGTGTCATTCAGCAAGTATCATAATTACATACTTCGTGACTCTCGGCAATTTTTTCCAAATTCTTCAACTTTTCTGCATCCTTTGCCCTTTCGGACATAATCTTATTGAGCTTTCTCTTCAGCTCTTCGTTTTCTTTGCAGACACGCTCACACCTTGCTATTCGTTCAGCCATATCAGCCTGAAAAGTTGTACGTGGCGGAAATTTATCATCTTGTAAGATGAATTGCAATACAGAACATCTGAAATCCAATCAAATTTCCACCGATATCTTGATATTTGTCCCGTCCTGAGCAAAACACGCTTTTTATCGCTTCGCATCCTGCATTGCAGGCCCCGGTTATGTGATGGTGATCATGTGTGAAGAAATGTTTCATAGTAAACGGGTAGTTCGTGAAAATTTCCACATTATCAGCTTGATTTGAGAACAATCAGGCCGTTCTATTTTCCCCTAGATTGGGCGCATACCTGATCTATAGTTACTAGTAATATTGCAATAACATAACAAGTTTTTACACGTGAAAACCTATTGATTAAATAACCTGTCGAGCTAAACATCCAGTTGTGCGTCTGATTCGTTTTAATAATATGAAGCAAAAACATGTAGGCTTACAGTATTTATTTTCAACTGATTATAAACTTTACCTTTTCCATTTCTAGATTTTCGACCTTATTGCTTAATGTTCTCATCTCATCCATCATCTCCCTCACATCGCCCTTTGTTAACACGTCACCTTCTGGGTGCCCAATTCTCTAAAAAAAAGATATGCAGATATCATACAAAAATATATCATATAGTGTGCAAGATAAACCAAATGTTTGTTTTAATGCGTGTTTAATGATGACCGAAAAATATGTTGACCTAGCTCAATAATGGTCTCTGAGTAACGTAACACACTCTGGCATTTATAGAGGATGGACAAACCAAGAGACAAACACTGACAGGTTCATCGTTGATCCAACACTAAATTTTCTGTTACACACTACATAAAAAAAAAATTAAATTATTGGAAGCGTAAAGAGATCACAATGAAATGTTTGTCTAGATATAGTGGGATTCAACGCAATGGATCGAATCCCCCCTCCCTCCGCTCCCCCACGGAAAAAAATTTAAAAATCGCGCCGATGCCAAACAGCATTGCTTTCGCCCGTATATGTCTATGCCGGGACACTAATATGTAATAGTTTTGTGTAATGTATTTATGTCCATACGTGCAAGTTGTACGTGGGTTTAAAGTCAAACCGAACTAAAAACTAACTATTTTCTTGCATCTTCACCAAAAATTCCAGTTATATCGACAAAGGCGACATTAATTATTATCATTGCGTAATCACTAATCACATATTTCCAAAGTCTGGCGTTCATTAAATCTGCTTGTGTTGATATATGCGCCCAATGGTATGTATCAGGCATTTGAGAGAGTCATTTGCGTCGTAGATCCTAAGAGCATGGTCAAATGCGAATGAGTAGCAAGCAATCGTGCAAAAGAGTTTCGGAAATTCGGCTGACGTTTTTAATATGCTCAACATCAAACTAGTACAGGAAACAATTAGTAAACGAATGTGTTCTCACGCCCGATGCGGTTTTAAAATTTCCTATTTTGCATGAGCTTTCAATCTTGTTTACACGGGTATTGGACGGCAAGTTTTCTGAATTAACCAATTTTAACAATATGATCTACGTAAGACGTCTATATCGTAAATCTGGGCGGTCTAAACTGCGGCCGGCTGGTCGCGTGCGGCCCGCAGAACAATTTTAGCGTACACTACTAAACCATTGGCAGATATTTGTGTTTATTAGCAAACAATTTTGCTTCATTTTCAAACCACCAACTGGAAATAATACAGATGTTGGGATTGATGTTTGTTAATATCACGGAATTTCATTGTTGTATCTATAAACGTCAAGATGGTGGCTATATGGGAATGACCTTCTATCGGTAAATAGAGAATGAATTGGTTTGTTCTGACAGGAATAAACCGAGTAGAAGATCTCGCGTCAAGTAACTCTTCATTTGAAAGGCGTTTCTCGCCTTTATTTTAGTAAAAACACTCCTCGATTTTCAAGCGTTGGCCACGTGACGAGCAGCAGAGCTGACAGAGCGCCTCGCGATCCAGCTTTTTTTAAAAAAAAAAAACTTTTAACTTAAACGGATTTTGTTGTTTTACGACGGTAGCTCTAGGCCTGCTCACGCTACAAGTAATAATTTTTTTAAAAATCCAACAATTCATTATACGATGAGTGTAGAAAAAAGGTGACAGGGGAAAAGCATTTCCTTACCACAGCAAAGTTAAACCACAGTGTTAGGTGTGTTTTCAAGTAATATCTGTCACGAAAGAATTTAATTTTTAGCGACAATACAAAACCAAACACGAGAAAAGATACCGAAAATATCATGATATTTCTCGGGAAGCAATTTTAAAATAACTAAAGGCTTCATATAGTTTTCTTGAAAAACTGATTTTAACGATAAACTCTCATTCTTAAATATATTTGAAGTCAGTAAACTCGCGATGTTTTGATAACTTTTGCGTTTTCTCCGACTGCGGCCCGCGAGACGTCTTCAAATGTTTTTGCGTCCCTTCAACCTCTCAACCTTGGACCACCCTGTCGTAGATTACTACATCTCCGTTTCGCAATATAAACAGTAATCCGAAAACGATGCCATTCATGTCTTGAGAATTATGGGATTCTCTATCAAACAAAACACCAGAATTTTGTTAAAAGGATATTCTGTAAAATTGAAATTGTAGTTTATAAGATGTGGAACCTCATGGAAATGGATGTGGAAATTTTCCGCAAAGTTTTTATTCTCCGTCATCAAGCAAAAACACTCAGAATTGAAAATTCAATAAGTTTTTCCGCAAATAAAATCACTAAATTTTTACCTCGATTGTTGCCCAATAGATGTAAAGATATCATCATTACAATTACTAATCAATACATATACTCAACACTAAAACGATATAGTTTATACTCATTTAATCTATAGTCCTTCCTTTACGCCTTTGTTCTATGGATATTATTCACTTGACTAGTTATCAATAAAAAAGAGACAAACTACGTATTGAGTCTATAGTAAAAGTATAACAAATGGCACAATTAAGAATTGGTCGAACAAGTGCATTCATCTTGAAATAAAAATTTCAAATTTTCTACGTTACCTCTTCGTTCGATACATCATTTGCTGGTACAAAAGCAGCTTTATTCGCATTTCCCATGTCTTGCTTGAATTGTCAAAACAGATTTACGCATATAGATAGGCTTGTTTGTTTCTCCGCAGACTAAAGTCCACAGTCTTTCCTTGTAACGATTTATACTTTTTCGCAGAAAATGAATAATAGCTGGAAGGAAGCAATCAAGTAATCGAATCTCTAGTGCAGCTTTCGTACGTGGTAATTACCCTGGTATAAGTATATCCATTGTAAGTAGACTGCATTGAGTGGACTTTATACAGTTTTAGCTGAAAATTTCATGCATTCGATTTACTATTTTGCTCAACGTAACCTGGTCATTTAACAATGTTTTTGATTATAATATTGTATCGATTCTGTTATAATCTACAAATACAAACTGGATATGATATTAAATTTGGACTGGCAACAAATTAAACCATTATCGTCTTATTTTTCCCGTGTCAATGGTATATTTTTGCCCAGGGGTCTCCAACGTGCGGCCCCGGGTTGAGATTTTTTCAGAATACACTAAAATCTTACGATGTTAACTATGAGTTTTATCGTGTTCGTATTTCATTCTATTGTAATAAATAAATTTTTATTTATTATGGTGAAATAAACAAGTTTCGGTCAGATCATTGAAGTGTGCAGTTATGAATTATTAATTCTGCATATGTGCAGTTAAGCAAAACTGGAATATTATGAACTTTTTATAAAGTAGTAAACACATACGCAATGTCGAAGAAGCGTAAATATTCGGAAGAGCACAGAATATTTAATGAGAAGTGGGAGGATCTGTATTTTGTGTGAAATTATAATAACAAGGTTCGGTGTGTCATATGTTGTGCAATTATTGCTGTTCGAAAATATTGCAACGTCCGACGACTTTACAGCTCATTACCCCGGGAAAAATACCATGTCTATACTGAAACAATTCTTCACGGAAAGTCACGGAAATAAAATTTTCACTGATGAAACAAACAAATTTTCTCTCTGACATTAACAAAACTTGTGAAGATTTGGTAAAAGCAAGCTTTGCCATAAGCGAGATGATTGCGAAATCGTCGCGTCCTTTCGTTGGGGGAAGCTTTATTAAAGAGTGTATGTTTAAGGCTTGTGAAGTAATTAGCAGCAATCTGTTTTTAAATGAAAGTTAACAAATCAGCCTTTCACACGCGACTAACGGACGAGAGTTTGTGTGCTGTCTTAAAGACTAGCAAACCGACGCGAAATAGACCAAACATCGAGTCTCTCACCGCTACAAAATGGTGCCAATTATCCAGCACAAGTAAATGAATATGTTTCATGTCTCGTTTGGTGTAAGATTCGAGTGTAATTTCAACAAATATATTGAGATTTCTTTGTTAATTTTTGTATAGCAATTTTGTACCTAATTTGTTGGTTTGTGGCCCGCGTCGTCAATAAATTTCAAAAAGTGGCCCGCGACATAAATTGAGTTGGAGAACCCTGTTTTAGCCGCAAGAGTTACTAAGTGTCTGCGATAAGAGGTGTACTACACGAGTGGTTCCATTATCTTTACATTCCATTCCGTTCCATTATCTTCAGTCTCTGACCGATATTCTCGTTTGTTACTTTGTGTTATCGCAGCACACTGAAAACGAGGGAGTAAAAACTTTCACTGGGTTTATCGATAAAAATGAACTCGCGTTGGTCTTTAAGTTGCCGCACTGTCCAGACTCTAGACTAGACTGTTTTCCGTTCGTGAAGATTTATAATTGCAACTCGTTTTCTAATAGTTTCTGGTCGCCATGCAGAGAAAGGAAGATTGCATATCGTGGAATGAATGGAGCGCGTTGGTCGTCTAGTTCCTAGGCTGGCTTAGAATTTACCCATTAGTGGACATTGGTAAATGCAACTCACTTTCTGATATTCTGCTTGCTTTCTCACTTCGGCTGTAAAGCTGCTATGAATATTTTTGCATTTTTATTTGGGGGCTCTATGCCTTACTAAATATCTTACAAAATACGGGCAGGTAGGTGATTGTCCCTTGAATGCCTAATTTGATTGGTTCAAAACTTTTCAAACTGGTTAACGAAATCTTTCACATCCATATAATGTGAATTTAAGTAGTCTTCTTCAGGGGTGGTACTGACGCTAAAACATTGGGGAAATTAATGAAAAGATCTTTCTACATAGGAAATCCCCCCAAAAAAACTTGGCGATGACTCAAATGTTTTAGATTAAATTTATTTTAAGCTTACGTGGATGTAGAGGAGAACCAAGCGCTCTCTCTAAACGTGGATTGCAAATAATTTTTGATGTATTAAAAAAGGATGGCGAATTGGACCTGTTGAAGTATGCGCACCAAGATGGCGCACAACCTGAATTCAGCTTGTGTATCAGGTTCGGGTTCAGGTTATGCGACATCTTGGTGCGCATACTCCAGGAGTACCGGTGAATTTAATAAAGAACACTTGACATCAATCTGTTGCAATGGGTATTCAGTGCAATGTTTTTGAGGACACAACAGACGAAGCAGTCTTTTACTACGAGCGATATTTCTATATTCTTTTGCACAGTACTTGAAATAATTAGCCAGTAATCGATACCGTATACCAGGAGCTGGCAACAAACATCAAGACAGAATTTCTCATGACTCGTTGTTTCCTTTTTCTTGGTAACATGAATTTACTAGACCGTGAAAACAATATTCTAGCGCGAGTACAGCTGTAAACAGTCGCACGTTTCACGGTATCGCTCACCGATGTACTGCAGTAATAACAGGCTGTAGTTCGACGTTAAAAGTAATGAGTTATGATTTGTCAGGCTATGGATAGGGAAAAAAAATTCTGTTGTTGTTTGTTGTTTCCATATTGTTGAGGCAGTTATGTCAGTACTTTCTGAAGTCTTGATACTTTTTTTCCATTGTAAGTGAGCTGAGTTGGTCAATCATTGGACACACTTAAAATATGTTGTAAATTTATTGGGATGCTGTTGACATACACACGGACAGTTTAATTTCCCGTGTTTCGAATAGCTTGTATATAGCCATATCGATTTTCACTAAGCATTAATGAATTCCAGTTCTCTTTGTTTTATAAGCTGACGAAATTATAGGCTCAATGTAATTGTTGATTTTCATTAAAATTTATGTAATATCGGAGAGGGTTCGTAAACATTCATTTGAAATTTAGCTACATGTATAGCGATTTCATTCATTATCAATACGCCTTACTATGCGTAAAATCATTAACTACAAAGCTGTGCCTTTGCTCTATTTGGGTTGGTAATCAGCCGGCCGATACTCGGCATTGGTTTGACGTATGGCTGGCTCATCTTTTTAAACGTCTCTCCTCTGTGATAAAAACAACAAATTCTATCGATTTATTTCGCAATTACCAGCGCCGTAAGATAATCCACGCGGTAATTTATATTTTATAGCACTAAAATAACTACAACTGCAACCATTCCATTACGTCTTTTGTTATGATACTGCTAAATTGCCAACATTATTTGTGGTGGTTTTGGGATATTTAACCTTCTATTGTATAATCTTGCGTAATTGGGTATGTTAATATTTGTCGATAATTTGATACGATTAGACATAAAATTTATAAATGCCGAACCAGGAGGGTCCACCACGACAGTTGCAGCCATCACGACCTTGTCGAGTGGCTGGGAATACGCCTATACTACGCCCCCTCGTTTCACTAATTAGCGAAATCTCTATCGAAATATGAAACTCCTAATATGTCAGGTCATAAAGTTTAAAAAGGAGGGAAGGGTAAAACAATATTAATAGAATAGATGATATGTTTAATTTGAAATGGCAATGTTGGATTTTCTAATCCAAACTAAATTATCCTAAACAACTTAATAACACAGAAAGGCGCCCAAGCTCAGAAGCTTGAGTTTTCTCATAGAAGTGAAGATGTTAAAGCCCGAATCATATATATGACGCGTCGAGATGCATATGCATAGATTCTGTTTCAATTATTTTTGTCGTTTTGTATTAATTATTCTTAAACTTTCGACAGATTAATTATAAAAGTCATGGTGAGTAGAATACCAAAGCGGGAAGTATGGAATTTGCTTCAAAAATATTATAATATAATACCCAGTTCTGTAAGCAAAATGGCAGGTTATTCAAACATCAATTACAAGGTAACAGCAAATGACTGTATCAGTCCAATAACCGATTGCAAAACTGCATCAGAAAATTTCCTGCTAAAATTCGCTGATGTTTCACACGTATTTTACTTAGGTAAGAATTCATCATTTTTCCTTACCTCTTCTATTAATAATTGCTAGAATAGTAATTTAATATCTATACCACGTTTCTATGACTTTGCCGGCCACGTGAAGTCGTTAGTATTCAAACATTTTAGATTGTCGTTCACGCACTATCGTGAAGCGTTCCTCTATTTTTTAAACAAAAAAAATAAAAATAAAAAATAAATATTTGCAGATAACATCGACATGCAACATGAAATGTTGAAACACCTGCATTTACACGGAATTAACGCATCTTTACCGGTAGAATCCACACATGGCGAAACAATGATAGATTATTCTTTCGGTAAGTTGTCAGTTTTGAAAAGGTTTACTGAGGTAAATGAATGTCAGTTATAACTGGTGGTTACATGTTTAGGTGGGAAACAGTACTCCGTACAATTGTTGTCTTTCGTTAATGGCGTGTCGATGAATGAAGCTGATACGAGTCAAGAAGAAGTGATCGACATTGCTTACGATATGGGACAGTTATGCGGAAGATTTCATCATACCATGAAGGTAATACATGATATAAATGATGATGATATAAATGGGATGATATAAATCAGTGCATCTAACCCAGAGTATGAATCAATCCCGCAAAGCCTTACCTTTTCTTGTTATGTCTCGGATTTGCTTGATATTCTATTGTTTTGCAGACATTTAACTACGATTTAGAAACAGCATCTGGGATCCATTCGCCATTCCATACGGAAAATGCTGCCATGTTCGAGGAAAAGCTCGCATACGTCGGGGATAGATCCTTGAGAAATCAACTCATAAACTACATGAATCTTTTTAAAGAAAATTTTTTGCCACGATTATCGGAATTAAGAAAAGGTAACAATTTATCTCTGATCAATACGATATATGTTGACTTGACTTATACTCTGCATACGTATTTAAATTTAAAATTTCAGCTTTCACCTTCTACAAATTCTAGCAGGAAACACGTACTGTACTCCAGAGAGAATTCTTTATTTAAGTCATTTCGAGCGACCTAACTATAGCTTATTAGGTTATTTTGTTCTCGCCCGCTTTCTCATCACAATTAGGGTAAAATTAAATTTTCCTTAAATGTTTCAATTAATGTCACACTCGCAAGTGGCGCCGAGTCACCGACTATCTGAGTCTTGAGTGAAGACCCAGCGAATTTCCAAAGCCATTGTCTTAAGTAAAGCTTTTTTAATTCAGAAGTCTTTGGGCCAGTCACGCCACTATTGCCCCACAATAAACCAACGCTACTTGGCATACTATTCAGTAATAAACCAAAATCGTTTTCGGGTTCAGTCAAGTGGTTGTTTCCTCCAGGATTTTCTTTCATTGGGAATCTTTGCAAAAATTAGTTCGAGTCTCTTCGACAATTTATCCATACCAACTTTCTTTATGTTCATATTATGTCTATATATGTACTGAGGGTTTCGATAAAAGTTTAAATTATTTTTTTGCTATTTTAGGTTTTATTCACGGAGATATGAGTGACACCAACATCATTTTGAAAGATAATTCTCAAAAAGGTGGACAGAGAAGAAAGAGATGGGAAATTGGCGGTCTTATAGATCTGGAAGAATGTGCTTACACGTACTTAGTTGGTGAAGTAGGAATATGTGCTGCTTATTCTATGCTCAAAGCGGCATCCGTTGGAGCTGACCCGGTAGAAGCATCTCTACATATGATACAAGGGTACCAGTTGATGCACGATTTGTCTGCACGAGAAAAAGAAGTTTTGTTCTACGCTGTTTTAAGTAGGCTTGCCGTGTCGTATGTATCTGCGTGCTACGAGTGTTTTCTAACACCAGAAAATTCGACATATCTTTTTACGCAAGCAAAAAATGTACCGGTGGTTTTGGAAGCGCTGGAAGAGTGTGGAAAAAATGAAATCGAGAAAATTTGGTTCGGTAGAAGGTACAAATGGCTACGACAACATAATAGTTGGCGAAATAAAGCCCCTCCAAAAGAGTAGAGGAACAATCGCTGGTCGCATTTGATTCCAAATCTAAGCATCAGCGTTGCTGTTTGTATAAGTAATTCCTATTGGCGTTGAGTTGCACTGTAGAAATTGCAACAAGTAACATTTCAGTCCCATGTTGGGACTCTTCTATATATATATTACATTTTGTACAAAGGGCCGTTTTATTGAATTTATTTCAAACCAATATTATTGCTTCCATCTTTTACGTTTTCAAACGACAAATTTCCTATGTCACCTTATTTTTTGATCGTGAATATTTTTAAATTGTTTCTGTAAATATTTCCGAATACCTATGCTGCATTTGGAAGCTGTTTCTGAAACCATTATGCATGTCTTGTTATTTTCATTTCAACGCTGTACGGTTTTGTTTTATGCGACTACTGTTAAGACTTGATCCTTTTAATACTATTTTATCAATTTTCTATATAATATACGAAGCGCGTGAACCAGGTTTAATATTGTGCTATATATTTAAGTTATTAGGGAATTGTACACGGGTTCGTAAAGGATAAAATAAGTATTTGTATTGAGAAAATATTGATTACCACGAGACTCGAACAAGTCAACAACGTGTTTTGAAAATTTACATTTGTTGGAGGAAACCTAGTATAACGAAGACGGCGACTGCTTGGTCCTTCGGAAGTTGCTGTCTGTTTTGTAGGCGACAGTAGTAAATTCGTATGCATGGATATAATTTGAAATTTTACCTCAATTCTTTTTTATTTATTTTCAGACTTTATATTTATAAAACAAATGTAATGGTGAGCAATATACCGAATGATGAAACCTTGAATTTGCTTCAACAATATTATAATATTATACCGAAATCTGTGAACAAATTGGCAGGTTATACAAATATCAACTACAAAGTTAAAATAAATAACCTGCTCAGCACGGAAGCAGATTGTAAATCCGCCACAAAATGTTTTTTGCTGAAATTTAGCGATGTATCACACGAGTTTTACTATGGTAAGAATTGACTTATTTTATGATGGTGTCCTGGCTAGTCGAAAGTAAATTCTGTCTGATTCTAATACAGATAACTTTCATGATATTGGTCCTAGGTTTCTATTGGATTTATGGTTTTGTGTTATTGTTTAATATACTGATAAAGCATCATTTTACTAACTGTATGTAGGAAACATTGACATGCAACATGAAATGTTGAAGCATATGCATTTACATGGAATAAACGCATCTATTCCGGTAGAATCAACTGATGGCAAAACATTTGTAGATTATGCATTCGGTGGGTTTTCAACTTATTACATATAATCCATAACCGTGAGGTAATAATTTGAATTCAATAGATATATAGGTACGTCTTTGCCATTATCATGTGCAATATGAATAGCGTAATTCAGAATTTCACCTTTAGCTGTTGCGTCAGTTGATGCCATTTGACCTTTTCAGGTGGAAAACAGTACTCTGTACAATTGTTATCTTTCGTTGATGGCGTGTCGATTAATTCTTTGAACTCTGAATCCCCAGAACGACGCTACTCTCTCACCCTGACCTCCCCCGCCGTCGCATCGATTTGACGCGTTAAAAGATTGTAATATCTCTAATTTTAAATCAACATAACTTCTAAACCATTAGATATCAGATGGTCTGTGATATGTCATATTGAACCTTATCTAGTATTTTATTTTTAACTGGCAATATTTTTTACGAGATGTTTTGATGAGATGTGTAAGTCTACTTTTAGTCCCATCTACTAATTTTTTGTATTTTGGTAAGATTTAATACCTTTTTTAGAAATGTATCATCAATTTCAGTTAAATTTTGAAAAGTATACAAAATTACCTTTCCGAGAATATACGGATGACTTTCTTGACATACGCATAACTCATTTTAATGCAGAATTTGTACTATCGATTACAATGGTTGGCGAACAAAATTGATCAACTATTTTGACGCCAAGTTTGCGTAACGACGCAAAGGGCGACGACGACATTGTCGTGATAACGTTTATGCGACGTTTCGTGCGTAACGATTTGCGTGAGGTAGATTGCGCAACTGCACATCTGGTCGTTCGCAGCTTGAGTTCAGATTGTGTCATCATTGCATCAGTATCATATCCTCGGCCGCAGATAAAACCCTTATATTCAGACGAATCTTGATCGAACATAGTAAAATTGCTAGAATATAAAGGCCATTTTATATACGTTTATTATTTGAAAAGGGGACGAAGATGAATGGCCAAAGTGAAATATTTGATCCTCATGCATTTATGAGGTTCCGCCGGAAACATCAAGGCTAATTATTCACCGTTGGATATCATGAAAATTGAATAAAAAAAAAACTGATAACGGGTACACGGAAGACATAGGGGCACCAGTAGCTCACCTGGTCAGTGTTTTACATTTTGCGGCCTCATTAGATTTTCGAAATTACTGCATATACGCTACATTCCAGATATCGCTATATTTACAATGGATTTTAAACGAAAGCTTTGTCTAGATGAAATATTGGATAGTATTCATCTATCGGAAGAAGAAAATATGGCACAATAAAATTCAGCAATGGCGCTAAACAATGCATCCATCGATATGTTCCATCACTCCGTTTTTAGAAATCCTTATTTTTGCTATTCGTATTTTTCATATCATTATGCAATTAAAACGGCAATAACACTGCATATTGTGTGTTTTAGTCGAACAGATTTTGAGGCTGGATGTGATGCGAAAATTTCCCCGTGTATCGTTTACAAGTCGTTATCGCTTCACGAATACGAACTTAACTCTTTGAACCCTGAAAGCCGCTATAGCGGCTTTCCCGAGAAAGTCTTCTGACGCTGAAAGCCGCTTTAGCTTAGTGGACTAAGTATAATTTCAAAATTGAGATAAAATATTGTGATCATCTTATGAAAATTGGCAAAATCAAAAAGCATAAAAAACTTCTGAAAATTGCTCAAATCTAATTGACAAAACTTCAATTTGTTTTCGATCAAACCTGGTACATTATCGACAACATTTGTAGAATTTGAAGATAGCTTTCCAGTGATACCATTAGATTGAAGTTATGTCGCACCATTCAAATTTTAGAAGCATTTTTCTTCGTGATTTTGTTTGTCGCAAGATCGAGGCGACGTCAAGGTGACGTAAATAACGACCTAACACATTTACGCCGTTACGCAGCGACGCTAAGCAATTACGTTGGCACGTAGCACGTTTACGTTCCCTATGAAATAGACTTTTCCTCGCATGCTCGTAACGTCATTTACTTAAGTTCGTACTCGTGAAGCGACTAACGACTTGTAAACGATACACGGGGAAATTTACGCATTACATTCAGCCTCAAAATATGTTCGTCTAAAACACACAATATGCAGTGTTATTGCCGTTTTATTGCATAAAGATTTGAAAAATACGAATAGCAAAAATAAGGATTTCTAAAAACGGAATGATGGAACATATCGATGGATGCATTGTTTAGCGACATTGCTGAATTTTATTGTGCCATATTTTCTTCTGTCGGTAGATGAATACTATCCAATATTTCATCTGGACAAAGCTTTCGTTTAAAATTCATTGTAAATATAGCGATATCAGGAATGTAGCGTACCTGCAGTAATTTCGAAAATCTAATGAAGCCGCAAAATGTAAAACACTGACCAGGTGAGCTACTGGTGCCACCATGTCTTCCGTGTACCCGTTATCAGTTTTTTTTTTATTCAATTTTCATGATATCCAACGGTGAATAATTAGCCTTGATGTTTCCGGCGGAACCTCATAAATGCATGAGGATCAAATATTTCGTTTTGGCCATTCATTTTCGTCCCATATCCAAATAATAAACGTATATAGAATGGCCTTTATATTCTACCAATTTTACTATGTTCGATCAAAATTCGTCTGAATATAAGGGTTTTATCTGCGGCCGAGGATATGATACTGATGCAATGATGACACAATCTGAACTCAAGCTGTGAACGACCAGATGTGCAATTGCGCAATATACCTCACGCAAAGCGTCACGCACGAAACGTCGCATGAACGTTATTACGACAATGTCGTCGCCGCCCTTTGCGTCGTTACGCAAACTTGGCGTCAAAATAGTTGATCAATTTTGTTCGCAAACCATTTGAATCGATAGTACAAATTCTGCAAAAAAATGAGTTATGCGTATGTTAAAAAAGTCATCCGTATATTATCCGAAAGGTAATTTTGTATACTTTTCAAAATTTGACTTATATTGATGATACATTTCTAAAAAAGGTATTAAATATTACCAAAATACAAAAAATTAGTAGATGGGACTAAAAATAGGCTTACACATCTCATTAAAACATCTCGTGAAAAATAATGCCAGTTAAAAATGAAAGACTAGATAAGCTTATATATGACATATTACAGACCATCCGGTATCCAATGGTTTAGAAGTTTTTTTGATTTGAAATTAGGGATATTACAATTTTTTAACGCGTCAAATCGATGCGAAGCCGTGAGAGGTCAGGGTGAGAGAGTAGCGTCGTTCTGGGGATTCAGAGTTCAAAGAGTTTTAATGTGTTTGTCAAGTTTTCAAATTTACAGCCTCAATATATATACTTTATCTGTGATATTTAGATAAAAAAGTTTGAGCATTCAAATTACCTAAAGTATGTATTGTCATTAGCCCAAAGTAATTTTACCTTACTCAGGAATATTAATCAGTAAATAACAATGTGGTGTTTGTCTGCATTATTTTCCAAATTTATTTGTGGAGCTCCGTGAAGAATAATCAACCTCTTCAAGGGCTCCGTAACATCGAAAGTTTGCGAACCCCTGCTGTAAGAATCATAAACAAATTGAAGAAATGGATTTATTTTAAAAAGTTGCCTTTACTGCTGCTGCTGTTAACCATCGAAGTTTTAAGCCAATGTGCCTCGCTACTTCAATGATTGGAAAAATGACGCATCCCGAAACAAGTTTGAGACCGGTCATATTTGCAACTCTTGATATCGGTCATGAAGCTTAATAACAGTACTAGGAGCGCCAGTGCAAATGTTGTAACGATACTCCATACAGCGGCAATCAAGTGAATAGTTCAAGTAATGCTCTAATTTCCAATCATTGTTATATTTGACTTAAAAAGAGCTCTTCACCCCTTTGAATATAATCTGAATCAGACCTTGTAATATCTTTCATCAAATTATGCGAGGAATTGTATTTACGACCCATATATAAATATACAACTTTTAATAATATGTCAACAATATATTTTACATACAAAGATGTCTGACACGAAACGTTACTAAACTTGAGATATATGAACATTGACAGCTTTTATCCCGAACGTTAATGACATCGTTATGATTCATGAGATCGTTATGAGATTTAGTCCGAAGAAATGAGTAAATATATATATTATAGTTAAAATAAAATTAGCTTCGGGAATGAAACAAAATTTTTCTCCTTCGTGACTGAGTTTTCCTTTAAATTATATCCGTGCCAATTGTATACCCTCATAATACT